ACAATAATTTTTGGAGATGAATATTTATCATGGCTACTTTTTTTTTGTAATAGTGGGGCAATTTAATTTTATTTTTTTTTTCTGCAATATGATAAGATTTGATCTGTAGAAGAATGAATTATGAACAAAAATTACACAAGTTACATGTTGTATTCTGTTATTTATATAGCCCAACAATATTTAACTTAATCTTATATTAGAATACTGTTTTATTGTTTATCATCTATACAGACTTTATCAATATACCGCACAACAAAATGTGTTATCGTGACAGGCCTATTGGCAGAGGCGGTGCTACCATAAGGCAAAGTAGGCAGGTGCCTAGTGCCCCCAAACCTGGAGGAGCCCTGAGTGCCACTAATGGCCAAGCCCTCAGAGCAATTTGTTTTTCTCCCAATATGACATTAAATGAGAGTATTTTACTTTTAAACAATAATCATAAGAAAAATAATAATCATCATATGTATTGGATGTAAACAAAAATGTAATTGCACTAGCAAAAAAAAAAAAAACTATTTTCAGTTCTGGTTATCTAGTAGGCTACCTAATCAATAAGACAAGTTTCCAATCCACCATAATTCAAAGAAATAGAGACGTGCATGTCTCGAGAACAATAAGGAAAAACAGACAATGAATATATTAAAACAAAACCTAGGGCCCCCCAAATTGCTAACTCCGCCACTGCCTAGTGGGGAGAATATATTAATATCAGTGTCCCTGCCATCTATCACACAGTAAAGACTATTTACTTATCACCTGTCAGCATTGTAATGCCTTTATAAGTGGCCAGTAAATCTAGTGTTTAGTTAAATATATTCATTAGTCTTTTTTTTTTTTTTTCAGTAAGACAAATTAACACACACCAGAGGGCTTCTTCATCTTCCTCTGTCCTCCGTGTCCCAAAGCATGCTGAACAAATTGGACTTTAAGGTGTAATTTTGTTATCAGCTCTACTCGGCTGTGGAAACAGTTTAAATAGACACGCCATTACAACGGTAGCGTGTCAAAATGCTACACCCGTAAATGCAAATCAAAGCTGCTCACCTTACACTTTACTGCTCCAAGATCTGCTACGTTTAGTCCCGCAGTCTAAAGGCAGCGTGTTTTTAGGCAAATAAAGTGTTGTCGCAGAAAAGTGCGCATGTTTGAGCAAACAGCGCGAGCGCACTTCCTTGTTCTGAAGTGTGACAGGAGGCGTCAGTCACGTGCTGTGTCCATCAGCCTTTGGACAGAGGTGAGCCAAAAGCACAAAACACATCATTAACCTATTTATACTGTACTGAGCATCATTTATCCGGACAACTTGACAGTCTATTTAAGGCTACTGGCTTAAACATCCCGGACACTAATTGGAAATCGCCAGTTTAAGTTAAAGGAACAGTATGTAACTTTCTGGAAGAGGCGTGTCACCTTGATTTCTATAACATGTCACGAAATAGAAAGCTAAAACTGTATGTTGGAGCATTCTCTGTCGATAGAGATTTTATACCACACAGTGAACTATTATAGCCAAAGGAACAACACTTATATGGAAACATTAACAAGCAGATGGAGACCCTAAACATGCACTCTAACTGTGAGCAGGCTTGCCCCTCCAAAGATCTGATATGTAACTTGTCATGGTGGCGTCAGGAGGTGGATGTTTCATGCTAGTCTGTGGAGCAGCGTCTCTTTTTTTTTTTTTTTTTTTTTTTTTTTTGGCAAATATTGGTTGCTTTAACTATTGGCTTTTGTGGCAAATTAGTTGAGGAATTCAGACTGAACTATTCACTAAACAAGTGCATGTTTTTAGATATTACCACTTCACGGGTTTCAGGACTTTTGCCCATTCAAAAGATCTAACATTTTGTTTTGAATTGTTAATTGTTATGGCAAAAGTGTCATTCTGAAACCCATGGACAGCAGCTCAAGCACTGAACCCACAACCTCTCAGCTTAAAGGAACAAGAACACATTACATAACTTGTGAATTTTTTTCCAGTGTTCTGAGTTGCACGAGACACAACTTTGAGAAATGTAGTTCAGAGCAGGTTAATAGAATGTAGTGTAGCTAGTCTTTTAACCTCTGTACTTTTTATAGGCACAGTTGCATAAAATGAGCATAGCATGAATACAGACTTAAGTTACTGATGTGCAAATAGTTTATTGGCCATTTCTTAAACAGCAAAATGGTTTTCATGTTCACATCTGTAGAAGGCATCACGCAAATAATGTATCTACTATTCAGAAGTATTTTAGAGAAGATATTTAAACATGAGGAACAAAACATAAAAAATATGAAAACGTCAATCACCATGAATTAAACCACACAAACATAGTAGGAAAGTAACTTAATACAAATGTTGATCTCAGTAAATCGTCAAAGGCATTCAAGGAAAAAGTAAAAGGGGATAGTTTCACCAATACATTTTTGACTTATCTGCAACAAACAAACTGGCCTATTTAAAAACTCAGATTTAAGACCATTGAAAAGTACACTTGCTTCCGCTTGTTTCAATCATCTCCATGGAGATTTTGTTGCTTTGGAATGTTTCACAGTATGGCATTAAACTTATAAATTTATTTTTCAATATAAAACCAAAAATAAGAAAACAAAAAGCAACAGTTTTCTTCATTATTTGTCTCCAAAACCAAAATGAAAAAACAGATAATGATTTGTTTTTTCATTTTTTTGATTTTGTGTTTAAATGAATAATGGAAAAAACAGATAACGGCCATTTCCTGTTTTCATGACTTAAACTGCGATTCCGGACTAAAACAGGACTGAACCAGGAATAAAACAGGACTGAACAGGTCTAAATCTGCTTTAAACCACAACTGAACCAAGATTAAACCAGGTCTCAATCCTGGTCCCAGTCTGGTCCCGGTTTCCTGATCACCCAACAGTCTACGCTGGTGCACATCCGGGCTATTCCTGACACTCCTGGTTCAGTCTTGGTTCAGTCCTGGTTCAGTTCCAGTTTAGTCCTGGTTTAGGACTGAGGCCGGGACTGGACAAGGACTGGGACTGAGACTAGGACTGAGACCGGTTTAGAGCTGGTTTAGAGCTGGTTTAGTCCTTGTTTAGTCCTGGTTTAGTCTTGGTTCAGTCCTAGTTCAGTCCGGCATCACAGTTTAAGTCACAGAAATGTAAAATCCATTATTCATTTAAACACAAAGTCGAAAAATAAAAAAACAAATCGTTATCTGTTTTTTTCATTTTGATTTTGGAGACAAATAATGAATTTTTTTGTTTTGTTTTCTTATTTTTGATTTTATTTTATATTGAAAAACAAATGAACGGATACATGGATTCTTCCTGATCTTGCCATCTATCTTATCTTTTTTCACTACATTTTTACTGTGAGTGGATTTGCCTCTTCACAGATCTGACCTCTAACTTTGCTAGTGGTGTCACATGCTTCTCTGCGTGATACGTATAGATTTAATGCCATACTGTAGAACATTTCAGGTAATGCAGTAACAGCTCCATGGAGACAAGCATGTGACAAACCCTTCAGCCCAAAAGTACATAGGTTAGCTTTAAAATATACAAAAAAAGATGTAATTTAAGTTGATTTATCCATAAAATCAAAATAAATGTCTAAACACCTATAAATATTGTCTTCTTCTCGTTTAAAACATGTTGGATGGCTTTGTAAAGCTGTCTTGAAGTTACAGACAGGTCTAAAACATGGTGAAAATGTCCCTTGGTTCCTTAAGTTGGAGGAATGTGTGATGTTGGTGATATTTTAAGATCCGTGATGAACTGAGCTGTGGCTTGGTTTGAACTGGAAAGACATGACATAGCAGAAAAGGGGTGTGGACCATGACACAAAGCATAACATTTATCCACTATGACGTTGCTAAAATTCACGAGAAATTCACGTCTATAGCCTCTACCTGTCATGGCTCGTGCAGAAAGCGGTAGAAAAACTAAAATGTGTCTTAACAGTGATTCATCTGAACTGTTTTTGAATACATTCCACATGTCAACATCATAATATTATTAACAGTACTCTTGATACAGGAAAAAAGATTGCATTGTTTAGGCAGATTTTCACTACAATGTTTAAGAATTGTCTTAAAGGTGCACTGCGTAACATTTCTAGTAGAAGATCTGACACTTCCTTGTTTTCATGGAGATGTTATTGCTTTTCCTGAAATGTTTTACATTAAGTGTTATGGCATTAAGCATATCACTCTTTAAATCAAATACAGCCGTTTTTATTGCTCACAAATCTAACTGGGACTGGGCCCTCCTTAGTCAGACTGGTGCCTCCTAGTGCCTCCATTCAATTTCATTTCTCCTCAGTGACTAGGTGAGGAATCAGAATACACTAGACAGTTTGCAAGAACCCCAGAAATGCGAGTTCGGGCACCAGCCAATCAACAAAGAGCTATACATTCTGTGTTGGCAACAATTCCCAAGATCGAGGATTTAAGCTGGAACAAAGTGAATGTTTGATGAATTTTATCAAGGGGAAAGACGTTATTGCCCTTCTTCCTACGGGATTTGGGAAAAGCTTAATATACCAGTTAGCCCTGTTTGTGGTGCATTACATACATCATGACCAAATAGCAGCGTTTGGTTAAATAAAAAAGTACACGCCTCCCATCAAGCGAACGAATCCTGATGCTGTGAGGTCAGATGGTTTCTACAAAGTGAAACCATCTTTGTATCATATCTACAAACTGAAACCGTCTGATGAATCAGGCTAGGCCCTCCTCTCCACAGATCTGCTTTATGAATTGGTTTAAAAATTATGAAAAATAAGGACTGCTGCCATAGCAATAAATAATTTAAAACAAAATATCCCATCTTTTGAATAGTAAAAAGTTCTCAAATTGTTGCCTATAATCATTCCTGAAACCCATGAATAACTTCACCTAGTGGACTCTTCAGCTCGTTTCTATGGATACAGCTAAATCTAATGCCATACTGCCATACTGTGAATCATTCCAGGCAAAAACGATAACATCTCCATGGAGACAAACAGGTGATGGACTCTCAACCGGAAATGTTATATAATGCACCTTTTTACTGCACTGCTGACTCTGAAATTAAACTTGCCCCAGTAGCATCCACATGTATAACTTTGTATAACATTCAATAATTATCATCTTAATTTCTAGCTATGCTCCTGAAAATGACAGCGTTTTACCAGACCAAGAAGCAGCTACAAGCCATACAAACACTATGAAGAAGCTTATACACAGTTCAGTCCCTCTCCACCACACCACCACATATATAAAGCTCTTATGTCCAAGTAAATCAGGAATATGGCAAAGCTTAATCTGCCATGTTAACTCATCTTAAGTGCTTCTTTAGGGATAATAATAATTCTTAACTTTTTCAAAAACTAATCTATTATTTCTTACATCTGTGCCATGTTTATGTTCCTTCATTCTCAAAAGTAGGCTATCCTAAAAATAGAATACACCAATCAGGCAAAATATTGTAACCACATGTTTTCTTGATTTTGATAATCTCGTAATCTAAGATCGAGAATACGGGCCAATAATTCTATATCTAAACACAAAATCCAAGAATATTTGTATTATTATTACTTTGTCCAGGTATTGCGCCCACATATGTTAGGCCCTTTCTACTTTCTGAATTGAGCAAGTTTGATTGGATAATACTACAACATTATGAAGTTAAAGTGAAGCTATAATTTTACCTGATTTAATTTGCACTGACAGAGTTGACATCAGGCTAGTTTTATTTCTGAATAGATCCAGTAATTATGGATATTGGCCATAAACCAGGGCAAAATATCTGCAATAAACAGTTTTAAGGTGTTAAAGAGTTGCCCTCTGCTTCAATATTTAACTCTAAGTTCTTTATAATGTTATGAAATCTTGTGAACCCAACCAACTTCACTGTCATCACATTTTATCTGAATCATGGTTGGCTCTCCTCACATGCATCACCAGTCAATAATACAACATTATGTTCCTTCCCTTCTCTCATTTTAAAGGTGCTCTATAAATAAAATAAACTGACTGTACAAGAGTTACCATTTAGAGATACATGTTCTGCAAGATTGAAATTTGATCAAAATTTTAGTGAATACAGCTGCCAAATTGCAAACTGCAATTTTCTACCAGTACCATTCTTTTCCTCCACAAACAACACAACGGCATGTTTTAGTCTGTCGAAAACTGGTAGCCCTGTAGAAATATATTCTAAAATGTAATTCTTGTATTAGCTTAAGTTCTATTTTAGTCTTTCTGGACACATTTAAATTGTGAACTTTACAAAATCCATTATTAAAACCTAAACTCTAATAGCAATTGCAATATATACTGCAATCTGTATTCATCTGACATCTAACATTGATTTGAATGAGAAAATGTTCACTTGTCTAACAGGTTATTTGACATAGTTTAAGTTAATTAAATGTTAACCTCCCTTATCTGTGGTTATAATGTTATGCCTGATTGGTGTAAAAAAAAAAAAGACACATTTTAAATATTCTTTCCCACAAAATTTAAAAAGATAATTTTATATTTTCCTTTTTAGCTTTTAAACCCCAAGCTCCTCTCTTATTGGTGGGTGTCTCCTGCTTCGTTTTGGCTTTCTTCGGCCATTTGAACCAGTTCGTTGACCGTATGTAGCAGGCTGTATCCATGCTTCCTTAATAAACGCTGATTCAAACGGTGGTCTCTAAATCCCATTTCCAGCAGCATGGCCATCATCGACGGGTCCTGTCTCGTGGCTGGGTCGATGCCGCGCTAAAAAAAAATATATATATATGTAAAAAGGATGTGCAGTACAAAGGTGAGAGAAACAACTGTGTAGGTGTAAACTAACACCTACGCAGTTGTTAAAATGTTTTTATCAAAAGTGAGAGAGGGTGATAGAGCAGTGAGTCATGGTTTAAAATGTATCACTTCCTGTATTAGATATTATTAATAACCACATGTTGACATCAACCTCTCAATAGAGGTGAATGATACTGACCATAAAGTCCAACATCAATTATTTTTATTCTGGTGATGATTTTTAGTCAGTATTACGCAAATCCATCAGAAATCTGCCAAATGTGCCAGCAAATGTCTTAGTTCAAGCATAGTTCAACAAAAGGAGAAAAAAAAACTATTATAATATCACTTTATGCAGTGCAAGTTGGTTTATTTTGGATGAACTTTAGACCATGAACTTAATGGTCCTATATTACGCAAAATTAACTTGTGAACTTTAAGCCATGTTAGAATGTTGTTATCTCATAAAAATCTACCCAGACTTGTGCTTGTTTCATTCACACATGTGGAATAATCCTTTATTATTAGTCTGTCTACATCCCCAAAGCTCAAAATGCTCTGTTCCACCGTGTGATGTCATGAAGTGGTGGTAGTTTTCAAGCTACCTTTTCATTTCAGCAGAGATTCCAGGACTGAAATCATCCAAATGATTGTTATGAAGGTGTATGGAGTTTAAAGCACTTTCTGTATTACCACATGGCATCACAAGTTGGAACAAAGTGCTTTCTGTTTGAGATAAGAATTCAGCCTAAATATGCAAAGTTTGCGTGTTAAACATGTGTGAATGAAACAAAACACAACTTCAGGTCTGTTTGTGATGAGGAAACAACATTATAACATAGAGCGAAAAAAAAAAAAAAGGCATAACATAAGACCTTTAAAGGTACACTTTATTCTCTGCATTTCACCCATCCTTCAATTCAACAGAGGCAACTTGTCAGGAGTAGGACTTGCCTTTAAAATGTTGCATATGTTTAAAAAAGAAAAGAAAACAGTTATGATATTTTCTATCTCTATATATCTCCCTTCACTAACATGCCAGATTAGCACTCCGAGCATTATCACATCTTACAGTATTATACTACACAAAACACAGGACTAGTTCAGCATTGTGTGTTTTACCTGTATGGTGCAGTTTGGTCCAGTGAACAGAGCTTTATACGCAGAAGCTGCCACAGATAGAGCACCCTTTACCAGGCCCTCTGTGATGCCACCTTGACCCCTACTGTTAAAAAAAAAAAAAGACATTAATCAACAGAATAAATAAATCACACACAACACAAATCTATCAATATATAGATTTAGATCATTTATGAGTAGTCTTAATAAAGGTAATGACCAATCTGCTATTAAAATAATCAGTCAATAATTTCATATTTGATACTCATCATTTGAAATATAAAACTAAAAAAGAAGGTTTTATTACAAAACAGCAACACTTTTATCCCCTGGTTTTTAATTCCACGTGAGTTGTGTGGTCCTCTGTGTCTTATATATATATTTTTTTTTTAAGTAAAATGTGTTACATTGCTATGTGAAGCACTTTGGAGACTGTCTTGTTTATAAAAAGTGCTATACAAATAAAATTGGATTGGATTGAAACGTTGCAAACTATATACATCTTTTGTGATTTTTATGAAAGTAACATCATCAGGGTTTCCCATTAATAGAGGAGACTATGGTGAGCTCCTATAGTAATTTTCAAACCCATAATGTAAGTGGAAACTAGCTGAGCAAAAACAAAAAAGGTAAAACAAATTATACTTTATGTTTGTAGTGTTACTGTTAACATATAGAGGCAATAATGTTTACTCTGTAATCAATGATTTTTGTTCAGTAGAGGCAATAAGTGACATGTATACAACTAAATATTGTATTAAATGAAATTATTTAAAATGAATCACTTGTGCCACTATAGTCCATAAACTTGTAGGAAACACTGCATGTGAAAACAAAACCATCAATCAAACCACAAACCACACACACAATAAAATAACTACAGTCATCGTAATAAATTAATCATGCAATTGTCTCCTCTCCTTTACCTTGGCTGCAGTGCATTGCTGGGTCTGGGGTTGTATGTCTCAAAGGCACTGGAAGCAGAGCCAGCTGATCTTGACAAACCAGATGAAACTGCAGATTCAAAAACAAAAATAACTCTTTATCAGTAATAGTTAATCTCAAAATCAACGGGGCAACAAAAGCACCACTTGTTTCCTCTTAAGTTTTCATAGTGTCTTTCAAAACTTAAAGCTAAAACAACACAGACTTTTTAAAAAAATATTTAGTAATTTGATTAAAACTTTAAACGAGTTTTAACTTTTTTGTTACAACACACAAAAACATAAATGAAAAAACAAACTAACCCAAAAGCTTTCAGATATTTTTCATTCAAACTTCTTTTAAATTATTTACCATTGAGGTGGACTCTTGGTTGAGGTTCATATGGCTCACAAGCTGGTGGACTGGGGTCCTCAGCTAAATACAGTGCCTCTGACCTAAAACAGACACATATAACACCATATAAGAGTCGTTTTGGTGACAGCTAATGGAGATTGAATAAATAAACACTCAAAAGAATTACCAAAAGATATAAGACTGTATGTAGAAGTAAAGTTACAATTTTGATTGACTGAAGACTTGACTTGGTCTTGAAACTCAATGATCCTGGGTTCTTTGACTCGGGCCGTCTTGGTTGACTTCTTCACCACATTTAAATGTTATTTGACTGATTTATACCAGATGTCTTTAATGTATTCAAACAAATCCTTGAATGGGCCTGTTGCATTTAGTGTTGGCAGGTCTCACTAGTCTTTCTACCTAAAACTCTTCTTATTCTTGAGTTTAGATTGTTATCTTACATGTGGATTAATCTATCAGAAGTGCATGGTTCCAACTTCCTAGTATATTCCACCTCGGACAACAATAATAAATGCTGTTGCTAAAGGTTGTTGCAGTTTGCTTTGACTGACAGAAGCGATAACTTCCTTATTTGAATGACACAATGCAAATCAACTATGTCCACAAATATGAGGAAGCAAGACCATTTGTTGTGAGAGAGCTCCAAATTGTGCTCCGTTCTAAAAGTGCTGACTTCCTGTTCAAAATAGGACAACTCATTCTCTGCTGCTGACCTCACCTCTTTAAAGTGATATAATTTAAAAAATGACCACTCAGTATTTTTAATCCTGTGTGTAGGAGGAGGAGGATTTTTTTTTTCAAAGAATATGTCGAGATAATGCCTATATAATGATTAATATTATTCATTATTATATTATTAATGACTGATATCCAATAAAGGATAGCTGAAACTCAATATTTATCATGTGTGCAATTTCTGTGGGGAGATTTGGGGTATTTTTATTGTAATACAGTAAGATTTGAACCGTAAATGGTTGAATAAGTGACTTCTATGGCTAATTACTGGTTAATTATGTTACGTATTTGTTGCAGCTTATGCCTTTTAATGATACTTTTGATTTAGAAATACTTCAATGGGATTTACTTGCATTATTGTTATTGTATCCGTGGCATAAAGGGTTAGGGTTTCAATATTTCTATTTACCACAATCTCTCTCTGTAGCAATATATCGCACTTCAAAATCTGCTATCATGACAGGCCTTTGAGGAGCTGACCTTGGTGAGTAGAGGGTGGGTGGGGGGAGCAGGGGGTCCGCACGTGCCGGGGGCGGGACCACTTCAGGCGTCAGAGTGACCGCGTCCAGAGTTTGGGAGGCGCACAGCATCTGATTCACGCTGCTCTGGACAGGGGGACAGGACACGGGGGACACTTCAGCTACTGTCCCACCGTCCTCTGGCTCCACCCTCTCTGTTAGCGATGCCGCCCTGCTCAGTTTGGAGGCGGGCTCTTCTTTATCCTTGTCTTGTTCTACGTCCAGATTGGCTGCAGTCTCGCTTGCTGCATTGTCATTGGCTGCAGGGTCGTTGGGGGTCGTGGTTGTGTCTGGCTGGGACAGGGCGGAGCTGTACATGGACTGTCCCAGAGGGCGGCTCGTGTCAAAGCAGTCGGGGAGAACGATGATGTAGTCGTCACAAGAGGAGACTGAGGAGGTCTGGCTGCTCACCTGTGAAAGAAAGAGAAATTTTGTCAATAAAGGTAATACAAAGGTAATTCAAAGTGATATAACTACCTGGTTGCAACTCATCAAAAACATGTTTGGAGTTGCGTTTTGTTTCATTCATAAATGCTTAACACACAAAACCTACATATTTAGACTGAATTCGTTTCTCAAACTTGGAAACACTCTGGTCCACCTTGTGATGACATATGGTAAAACAAGAAGTGCAGGAACTTTTACACTTTCACTAGAATCATTTGGATCATTTCAGCCCTGGAACTTTACTAAATAAAAGGTAAACCGTTGCTGTTGTTTTGAAAACTACAGTACATGACATGACAAGGTGGAACAGAGCATTTTGAGCTCTGAAGATGTAGACAGCCTAATAATAAAGGATTACTCAAGCATGTGCAAACAAAACAAACACAACTTCAGGTATGTTTTGATGACATAACAACATCATGACATGGCTTAAAGCTCACAAGAGTCCATTTTGTGTAATATAAAAAAAATAAAAAAAACTAATAATACTGAACAATTAACTATGGCATTAGACACACATCAGACAACACAGAATTAGGGACACTCCAGGAAGTAAAACTGGACTGGACCACTGCTGAACCAGGACCAAACCAAGTCTAAATTAGGAACAAACTGGGCTCTAAAGTATTGTTCAATGAGGTAGGTGTTCTAGATTTTGATGGTTGGATACTGTATACCTGTTGGGATGATTTTGTTCATTTTTGCACATTCAGCACATCAAAACTGGGATTAAACTAGAACTAAACCCAAACCTAAACCTGGACTAGATCAGAACTAAACCAGGACTAGATCATTGCCAAACTGAGTCCACATCAGCTCAATTTAGGAACAAATAACATTTTTTTTGGTCCAGTTGACAAAATTCTTTTCTTTTGCTTTGGACCCTACCTGGACGACTGAGGGATTAGATAGACCCACCCTTGATTAATGATCTATTTCTTGACCCTTATCACTCTCATAAAAATCCAATTATTGTTGTTTATGGTACATTACTCACTTCATGTTGACTTTAAAGAATCTGTGGTACATTTTACTTGTAATAATATCAATGACACAAGTCGCTTACCTCGTCCCAGTCTTCCGCCCTGTTTGCCCGTTCCTCCTTCTCATCTTCATTTACTTCATTGCCATTCAAAACAACAGCTTCATCGTCTTTGTCGTCATGCAAAATAACATTTTGTTTTTCTGGTTCCAACAGGAGAGCTGCATGCAAGTACAACAAAACAGACATTAATATAAATCAACAAGGGACTAAATAAGGTTAGGGTTTTTTTAATGTACCTGTAGTAGTTTCCTCATCTTGTGTGACAGATATATTTGGGAGTGGAGCCAGACTCTCAACTCTTCTAGGGTTCATTTCTTTAGTTGTCATTTCAACATCTGTATTTCTGTCAAGGCAAATGCTAGGACCTCTAGAAACCACTGAAATGAATGAATCAATATTAGTATATTATTAATGTAGCTTTAACTATGTAGAGTGGATAAGTTATTTTGTAGCACTTTATAATAACTACACCTTAATTAGTCTTAATAAAGCATGAATTATACATATGAAGAATAACTCAGGCTTAGAAATTACTTAAAGGGGTAAGAGGTTAGAAGTTGGGGTATTAATAAAGTTATTTCTTTGTCCATGCTTTAATAGGGCTAATTAATATACAGTTATTATAAAGAGTGAACAATACTTCTGCATTACATTGTGGTTTGTGGCTGCTATGTAGAATCCTGCGCATTGGTCTGTGGTCTGGTGGTTCGTCCAAAGTGAGTGAACGAATAATAGTTTCACACAAAAACTGAGCGCCACTGATTTCTTCTTCTCTCTCCTCCTCCTGTGTTACTGACTCCAGCATCTCTCTATGGGGCTTTAGTTTTGCCCCTTTTGAAAAAATGTAGAAGAAAATGTTTATAACATAATCACCAAAGTTGACCTGTATAGGATTTATTGTTAATCTTACCAAAAAGTGTTCTGACTCCTGTAACCTCAACATCCTCATTTGTTTCTGATTTTATTTGTGAAGTTGTGGTCTTTTCCAGCATAGGTATGTCATGTGGCAAAGGGGAGATGCAAGGAGTCAAGTCTGAGGGATCAGAAATGACAGGATTAAATTGCATTAAACTGAACAATTAATTTTTTTAAAAAAATCTGTAATATTTATTATCTTACCAACAGGAGTATTGTTGGGCACTTTTTCCAATTCTTGAACTATATTTATATCAAGCAACTCAAATGAGAGTAAATCCTAAAAAAAAAAAAAAAAACAACACAAAAAATCATTAGGACTAAACTGGAAAACTTTGCCTGTTGGTTTAATGCAGTGAGAAAGTGCACCTGGGCCGTGAGCAGGTCCACTGAAGGGAAGTACAAGTCGTCATGGCTGATGTCCATTGCCAGGACTGGACCAGTGTCTTTTGGTCTTACCTCCTTCTCTTTTTCCACACACTTAAAGTCGTCTTTCTGAGGTGAAACATCAAATATTAAATCTCATATTAACCACATGCTCAGTTAGTTGGTAATGTAAACTTGCCAGTGTTTTCTTTTGAAGAGAAGGGTCACTGCGACTGTTGCTGGGGTCGACCACGATGCTGCACCAGACGCGTGGGCCAAACTGGCAGCCGCAGTGGGCGAGCCGCCAGTGGGACGTGTAGGTGCCCTCCATCACAGGAGCCACAAACACCACACTGACAACGCCCATTTGTCCGGGCAGCAGTAAGGGCACTGGCACCTCCCTCTTCTCCTCTGACGCCAGGCCAAGGTTGCCCCACATGAACACTAGCTGTGTGCACCCACACATACACAAAACACAAAATAGGAATACACATGCGAAAAGGAACCAAGACAGGAGCATGCAACTAAAAAGAAAGAGCCAAAGGTTTAAGGGATGAAAGCTCAGACACAAAGAGAAGACAATCAAACTAAATGTCAGACATCCAAATAATAAGACGTTACTTTAAGGGAAAGTAAAAAACTCACACAGGGTAGGAGGGGTAAAGGGTCTTAGCTCAGTATTAGCTGCACTTGTTAAAAGTAGGGAATGAGTTGAGGGGCGCAGAGTGAAGCAGGGCACAGAGAGAGTGGGTCTGTCCTCTCGGCGGTGGAGGTACCTTAGTCTCTGAGGTCCAGCTGATTGTGCCCGAGTTCTTCATCTTCCAGTATTTGATGAACTTGGTACCAGGCTCCAGACGGGTGCCGTCAGGCAGATTTTCATCCAGAAACAAGGCAGCCATTGTGGGCACCAAGGACGTGTGCGAGACCCCAGGACCCCTAGTTTCAAGTGTACAGAGCATTGTTGAAAATAGCCCTGGTTTCTTTAAATACCCATCTCTTTTGTTCTCTATGAATCAAAAAAGCAGGACCCCAGATTTTTTGCAGCTCAAAAGCATTTTTCTTAGAAAATCTATGAAGCAGCAGCAGCAGTTTTCACATTGAGGTAGTTCCAACATTTCCACCACCCCAGCTCAGCCAGCGAAACACTCATACAGACTAGATTACAAAGATGGCATATTTTTGATTTTCTTGGGAAAAAAAGATTTTGCATCCATGCTGGGTTTAGGTACCCAGCATTGAAGGACGCCCCTTCCAAGTTGGCGCTTACTCTGGACTGGAGGTCTGGGGGTCGGGGCCCAGGGCAGAGATGGGGCCTTGGGCAGGGCCTGGACCTGAGGCTGTCTCCGTGGCGACGCTGGGGGGCGCGGCAGGAGCCTGGGTGGAGGCGGATGCCACATTTGTCAGGTTGGCTCGGGCTGAGGTAGAGGGCCCACTCCACTGCAGTCCTCTCTTCTCCAGGCGCAGCTTCTTCTTGATCTCCTTCACTTCAGCTCTGAGCTGCCTCCTTTCCGCTTTGAGGCGCTGTCGCTCGGCCTTGCGCACTGTCCTGTCTCCTCGCCTTGGGAACCTGGTTTGAAATGTTATCAGGAAGACCTATTTGTTCACTATGGACAGATATTTGACCCAGAAAAAAGACATTAACACAATCAATAAATATAGAAGTATCAAATCTACCAATAGCATAAAAGAAATGTTGACTGACAGAATTATTATTTCCATTAGTCTCTACCTTAATTCTCCAGACGGCCCATGCTCAGGGATTGAAAGAGGTGTCTTCGTTCTAATGAGGTTGTGGCTGGGGTCATGGCTATGTCTGCACATCTCACACAGGATGCAGGATGGACATACACTGGAGATGAGGTCATTCACCGTGAGTTTAACACTGTAGATTTGTGATGGAGACAATGTCGTGAAAGTACCTACCTGCATTTGTACGCCCCATCAGAGGTGAGTTTGTTGCAGCTGCTGCAGTTTGGGGTGTAACCCAGGGACTCATTTGAGGTGGATGGGCCTGCGCTGGGGCCCAGAGGAACACCACCACTTGCACCGTTCACCTCAAGGCCTCTGTCTGAAGACTTGTGTGTGCAGCACTGACCAGAGAAATCACTGCACATCCTCTCTACCACTTCTTTAACCACTTCATCTTTAAACTGTGATACAAAAATAAAATAGTTAATAAACCTTTTGAAATCCAATACTTTTTTTAATCCATTTGTTGAGATAGAATTTACCTTCTCCATATAGGATCTAAACCATACAGGAGGGGGCTCATCTTCTGGTTTGTTTGCCTTGCTGTCTTTCACTGCAGCCTAAAACAAAGCAAAAGGATTCCCAATTCATTATTCAGTACATATAAAACCTAGACATTTGACTAAAGTAAAAGACTTCTTACAGCCTCTTTCTCTGGTGTGACTTGAGTGCCTTTGTCCACAGTCTTGACTCTGGAAGGATACGGAGGAGCAGGTCGGAGGTCCCCTTTAAGTTCCTTCACTTCAGTCTTCAATGGTCCACATGCCTGTCCCTTCATTTTGTACACGTTCATGTGTAACTGGTTCCCCTGCTTCTCTGCACTCTACATACCACAAAGACATGGTACTACAAAACATAGTGAAAGTGCAGCGAAAGTGATATTAAAGTGACTTACCTTAATAGCTTCTTCATATTCATCTAAAAACAAACAGTATAAGGTGAATAAAAACATGATCAACAATCTCTTCCATAGTTAAATGTTACAGTCAGAAACATATACACAAGTAGAGTGAATAGAATAATACATAAAACTATAGAATATATATCCACATTCTTCTATCATTTTAGTTAAATATTTTATCTACTACAACAGCACACAATTAAAATTAAAGTTTCTTACCTTGGCTATTTATACAGATCTGAAAAGGAGAAAATACAAATATATTGGTAAATTAAATTCAAATGTGCCACTACGTTGATGTTGTTAATGGATGTAACAAGCCTTATATTATTCAAACGTGTCTATTCATAAATCAGGAATGTATTGGTGGCCACTATTTGTTATAACCTTTTTGAAACTTAATGAATCACTCATTAAACAAAATCTGACTGAGTGAGTCGTTGTGTAAACATTAACTGTATTTCTGAAAGCAATACATAATTCTTACCTCTTCGTTGTCCTCATCAAAATATTTCACTTGAAAATGGTTGATCCCAAATGACGCCTTAATCTGAAATGAAATAGTATAATTAAATATTGTATTTGCATAAAAATGTTTTGAAACAGTGGCACCCAAATTCCTGTCTACAGATGTGTTCGCTTGTCTCTCCGACAGAGCTCACGTATGGGTGAAATGTTGCAAAACGACAACACTAGATTTGTTAGCCCATTTACCGAGGACCCTTTGTTATTTCTAAAAACTGATCTAAACACACACTTTGTAACGATATCGAGAGGTGTTCAGATTGTCTTTTGTTTACGAGCCTAGGCCGTGTCTGGGCCTGCTTTTCGCCAAACTGCGCCAGCGTTTAGCCAGCACGCTTTTAGCTTACCCAGGTTTCCACCGATTCCCACTCCAATTTATCCAGATCTTGAGCAAGGAAACGCTTTACATTCCCCCTGAAATTGACTTTAATAGTAACAGGGAGCCCCATCTCAACCTTTATGGGAATTTTATAGCTATCATTGGTGGTGACACTGGTATCTTTGATCCCTTTTGCCCTCGACCGTCTTTTCTTGTTTACATCGTCAGCTGCGTCGGGAAAAAAAATACAGTGACGTTTCACGCATGCGCACTCAAATAATTAGCGGGTCGCAGTTTTATTCCGTCATCTTTAAGCTCGCAAGTGTGGCTTCAGACAACCGATAAGCCACACGTTTTCGAGTTAAATTAAAGTTTTTAGGAACTTTCTATTATTATTTCACGTCGTACGATGTCTTCGCTTCTTAAGGTGGACAATGAACTCAAAACTAAGGTAAGGGTATGCAGAACTGAAGCACATTTTTGGCTACTTAATGCGATGTTGGCATTTGTGTGCTAATGGTTTGGCTGATTTTAGCGTGATCCAGGCTAATAGATAACAGTGGCTAACCGGCTCGTTTCCCGCCTGCCTTATTACACCTGTCAAATCTCGTTTTCTTTGCTTCGACGGAGCAAATGAAGGCTGGATCTGGAGATTGTGTTCACCACTTTGCTAATAAGCAAATACCAGTCACCAAAATGGCAGACCACATGTGTGAAAACATAGGCCCTGAGTTACCTGTAGCCGTCATACCAGCTTCAAAACAACATACCGGCGTGGGCTATTTATCATGTATTTACTAAAGTATTATGGCTAAGGTTTAATCTTTTCGAAACATAAGATTTTTCATTTGTCTGTCTGGATTTGCTGACACGTGTTTTAATATTTTTAGGTTGATTCTTTTAGGGAACGTATCACAGCAGAGGTAAGTACAATTATTTCACATTTGTTAAAAGTGTTTTAGCCGGAATAATAAACTATAAAGGCTAGATAAATGTCATTATTCTCTTACAGGCAGAGGATCTAGTGGCAAACTTTTTCCCCAAAAAATTACTTGAGCTTGATCACTTTTTAAAGGTATTTAGGCTTTTTTAAAATTCAACAGTTCTTGTCCCCCCCATGCCAGTATTTCACCATTACATTATGTTTGTAGGACCCCATCATCAACGTTACAGAACTGAAGGAGATTCATGCAGAAATAAACATCACAGTGCCAGACCCCATATTGTTGCCAAACCTCCATGACGGCCTCGAGGCGGTAAAGTTCTACCTTTTTTAAAGCCGTTGTTTTCAATGGTGATGGATGAAAACATATCATGATTATGCTTTTTTCTTACAGCAAAATGCTAAAAAGCGAAAGCTGGATGATGGAGGAGGGGATGACATGAGTAAGTACAGCCACATGGATTACCTCAAAAGGTTTTAGAAGAACATGTAACATGATGGGACACATTATGAGAATGGGAGGGCCTGCATTTATTAGTAATTTTTCTTGAACGGTCTACTGTTGTAACAGTTATTTACCTCTGAAATTGTCCTATTTATCTTTCAGTGACTGGCACCAAGGTCTTTGTTATGCCAGGTGGCATGATGAAGAGCAACTCTAACCTTGTTGATCTTATAGAGAAAGTCAAACCTGAAATCAGGACACTCATTGAGAAATGTAACACCGTAAGTTACAACATACATTCATTATGTTAAAATGAATGTGTTCATAGCTTATTATTTAAGTTTTAGAGTTTTGAAAAAAAAAATTAAAATTAAATTTCTTGTTTAGGTCAAAATGTGGGTTCAGCTTCTCATTCCAAGGATAGAAGACGGCAACAACTTTGGAGTGTCAATTCAGGAGGAGACAGTAGCTGAACTCCGAACTGTTGAAGGGGAAGCGGCATCCTACCTCGACCAAATATCAAGGTGATAAATATTCTATACATATAAAACTTTGTGATTGTTATATTAAATTAATATTTATGTTGTTTTATTTTAATGTAACATTTTTCAGATATTACATCACAAGGGCAAAGCTGGTTTCCAAAATAGCAAAATATCCTCATGTTGTGAGTATAGATTGCAATTATACATGTATACAGAGCCTCAACTGGTGTGCAACAGCACCATCTAGTGTCTTGTTGATCTGAACTAACAAACTTGGACTTGGATTAGATTATAACACGTTATATATATATAATTACAGGAGGACTACCGACGCACGGTTACTGAAATTGATGAGAAGGAATACATCAGTCTGAAGATTATAGTATCAGAGCTCAGAAACCAATATGTAAGTTGTTGCTTTCAAATATGCCCTACCTATAGCAGTTTTTTTTTTTTTTTTTTTAACATTGATTTAATTTTATTGTTTTTCTTTTTAGGTAACATTGCACGACATGATTCTGAAAAACATTGAAAAGATCAAGAGGCCTCGGAGCAGTAACACGGATGCGTTGTACTAATGTTGATCGTTGTTCCCCGGACAGCCTCCTACATTTCCCATCATGCCTGTGGAGCTGTTGTCAGTTACCTCTGTTCTTGGCCCGGACCCCCAGTACAATCGGCACTTCCAATGCTGTCAAAAATGGACACATAACTCATTCATGTTTTGTTTTAAATGTAAAATATGTTTCTTTTTAAGCCCTTTAAAGACATAATTATCCTCTTATAAAACAGAGGTTAGGTCATAGACACACAAATGCGCTATGTATTTTTTAATTTTAATTAAACATTTCTCCTCAATCTTTTGTGGTTTGGCCTTTACTTATTGAGGAGGAAACTTAACCAATTTAAGTCTTCACTGATTGATTAATTTTATTGGCTGTTACCTAATACACATGTTATTGCATCATGTCTGATATCTAGTTAGGCTAGTATACACCATCAGATATGAGCTAGGCATTTTCTTATTCTGGAAATATCAGCATTAATTTTTCTGCTATCTTCCAACACAGACGTTCTAATCTAATCCCTTACTCAATAGTTGTATTTCTGCAATTTGTTTCTAATTGTTAGGGTAACTCCTTTACTTCTACTTCTGACTGTAATAATACTTTAACAGTACTCTCAATATCTTTCTTCCACCTTTTTCAAATAGTTTTTAATAAGATATTCTAATTTTATTCATATCTATTTCTCTGGTATTGTATAATGTGGCAGCTTATTCAGTCCTATGCTCTTTTGATCTATCAGTGAAAACAGTTTTAAAAGGACTCACGTGTAGCTCTGAAGGCAGCCTCACTTTTGACCCACTCGGATGCAGGGGTGAAAGTCAGTTGGCGGGACCGCTAAGTGACAAGAGCATGTTTGGGTTAATATTTAAATGGTGTTCCCTGCGTCACCATCAGGACTTTCTCAGAAACTTCAGGACACAACAATCTGTATTCATAGGTTGAAAAAACAATTTTATTAACAATCGACATTATAAGAATATGCTTAAAGGATCAATACACTCATATTCTAACTTTCAAATGTAAAAACAGAGGCCCAGAATGTATAGGCTCGCTAGGGAATGTATAAAAACAATCAGATTTATTGAACACTTAAATATTGTGAAAATGTTATGAAAAATAGTAATTAATTATATTCAGCTCAAAATATTCTCCAGTAAAAAAAAAAAATATTCTGATGCAATTTTTTTGATTGGGAAGGGTATCTGAAGTAAAAAAAAAAAAAATGCAATTATCTCCAATGAAAAAAGGGATTTCATTGACCATTTCATCTTTTAACACGTTTTAAAACTTGATAAAAAAAATTCAACATTAAATGACATTTGTTAATATTATAAAAACTAGATGAACATTTGAAATTACAATTTTTTGTCTGCCCTTTCTGCTGTAAAAATCTTGTACAGCACCCAAGGAACAATAGTGGTGGGAATTAAAATAACCAGTGTACTCTTAACAAACGAGAGGGAATAAAAACTCATATGGTTATCAGAGGAAAAAGTCCATCCATCAAAAACGTAGAGTAGGACTAATGAAGCTGCCACACACCCCATCCTGAAGGTGTAACTCCTCTTTTTAGTGTCTTTATTTAAGGGTGAGTGGAGACCCAATCCCAGTCCACAGATGGTTCCCATGTGACGGAGCAGGGTGGCGAAGGGGCTGGTTTCCAGGTGAATCCACTCCACATGGACACACCATTTTTCAGCTTTCTCCATGGTCCAGAGGAGGTCCACGCCCAGAGCTTCGAGCAGAAGGTAGAATCCCACAACGAACAAGGCGAGGAAGAGTGTGGTGAAGAGATATTTTTTTAGACTGGCGTGGTAGATCCACTTGAACTGAGAAATGACCTCAGCTACAAGAATACCTGCACAGATGTGAAGACATGATTTATGATCAGAGACTGTATACATAAATAGAGATAGCTAATCTCCTAGCCATCCCGTTCCATACAGGAAGTGAGCATGGGGGCGCTTCCGACTCCATCGATGTTGGATCTAATTGACTTTATATTATATGAAAAATTGTCACCTCTCTCTAACTGCTGCAGTGAGCCTCATAATGTTGGTCTTAAAATTTGTATTAACCCACTTGAGATGATCCTGGTGTTTTTATTTTGCTAAAGTTTTGTCTGTAAATAAATTCCTATTCCCTATATGAAACTGACACAAATTTTCCCCACTAGCTAAGGTGCCAGCAGGCCAGGTTATAGGTCAACTCTGTCAAACCCATGCAGAGGAATCCATATTTTTAAGTTCTATGCCATACTGCGGTAGCCTGATTCATTAGCTGGTTTCACTTCATAGAAACCGTCTGACATCACAGCATTAGAATTCGTTTGCTCAACAGTAGGCGGGTACTTTTTAAAAAAAAAATTACCAATCGCTGCTATTTGGTCGTGACATATGTAATGCGCTGCTAATGGGGCTAACTGGTATTTTAAGCTTTTCCCAAATTCTGTAGGAAGAAGGACAATAACGTCTTTCCCCTTGATAAAATTCACCAAACATTCTCTTTGTTCCAACTTTAAATCCTTGATCTTGGGAATCGTTGCCAACACAGAATGTATGGTTCTTCTGATTGGCTGGTGCCCAAACTCGCACTTCTGAGGTTTTTTCGAACCGTCTAGTGTATTCTGATTCCTGATCTAGTTGCTGGAGAGAAATAAAATTGAGTGGAGGCACTAGGTGGCACCAGCCTGACTAATACTGCAGAACATTCCAGGAAAAGCAGAAACATCTCCACGGAGACAAGAATGTGGAACCCTTTCAGAAAAAGTTGGATATTGCACAAAGTAATCTAAAATTTTGTCAAAATTATCTTTAAGTCCTATATTTAGACTATTACTCACTTTACATTTTCGTGACAGTTTCTTGATTCAAAACCCTTTTTTTCCTGTTAGGCAATTTTATTTAGCATCATATCATTCAATATTTTGCATCTTGAATAACTAAGTAAAATAGCAATGATATACTGACCAGTGAGCACTCCAGCGATGACTTGATGAGGGAAATGAGCCGCCATGTAAACACGAGACATGCAAACGACCAACAAGAACGACCCCATTATAGCATTTAGCCCCATCTGCAAGAATCTGACACGAAATTCATGAAACATTATTAAAATTGTGGCATGACCATAGATATAAAATTGAGTTTAAGATGATTGTTTTATCTTTACGTGTATAACAGCGGTGGACATTGCTTCTCAGTTGCCAGTGAGAGGAGAGCTGTAATCATCACATACCAGACCCCAGCCGCACCCATGGCATGACCTGAGGGGCTTCCTACAAGTAAAATAGGTGAGCATTTTGTTGAATACTACTATTAAAAACCAAGGGGTGTGTTCATGTAACAGCACAGCACTATTGTTCAAAACTAGTTTGCATTTAGACTGTTGTAGATTAATGATTTGACCTGGTTAATATCCATAATGAGGTCAATCCATATCATAAAAAATGGCCCAAAATTTAGTTTTCAGACCAAAAAACAAGGGATTATTGATAATGGTGTAACAATATCAAAGTCTCACGATACAATATCCTCACAGTATGAACCCTATGGTACGATATTTATTGCAATATTGTGGGAAAGCTCATGATATGGAGGCTCACGATTAGGGATGTAACAATATCCAAAGCTCTCTGTACGATATTTTCACGATATACATCTTACAGTACGATATTTATTGGGATATTTTGTGGAGGCTAAACAGCTAAAACTGTGAATATGTTACTTTTTCCTCTTAAAATGCCTTGACAAGACTTAATCCAAAGAACTAAGACTTAAAAGTGTTTAGAACTGTTATTTCTTCTTGTAGTCTACACTGAAATGGAGCAGAGGATCATGGTCTATGTATTTCTGTCTTTTTTAGCTATTGCTGCACAATAACTCTTCATTTAAGCAAAGAGACTTGTAATTCGATATATTGTGATGGTCCACGATATTATTGTTAGAACTCTGACAATACGATATCACGATATTTCAGTTATTGTTACATCCCTAATTACCAGTAGTAATATTCTCACATTACCACAAAGTGCCTGCATTTTACAGACATAATTGCTGTTAGGTGAAAAACACAAAATTAGTCCTTAAAGTTATAGAATCATGGTTTGTTTACAGTTTGAATACAGTTTGGCCATAGCTTCCTAAAAGTTTTGTTATTTTAAGGAAATTTATTTTGGTACCTCTTCATTTAATATTATCACTCAAATCAAGTTATAAAATGGATATTCTAACTTTCAAACCATTTTAATTCTGATGCAAAAATATTCAAATGCATTTAATATTATGAATCAAAGGGGAAATCATGTTACAATGGATCATAAATCAGTGGGGGAGTGTTTTGTCACAAATCTAAATCCCTAGTTCAATTGTTTATGTATCTTGGTAAGGTTAAGAACAAAGGTTAAGAGGACATCAGTGAAGCATTATACCTGGCCCAGTCTCACACGTGATGGGAAACTGCCGTAGAGGAGGAGCTGGACCTGTTCCATAGAATCGCGTCTCCTTAACCCACCAATATGGCCGCTCTCCAAACAGGACCCTAATGTGACAAAACACACAGGTTGGGTTTCTGTGCTTTTTTTGGGACATTACATTGACCTACATTCATTTCCTTGAGCCTTAAACATAGTCACTACTCTCCTCACTTTAACCTAAACCCTAAACATAACCCATCACACATATCACATTTACATAACTACAAATCATAAATCATGTTGTTGATCTAATAAGGATTTACGTCATGGGGAAACGTGATAAGAAAAGGCAGGTCAGCAATGTGTAAACAGATTTTAGCACCCACATTCTCAAATATCTGTCCAAATACACTTTTGCTTATTTTCTCATTTTAAAATATGCAAACGTTACCATTTCAGAACTAGGTTGAGCCAATCCCCAATCACAGCCACCCAGAGGAGGCGGATTGCAATGTCCCGTCGGAGGTGAAACCAAATTGGGAAAAATAAGAAAAAAGTCATGTGCAAATCTGCAACTGACGACGCGAGGTTAAACAATCCTTCATAGCTCTGATAGTTTGTTTGCAGGTACACGGCCAGCTCGACCCCCCAGCTGTGCAAGAGATCCATAGTTCCAGATCCAAATCCACTGAGTTGTGCTGTTTAAGTAGAGACCAGCCTTTTGTTGATGTAAGTTTTTGCAATTCAGTGTATATGCTAGCCCCACTGGACTTTAATCAAGGTTAGCACATTTGTTTGCTTTTGGGATGGTGCAGATGGGCTTGGTGACCTTTGACCTGAACATCCCAAAATCTGGATAGTTAAACTTTTCTGAGAAATGTGCTAATTAGTCAAATTGTATCTTAACACCGCAAACAAATCAATCAGTTCAGATTAGAAAGCCAGTGGTTTTGTCCTGGACATGAAAGTACTACTGTTTGAGAGTGAACATTTAAAAACAAAATATGATGAAATTGATTCTGGTTAGGTCATCATTTAGCTTAAATATAAACTTGCCATGAGCCAACCACATGGTCCACAAACAAAGAGGAGGCAGGCCCAATTTTCAGCCATTTTGTAACCTTGAGAAAGGTCAAGGGTCAAGAGCCAAACCATGGAGAAGGAGACGATCTATTTATTCATTTGGGTGTTTAAGATTTTATTTTATTTGTGTAAGGTATTGTCACTTAATAAAATACATGTTATTTTATTCAATGCACATTAACTGAGGGTGCAAAACATTTCAAGTCAGGGAGTGATGTTTTTGCCCCCCTGTATACCAGGGCCTGAATGCACATGAAGATAGATCATGCTTTATATCTCATAAACATTACCTAAAATAAGCCCTTGTTTTGGAAAATAATACATTCAATTAATCAAAGTTGTAAATCATATTTGTTCCATTACTACAAAGAAATGTAAAGGACCTGCATTAAACTTAATGACTTCCACAGTTCCATGTTTATCTCACTCTATCTCCTCAGTTCAGACATGTAATCATTGACCCCCTTATGTAACCTGCAGATGTGTTACTGCTTTTCCAACACATTACCAAAGCTCTCCTGATTTTGGGTGAATAATAGGTGGTTGTTTGCAAAAACAAATACATTGTATAACAAGTCAGACCCTCTCCTTGGCACAGAGCAGAGTTTCACAGTGTAAACAAGTACAACTAGTCAAAGCCAATGATGTGCCAGTGTTGATTGGAATCATTAACCACACAATATATGAATCCAAAGTTATGCATCTCGTGTCAAAAAATAATCTCAAAATGCATAATTACTATAAATCTATATAAACGAGAATATAGCATATATGAAGTTGGATTAGTATGTACCAAACATGTACAAATAACACTTGTCTGCTTTTCCTGAGACTGTATTTAACCTGAAAGCAAAGGGCAACATTTGCTTATACTTATAAAATGTTATATTTGGAATTTAACATGACCACAGGAAGAGTAGTTGATCCCAAGGGGAGCTAAATAAACAATATAGTTTTATTAAAAATCTTATTGCATAGATTTTCCCATTAATGTTTTGACACAAGTATTTCAGTGCAGTTAATTTGAGCTGACAGACAACAAGACTTTTCTAGTTGGCTGTTTCAAATGGATACCCCAATTTTTTAAATTAGATATATTAACCATAAATCAGGTCACAACATTTTCAGTATATGACCCAATAATTCCTACCCTAGAACCCCCCCTGCCCTTCACCTCCTGATTGATTGATCCCTTTGAAAGCTGTTCAATCACGTGCACACAGCCTGCTCACTTTTATCTCTCCATTTCCACATTTCTATTGCGCTTCATGACGTCAAACAAAGTCAGTTCATTCTCCTAACATATGTACAACTTGTTTGTCTGTTGGACGTCCCCGAACTCAGTCCCTGTGTTTTATTAATGTTCAATGTCCAAAGGTCAACGTGAGCATGCGTTTAGGTGGTGGGTCCCTTGTCTATAAAAACAAGCTGCAGTGTCAGGGATAGAACCAGTCTATTTTGCATCTCAATTGGGTTTGGGTTATAGTTTCAACTATTTAAACATGTTTAGTACTGTAATGGACGCTTTGCAGGGTTTTGGGATCACTAGCACCCACTATCTACAAACAAACTATGAAGATGCACAGGGCTTGTTTCTCTGGGTGTCATGGGCAGCCGATTTAAGAAACACATTTTTTATTTTCTTTCCTCTTTGGATTCACCTGCGTGCCTCTGTGGGCATCAAACTCATCTGGGTAGCAGTGATAGGAGACTGGTTGAATTTAGTGTTCAAATGGTAAGAAATGTGAAGAATTTGAAAGTGAAATTTTGTGTGAAACAAATATTAACTTCTTGGTTTTCTTCTAGGATTCTGTTTGGGGAAAGGCCGTACTGGTGGGTGCATGAGGCGTCCTACTATGGCAACGGTGTCCGGCCACATATTGAGCAATATCCAATGACGTGTGAGACTGGTCCAGGTAAGAACAGAACAGAACAGAACAGCTAGTTTGCATTCACACACACACACACTGCATCAAACATGGGACTAAACCTGGACTAGAACAGGACTAAACCAGGACTAGATGAGGATCAAACCAAGTCTAGATCAGAATTAAAGCAGTACTTGATATGGAATAAACAGAATAGTTAGTTTACATTCACACACACACACTGCATCAAAAGCAGGACTAAACTGGTACTAAACCTGGACTAGAACAGGACTAAAACAGGACTAGAAGAGGATCAAACCAAATCTGGACCCGTATTAAAGCAGTACTTGAAGTGAATTAAACAGAACAGTTAGATTACATTCACACACACACGCGCACGCACACACACGCGCACACACGCACACACACACACTGTATCAAAAGTGGGACTAAACTGGTTCTAAACCTGAACTAGAACAGGACTCAACCAGGTCTAGATAAGGATCTACTAATGTGGCAAGTGCACTACCACAGCTGCTACTACTACTACTACTACTACTACTTCTACTACTACTACTACTACTACTACTACTACTACTACTACTACTACTACTACTACTACTACCTGTACTGCATTATAAATCAACTGTTACTTTAATGTTACTACTACAACTGCCACTACAAACTTTAAGTGAACTTTATAAACACTCACAACGTGACAAAATGGGGTGGGAAAAAAGGAAAATGCCTTTAAAATTATGCTTTGAGTTTGTAATTAATAGTAAAAGATGATGAAAGGAAATAGTGATGGTGAAAATAATACTATATAAGTATAGGGAATAAAAATGTTTATTTAAAAAAAAGGCGAAGAAAGAGAGAGAAGAGGATTTTTAATAATAAATTGGCCAAAATGTATCAATGTAAGGGGGCCTAGAGGTGTGTTTATGCGGCACTACCACATTACTTTTGTTTTATTTAACCAAATTTGTGTTGTTATGTAGGTGTGTGTGGTTGGGGGGAATGGGGGGGTACGTTGGTTTATGTTTTTGTGTTTAGTTTTATGTTGTATTTTGTTAAATGTATATCTGTATATATATTGTATTTTATTATATTTCTTATGTATGGACTGTATGTGCTTTCTGTGTCCTTAATAAAGATTATGATTAATAAAATAATTTTTTCTTCCAGGTAGTCCATCAGGCCACGCTATGGGAGCAGCTGGGGTCTACTACACTTTGGTCACCTCCATCTTAGCGATCATGACAAGCAAGAAGAAAATTGGAAGCAAGAAAACCAACAAAAAAGACTGGTAAGAGAGTGTAAACCTTCATGTAATTCAGGCTCTATAGATCTTGGCATTGTGTCTTATTTACTCCTGTTATCAGCACAGACACACTATCTTTGCCTGGAGAGTTGATCATTGACTTAGAGGACAGGAAGAAAGCAACAAAACATGGGTTGTTTTGATGTACATGCACCAGTGTCCCGCAATAGTGTGATAATTGTTATATTGCTTTTTCCAGGGCATAACCTTTAGGTGGAATGGCTACGTAACGGACAGTACTAAATACCTGTGCTCCTTTTGCAGGTATCTTAAGGTCATTTTGTGGAGCATCTTTTGTGGGGTCCAAGTATGCGTGTGTCTGTCGAGGGTCTTCATCGCTGCACATTTTCCTCATCAGGTCATCGCTGGCGTCATCACAGGTTAGTCCTTTTGTCTAGAATAAAATGTGTTTTTCTTCAACCACTCTTTTACATCTGTCCAAAAAGGGAGGTTGTTTAGAGCCATTTGTATCTCATTTCTAGTTTCTTTCTTTCTCCACTCTGCTTATAACTATTGAGTATGAGCAAAGACTGAGGAGTGAATCTGTGTATCATTCGTTCATTTGTTTTTCAATATAAAACCAAAAATAAGAAAATGAAAAAACAACATTTTTCTTCATTATGCATTAAAAAGGTTAACAGCTGTTTCAGGACTAAAACAGGACTAAAACAGGACTAAACTATTTTCAGTCCTGGTCTGATACCAGTTTCAGTCCTGGTCTCAGTCCTGGTCTCGGTCACAGTCTAGTCCTGGTCTGGTCCCGGTCTGGTCCCGGTCTCAGTCTCGGTCTCACTCACGGTCTTGTCCTCGTCTGGTCCCAGCCTCAGTCCTGATCTCAGTCCTGGTATGAGCCTGGTCTCAGTTCCGGTCTCAGTCCTGGTCCTGTTCCTAGTCTCAGTCCTGGTCTCAGTTCTGGTCTGGTCCCAGCCTCAGTCCTAGTCTCAGTCCCGGTCTGGTCCCGGTTTCAGTCCTGGTCTCAATCATGGTCTGGTCCTGGTTTGGTCCCGGCCTCAGTCCTGGTCTCAGTCCTGGTTTGGTCCCGGTCTAAGCGCTGGTCTCAGTCCTGGTCTGGATCCGGTCTGGTCCCGGACCTACTTTAGTCCTGTTTTAGTCCTGGTTCAGTCCAGCATCGCAATTTAAAGTCACAGAAACTGGAAACGGTTATCCGTTTTCCCCCCATTTTTCATTTAAACACAAATTCGAAAACTGAAAAAACTAATCGTTATCCATTTTTTTCATTTTGGTTTTGGAGACAAATAATGAAGAAAATAGTTGTTTTTTAGTTTTCTTATTATTGTTTTTATATTGAAAAACGAATGAACGAATGATACACGGATTGGAGTGAATAAATAATTACTTGAATAATTGTTTTTCTATCAAGTTTCAAGAATAGCACTCTATAATAGTTTTATAGTCTTTTTCTTTTAAGTTCTATACAATTTTTCATAACCTAAACTTGTCCCCATTTAGGCATGATTGTCGCAGAGGCCTTTAACCGCACACAGTGGATCTACAGCGCCAGCATGAAACAGTACTTCTTCACCACGCTCTTCCTCACCTCCTTCGCTGTGGGCTTCTATCTCCTGCTCAAATCTTTGGGCGTGGACCTCCTCTGGACCTTGGAAAAAGCCCAAAAATGGTGCGTCCATCCTGAGTGGGTTCACCTGGACACCACCCCCTTCGCCAGCCTGCTCAGAAACATGGGCACGCTGTTTGGACTGGGCCTCGGTCTTCACTCTCCTCTGTACACTGAAAGTAAAAAGAGCAACACTACGGGGCAGAAGTTGGCGTGCGTCGTGAGTTCTCTGGTTTTGCTTCATCTTTTTGACTCGTTCAAACCTCCCACCCACACCGCGCCGCTCTTCTATCTCCTCTCGTTCTGTAAAAGTGCCACTGTGCCCCTGGTGACGGTCAGTATTGTCCCGTATGTGGTGAATGGGGCGCTCAATCTGCAGGGGAAGAAGAAACTTTGATATGGGACACTCAATAGACTTTATTCATCATCTGGAATTTGGACTGAAATAAGTGAAGAAAACTATTGAACGATTACCGTGTTGTATTCATGGGTTTCTGTGATATCAGTAGATGATTTGAAGGACTTTTTAAGGACTACATCCAAAACATAAAATACCTGAAATTGGAAACCTGTGAATGAAATCTGTGAGCACTATATTGTAATTATGAAATTGTCCAACCATCACCTCAGAAGCTAACAGTTGAACTCTGTGTTTCATGCCATATTTTTATATTAATATATTTTTAAATGTTATTTTTATGGTTTTTTTTATTTTCATTAAAAGTTAAAAATCAAACCATGGTGCCATTTCTTGTTTTAGTACAGCATATATATATAATAGAACAGTATGAATATGTTTACTGTAATGTACACGTCACCACTACACTTGAAGACCAGGGTAAGGTCAGTATTACATTCCAGTTCCTTAGGTGAGGGCTTCCCCAACCTTTACACAGAAAAGCATACATTATATATTCTATTTACATTTTTACAAAGATTAATCATTTCAGAGGGACCTTTGTTCATACTGTCATGTCAATGTCCAGTCAGGTCTTAAAACAGGGTAGTGGCAGAATCTTAAAAGTCTTAAAAAGGTCTTAAATTTCATGTTCCTAAAATATGGCTTTAAAAAGTCTTAAATTAGGTTGTCCAAGTCTTATTTTTTTCACAAAGGTCTTAAATTTAATTAGTCTATTTTCTGTATACTCAACCAGGCTGCAGTGCGATGTTAAATGGAGGAAGAAAAAAAACAACATCGTGAAATCATGTAACACGAATAAACGTCTAATTTGGAGTATGCGCAAACAATACTTTAGTAAACCATCAGTAGAGTGGAGGAAAACGTTGGATGGATCATGGGGAAGTGTAGGCTTAATCCACAGTGGCTCTTAGATTCCACATATAGTAAGGTAGTTGGTTGGTCACTATTAGAATTGGATCTGGTGTTTTTTCACCCACATAATGGGTGCGATGTTGGTCATAATTTTCATGTAAGTGGCCTTAAAAAGGTCTTTAAAAAGTTTTAAATTTGGGGTAGACAAACCTGGAAACACCCTGTAAAGGCTAAGCAGGGTTGAACCTAGTTAGAACTGGATGGGAGACCTCTGGGTGCTGCAATGGGGCAGCAGTGTTGTGTCCTTGGGCAAGACACTTCACCCACCTTGCATCCAGTGTCTATGATGTGTGAATGACAGTAAATATAAAAATATATGGAAATTATTATCCAGCGTTTTACAGCATGCATGTCATGTATGTTCTTTAACACTCGCTGTCCAAACCAAATAAATAATTTTTTCAGATGTGGTGATGTCATATTGTCAGAGAGAGAACAAGAGACAGTTTTGTATTGATTCGTTTGTACTTTGCCATTAATATCCAAAAGGATAATTGACAAATGTTGAACCTGAACATTTCTATTAGAGACTAGAACCTTGAGCTCACTCTATTACAAAACACAATTCTGAATGAGATATTATTGGCCTGTAAAATGTTGTGATGCCACCTGGAACCCAGCAATAAACCAATCCAATAGCCTGCTGTTAATAGTTATAGTATTTGATACACTGATCTGTTTATTACCCAATACTGTTAATAGTTCTTCAGTCTGACCAAAGCTGGCACACTCTCAGACTCCAGTAACCCAGATAACTCATGGCAGTATGCGAAAACGCAACAGGGGTGGGTCCGCCGATATGATTTCAGATAGTAGCTTTAATACATCCACTATTTTTTGTTGTCACATAAGTCTTACATTTAGGGCTGAATGATTTGGGAAAAATATCTAATTGCGATTTTTATGGCAAGCTTTGCAATTGCGATTAAATTTGCTATTTATGTTTTAATAATTCTGGATTCTGTTCAAAGTTCAGGAATAATTGACAAAAGATTGAAATATGAACTGATACAAAATACAAGAATCACATATATAGAGCATTATTGTTGTTGAACAGAGCGGTACAAAAGGGTTACCAGCTTTTAAGTAGAGTAAGACAAGATATTAAGTTGTACTGTTGGTACTTAAAAATGTCTGTCTTTGTTAGTTGTGTCCTTTCAAACTGTATTATGATTTTGATTTGATTGTGATTAATCTTGCAGGTTATTGTAGTGACTTGTGTGTATATATTCTTATTTCAGTGTTAAAAAAAATCTATATCTATCCACGCTTTGACCTTGTGATCCGAGGAGCAGCAACGACACAGACTCTTATGTCACAGAGAGGATGAGGTGAGGGTACAAGTGTGCAAGCTGTACTTTGTCCATTCAGATGCACATGACTCCTGCGTGGTGATGACAATACAAGTTAAAGGGAAAGCATGCTTCAATCTAATCTCTTTATATCTATCCACAAAAAAAAATTCCACTATGATTCAGATAGTCATTCACATAAATTTATATGGGACATTGTCATTTCAAAGTCTGTTTCGTGCATAAGGATCATATTTAATTCCAAGCCCGATTATGTTTAAATCCGGGCTCAAAATGGTTCTGTTTAGCTCTGCGTATGACAGAAAGGTTTTTATTCCACTCCACACTCATCTCTCTTCTCTTTTAATGTTAGTTTTATGATGATTATTTACATTTAGATTTGTTTGTGTTGTGATTTGGTTGTCTTTCTTTTTCCCTAAAGCATGTTGAATTACTCTGTGTACAAACAGTGTTATAAATAAACTTTGCCTTACCATTTCCTGGCTATAAAAGGCTTGTAAACAAACAAAGTGATATAGATTCTGCTAGTGGACTTGTTTCTAATTTGGACTAATCTACTTTTCAATAGCTACAGGGCAGACTGTTAAGGGTTAAATATAAGAGTTTCCATTTGATCTGTTGTATTAGTATTGACCAATAATCAAGATGTCTCTGATTCAATTCTGGATGCCCTTAGCGCTAAATGTCAGTTTGATCTCTCAAAATATAAACTTTCAACTGTAAACAACAACTCTGACCAATGTCGATGTCTGCTGTTCAGTTCTGCATGCCCTTGTTTTTTTTTATTGAAAGACAAATTTGCTCTCTCAGCACATAAACAGGAGGGAGGAGGATTAACCACCATTATGTAGGGTTATCAAAAAGACATAAAGACATAAAGACCTCATTGGATCGCTCTTGAATTGGTGTTAATGTTTCCATTGGTTTGAAAATAGTCTGAAACACTACCAGTATTCGAGAGTACTGTCCATAATTGAAATTAAAGGTGCACCACACAGCCTTTCTGGTAGAGGGTAGTACACCACCAGCTTCTCTGCATTGTTTTGATGTTCCGCAGTATGTCATTAAACTTGTCTATCTCTGTGAAAACAATACGTATGCAGGTTTTTTCAAATAGTACAATGCTTATAACAATATAGTGAGTCTCCTCATCAGTGAATTTAGGTAGAAACAAAAATATCTAGACATCATTAACCAGTGGTGGAACCAAGTTGTTGTTTTGCAAGTCTCAAGTAAGTCTTTGACCTCAAGTCCGAGTCAAGTCCCAAGTCAAATACAGACAAGTCCAAGTCGAGTCTTAAGTCACTGGCCCTTAAGTCCAAGTCAAGTCCAAGTCGTCTACTTTGAGCTTCAAGTCATTTCAAGTCTTTAAACCAAAACAGCAATTACAGCTTAGATTTTTGCAATTTATATGATTTTTAAGCTCATTTGTACTTAAAAAGTCATGGCATATTTATATATGATTATTTATATAAGAGTTGTAGAACTGCAAAGATCTTAGTGTGAATCATTACTGTCAGAATAAAAATAATTCAGATTCAAAAGTGCTAAATAACAGTTTCTTTTTTTTTTTTTTTGTCATGAAGGGTCATGATATATGTAGTTCCATACATTTTACTGTATTGTACTTTATTGTACTGTACATTACTGTAGTACATTTGATGATACCACATCACAACAGTACTTCAGTTTCATCCAAAGTAACAAACAAAGAAGTGGGAGGGACATGTTCCAGTTTGTTCCTGTAAAATTATTTTATCATCATCATTTAATCATTTATCAACTGAAAAAAAAAGCGTTTTCAAAAACCATATATTTTTTTAGGAAAAGTATCAAGTCTTCTCAAGTCACGGGGCTCAAGTCCGAGCCAAGTCCGAAGTCACTGACCTTCAAGTCCAAATTGAATCCCAAGTCTAATTTATCAAGTCTCAAGTCCTAAAAATAGTGACTCAAGTCTGACTCGAGACCAAGTCACGACTCGCAAGTCCCACCTCTGTCATTAACCAAACACTATGATGTACAGTAAGTATGGCTGGGTTTGGGTTCACTCAAACACACAAACATTGAGACTAAAATACAGAACTTAACCAGGACTGAACCAGGACCAAGACACAAGAGGACCAAACCAAGTCTACATCAGGACCGTGATCAAACCAAGTGAACTCAGCTTTTATAGCATTTCACAAACAGACCACAAACTACACACATACTTTTCAATTTAAACACAATTTATTTTCTGCTTAAATAATTATTTTGTTCATCCAGTGTAGGCTATGTCCATACAGGGTTGTACCAGGTTTCGTCATCTTTAGACAGTGGATGCTTCGGTGCTTTTGTATGAAAAAAGACAGACACACAAATGTACACAGGAACAGAAAATCTGATCTTTAACAATACTGTTGATTTAAGTAAAAAGTACAACGTTTTTATCCTATTGGTATTAAAAATGAGATCTTCTGCTCTTGTGTTAAAATACAACCAATTAAATAAAGATTAAAAATCATCAAACCATCAAAATAAAAAGTCCCCTTTAAAAAACACAGCAGATCTAAAAGCAAGTAGAAGCATGAGCATACAGACTATTCGGTGCACATGAGGCAGCTAGCGTTTTGAAGCTAACAAAGTCTACAGTCATTTGTATTGGTGAGTAATTGCAAACTGCTAGCTAGTATTTGTGGAAGCATAAGTATTTGAATGAGCGGAGTGTGTAGAAAGATTATAAAAAAATCAAATAAAAACAGGCATAGATGAGTTACTATGAGTGTCCACACAGAAGTACCATCGTAATAGGAGGATTACAGTGCTTCGTATTAGCAGGAAAATTAGGAAAGTTAAAATAAAGTGACGTTACATGCAGCAAAAATTAGTTTCTCTGAGTCAAATCAAAAAAATATTTCCGGGTAGTAACAACTGGATTCAAGAAACGTCCATTTTGTTAATCATCAAGCACTTTTGTCATTCATGTACATACAGCTTGTTTTGTAGTTTTCAGGAAGAGCAACATTGAGGAGGGACACTGAAGACTTAAGTGCCCATCGCTCCATACAAACTCACTGATTCTGCAAAGCTTTCCCCCCGCTCATCAGTGCATAAACTCTATTGATTTATACAGTGTCAATTATTTACATTAAAATCACCCATTCGCTGCTAGAATTCATTATTTTCAATCTAGGAACCACTCAGTGCACCTGAATACTGTGGCTCCAACAGGAAAAGTCGACCATATAAGGCAAGTGTCTATCAGGAAGTCCGTTTTGTATTCTCGATTTTTTGTCCCAGGAGCGCCATCTTTGGTCACACTCGGTCCCTGCGCTGTGTGTTGTTTGCTGTTCCAACCGTAAAAGTAGTGGTGACATGCTCATGCGAAATCAAATGTATAAATGAAGTTGTTTTGCTTCTGTAAAACCATGCGTTTTTTTAAAAGTGAAAATTTCAGATTTTGGTGTTGTCAACATGGCTCCCGGTGCAGGTGTTTCCAGTTTGAGAATTCCCTCCAGGTGCGCGATGTCACAGGTGGACGACTGTGGATCTGGGAAATAAACAGAGAAAATGATTTATTATACTACTACTACTACTACAACTACTACTTCTACTACTACAACTACTACTTCTACAACTACTACAACTACTACTACTACACTACTACTAACTACTACTACTACTACTACTACTACTACTACTACTTAATTTATAATGACTTGAAATCACTTTAACTTGTAACAACAAATTGCAAAGTTAAAGGCCAAATAATAGTCCAGTCCTCTCTCTGGAAACACTACTACAGCACTGATTATGATGAAAGGTACTGTACAGTATGTGACTTTCTGGAGGAGGTAAGCCACCTGCATGATTCCATAGAAATAGAAAGTTAATAAAGTAACTTTCTTAGTTAGTATGACCATAAACGAAAACAAAAAAAAATCCTTATATTCTTTCATTCTCATTGTGGTTTATTTTGTATGATCATAAACTTTTGTGCCTTTGTTAACATTATTATTAGTTTGTACAACCATAAACGAGAAAAAACAAAAAACAAAAAAACAAAAAACAAACAAATCAAAACTGGCATCTTCAAAAAAAAAAAAATGAAGACAAGAACTAGGAAAAAAAGTGATTGTATTTCTGTTAGAGGGGTTAGTTTATGGAACAAACTGAGTGAGGATTTAAAAAAGTCTAACACTGTAGAAGCCTTAAAAAATAAATAAATAAATAAAAAGTATAAAGTATAAAGCATTATGTTTTGAAAGATATAGAGCTGAATGAATGATGCATTAAATGTTTGTTCTAATTGTTTTACTTTATGTTTTGTCTCTTATATATACAGTAAGTCATTAGTGAAATTGTAAATGCAAACCTGTCGTTCATGAGCTGCTTTCTTTCTTGGAATTCTGTCATTGTTTAATAGGGTTTGGTACTTTTGCTTCAGCTTAGACCCTTTCTGTCGTGATCCATGTAGTTGTGGTCTATGTTTTGTTTTTGTTTTGTAGAGCTGCAAAATGACCCAATTAAAAAAAAAAGGAAAGAGAAAAGTACTTTAACATCGATATATACTTTTCTACTTTTCTGTGGAAGATTATAGCCAAAGGAAGGAGAAATCGGTCCTATTCCAGGCCAATTAAGAGTCAGGTTTGTGCAGATGCAACATTTGTAAGAACATGTGTGTTATTTTATGTTTTCAGTGTAACAAACACAGCAAAAATGAAAAAAAAAAACCAAGCTTTTATTTTAGCCTATTCTTTGGCCTAAAAGGTACATACTGAGGCTTTAAAGAAACAAACAGGTAATTTAGATACATGTACTGAATCTTGATTGTTTATTATATTAGAACCAATTCAAAACACGATAAATCAGGAAACAGAAACTAATGAATAGATAAAGAATAAAGATATAACCAATCTCTTACCAGTTCATGAGCTTCACTGTTACGATTGACCCTTCTTGCCTTGTTTTTTGCTGCCTCCTTCTCCAGACTACGGAAGGAAACCACAATTAGACCAGACAAACTGACACAAATTAAATTGTAATTTCGAGTTCATGAAGTTGAGCAGAAGTTTTCAAGCAGCATGCTGAAAGAGAGAAGACAGTTAAGAAAGAAGAGTGTTAGTTTGTTAGAGCAAATACACGCAAACGAAAATTAGTCTTCTAAGTTAGATATTAGACTCTATTCTGGACTACAAAGATGGCGGCTCTCTGTTGAGTCCAACCTCAGATTTGCCTCGAGAACGCTTGCCCTTCTTCTTGCCCTTTCCCCCTTTTCCTGAAGAAGGGGCAGGGTCAGGGTCAGTGTCAGCGCCCCCTGCAGGTAAGTCATCAGCACCACCACCAACACCACCACCAACATCTACAGCCACAGTGACTGTCTCCCCCTCTTTTAACTCCTCTGAGTTGTACACACGACGCACCACCTTTCTGATCACCTGTAGGGGGCAGAGGTGAGTTAGAAGGACAGGGAGGGAGTTTGAAAGGAATGAAATGAATAATGAAATGAAATGAATATGTTAATGTTTCATTTGTTTAGATGCTAATGCTATGTTGAAACAAAGGCCCAAAACATTTTATGATTGAACTCCAAGTGACCTTCTATTCAAAGTGAAGTTAAGTTGTATTTTATCCTTGTGCCTTATAGGATATTGTGAATTATCTATGTTTTGTTAAGTCATTATTGTATTAGTATTAACATGTATTAGAGCTACAACTAAAAATGATTTTGGTTTTCAATCTGGCAATCTTTTGATAAATTGATTACTTGTTTAGATCTCGAAAAGTCTGTGAATTTGAGGTTTTTAATAAATTTGATGAAGATGAAGCTAAAAAGGTGTTGTTACAGATGTATAAGTTCATACAGTATATTTACAAAAAAATCATTTGTTTATTAAAAACACAAATTTGATGTGTTTCATGAGTCATTTTGGTGTAACTGCTGCTCTGTCTACATCATAAAACTTCTTCTCCCATCACGTGGTTTGGAGTCTGCGTATAGCTCAGAAAAACATTAATCGATTCATAAATTAGTTACTATAACTATTTTAATATTTGATTAGTGCTGATTAATCACTTAACGTTTCAGTCCTATTGTGTATATTATGTCTGTACAAATTATGAAAAGTCTTATATTTATCTTACTGGTTATTTTTTTGTTGAACTTACACAAAAACATCATCGTCATTTAATTTATGCAACTGAAGCAATATTTTTTGTAGGGAAAGAAGAATGTATATTTTATCCCCTTCACCTCAAAATTCAGAAACAGTCTTAGAAGTAATCAAAGTCATGAAAAATGTATTTTGGTAGCTTTTAGTAGCAGACTTCAGGACTCCAAATAAAATCAGTGAGTTAGATTATAGTGAGTGATGATAAAATAAAGTCACTAAATGTGGAGAGGAGGGAGCAGTTACTTTTCTTGTGACCAGATTTCCGTCTTCATCTGTGAACTGCTCCTCTGTCACAGACTCCCCAGGAAGGTTTTTGGCCTCCTCGCCCTGGATTTAGTATAAACAAAAAGGATTGAAATAATGGTAAAATGTAAAACAAAACAGCAGGAATGATATGTATGATGAAAATGTTAATTTGCATGACAATAGCACGGAACTATTACTCGCACATGGAAAAATGCAGCCCAGCTTATGCAGCCAGATCAACCAATAGAAATGCAAAATGAAAACAATGTGCAAGAATGGTATATAATCTTTAAAGGTGCACTATGTAACTTTTTCTGGTGAAGGTTTTGGTACCTGGTTGTCTCTATAATGATTTAAATTCCTAAAATGTTTCACAGAATGGCAATAAACTCCAGAGAGACAAACAGGTAATGGCACCGGGTCAAGTTAGAGGTCAGATCTGTGGAGAGGACATCCCGCTCACTGTATGAATCCATTTTTTTAAATTTATTTTGTTAGGCAGCTACGTTGTAATGCCATACTGTGGACTATTCCCGGCAAATACAGTAAATACAAATGATGGACCCTCCACCAGAAATACATAGTACTCTTTATTTTTAACCATATACATGAGATTTTAGTCCAAATGTCCAACTTTAAACAACTATTTACACTTTACCAGGCATCATCCTACATCCTAGTCTATTACTTTTTCTGCTACTTAAAATGGTCTCTAGCTTCTTTGTCTAATCTACCTGGAGACTGGCAATCTAACAATCCAAGCAAAGCAAAAGAAAACAGAAATAATCATGCTACACTCCAATCAATCACTGTTTACGCCTGTACACACAGACGCCTGACCTTGAGCACGACCCTTCGGCGATACACTCGAGTGGTCACTGTGGCCTCGTCATCGGAGTCAGAGTCTGCAGCTCTGGCCCCTCCCTGACCAAAGCATCCCAACAGCCCCGGGGACACATTGTATCAAGAGAACTTTAATTATAAATGTTGTGATAAAATAAGAATGCGACTTTCTGTAGGCCTGTGACAGGTATCTGTCTATATTTGTTCTAATTCAGGAAAAGCAGCTATTTGTGAAAGAAATTAGACTGAAAGATATTGCTTGTATTCTTTAAAAGGTATTTTGTTGGAAGAGAACCATAATACATTAACCTCCAGTCACAGCTGATTTTATCCAGTCAAAGTTGATGTCTTTGCCTGCCTTTGACTATTCCAGACAGTTGTTTCTCTATCATGGTTTAACATCAGAGATATAGAAGAGACTGAGTGGGCAGGCCTAACAGTTCATTCTGAAAATGTTTCAAAATAAATAAAATTGGCATTAAACTTGCTGACACCATACTCACCATACAAACTCTTAAACTCTAAAGTAACAACAGAGTAAATGTTGACTTGAAGTGACATAATATTATCATCTATATCGATGTTTAAGTCTGACCTGGGCTTTGTTGCTCTCCTCCTTGGATGCCTTCTTCTTCTTGGTCTCTTTCTCGTCTCTCGCAGCGTCACTGTGGCCTCCATTTTGTTTCTCGGTCTTCACTGGCGGCTGCTCAAGGGAATCAGCCAAACTGTCAGGGCTGAACAAAGAGGAGAAAGAGATAGATAAGTTATATTTCTAATATTAAAAATATAACTTGTTGATCAAAACTCGTTCTTGGACTTTTACCTTCACTGAGTGCTTCAGACCTTTTTAACCACATCCATTTTTTTTTCATTTTAAGTTTTTAATACCGCTAGTTATTATTATTTATATTGCAATAATGAGAAATCCAATTAATTTGCTATGTCACAAATAATACAGTACCAGAACCTCCAAAATATACTGACAATATATATAATTTGTATATATTTTCAAATATATCAAAACTGTATATATATTTTAATATATACATATTCCCAACTATGATTAAAAAAAGAAATACATTTGAAAGGTTAGACATTGTGCTGATTTAAGATATTGTTATATGCAATATTGTAAGGTCTTTTTCCCCATTCAAAAGCTTTATATAGAGTTTTAAATTGTTAATTGCTATGGCAATGGCACAAATTTATAATCATTCTGAAAACTACATATAATTTCTTGTAATCACACTCACCTGCCCTCCTCTGGCCCTGCACCGTCCGGTTGCCCCGCAGACTCCGCTGCTGCTCCAGACGCCTCTGCTTCCTGCCAACCTGAAACTGAAGACATGTCCCTCTCTGCTTGCCGTACTTGTTCGAGAATCGCACTGACCCTCTCCTCCGTCATCTCCTGGTCCTCCAAGCCTCCCTCCAGCTTGATGTCCTCCAGTAAACTCTGTATCCGCTCTTGGGTCATCTCCTCTTCCTCCTCCTCTTCCTCTTTTCTGTCGTTTTTGTCCAAAATCACATCGCCGCCATCTTGTTCCAGCTCCAGATCTTTAACTTGTTTCTCTACGGATCTTCTGTCATTTCCCGGGCTCTCGTAGGAGACTGTCACCTCTCTGTGTAGGCTGGATTCAATAATAACGTCCTCTTGGGATGCTAACTGAGGTGCGACTGTGGTGGGGTCACTACTGGAGGTACTTAAAGTTTGATTCAGAGACAAATCTGTTGGCCTAGAAACGGAGGTCCTATTTGGGGACTCTACAAGAGATTCTCCAAAGAAGTCGTCCGATCGGAGAGGGGTGGGGGGCTCATAGTTGAGGGAAGAGGGCGTCTGCAGTTCCAGATCTACATTGTGGTATCCTAAATGGGATGGGAGGACCAAAGGTTTAGACAAGGAAGGATGAAGGAGAGGAGGCAAGGAGGTAGGGAAGGAAGTAGGAAGGAGGGAGGGATACAGTGGAGGTGTGGATGGAATGAGAGGTGACACTTTAGCAAAAAGTGGCTTAAACAACAATATAGAGCTTGTTCAGAAGTACTGAGGTGATTATGTGATCATACAAGTAAGAATTAGTTTAATGTTGTGAAATAGTTAAATGTTTTTTTGCTGCCTTATAATTGTATTTATTTATTTATTTTTTATGTTTTTGTGAATCTTATTTGAACCAGAAAAAGATAGAAGAGTTAGGAGTAGGGTTGTCACAAAAAATGATATTAAGACAAATAATTAGAACTATTATCCTTTTGTTAAAACATTTAATTCTATTATGTAATTATGTGTTTAGATATTATCACTGAGGCACCAAAATCAGTTCCGAGCCTTTTCCATTAAAACCCTAAATGAATCCGTATATCATTCACTCATTTGTTTTTCAATATAAAACCAAAAATAAGAAAACAAAACAACTGTTTTCTTCATTATTTGTCTCCAAAACCAAAATGAAAAAATGGAAAATGATTAGTTTTATTCAGACTTCGATTTTGTGCTTAAATTAATAGTGGATAGACAAAGTGGATAAAGGCCATTTCTCATTTCCTTGACTTAAACTGCGATGCCGGACTTTTGCATCACATACGGACTGAACCAGGACTAAACCAGGACTAAACTGTATTCAGTCCCGGTCTAGTCCCGGTCTGGTCCTGGCCTCAATCAAGGTTTGGTCCTGGTTTGGTCCCGGCCTCAGTCCCGGTCTCAGTCCTGGTCTCAGTCTTGGTCTCAGTCCTGGTCTCAGGCCCGGTCTGGTTCTGGTCTGGTCCTGGACGTGGTTCAGTCCTGGTTCAGTCCGGCATTGCAGTTTAAGTCATGGGGTCTATTATTAATTTAAACACAAAATCAAAAACTGAAAAAAAAAATTTCATTTTGGTTTTGGAGACAAATTTTCAAAAAAAAATTCTTATTTTTGATTTTATACTAAAAAACAAATCAACAAATGATACACAGATTCTAACTGGGATGAAGTTTGCTTTTTAACTTGAGGACTACTGTTAAATGAGTATTAAACACATGAAACATAATAGTATGCCTATCCTCTCATAGACCTATACTTATCTGTATACAGCAGGTCTTATATAAAACTAAATGGGTTTACTTGAAAAAAATGTTTAATCTAAGTCTATGAAAAACCTCAAACTTGTGAACAAGCACTTTCTGCTCAACAAATGTAATGAAAAATACATATTAACACATGAAAAGTCACACGAAAAGATGGAGATGGAAGACAACTTTAAGGAAACAAATCTAAATTTCAGTCGTTTTTTGTTTGTAGGTTATACCAGGCTTTATGCTCTGCTCTATGAAGGACAATTTGGCAAAACTTGACATTTTACATGGGTTAGTGAGTTAGTTCATGTTAGTATAGTTAAATATAGATTTCAGGTACAGAGTGATCCCGCCTGAAGTGTGACGGGACACCAGGGGGCAGGGGGGAGGACGGGGGAGAGGTCAAAGGGCAAGGAGGAAGAGCAGAAAGCTTGAAAGATACAGATTTATCAAGCGAAAAATGAATAGGAAAAAAGAATGAGGATCCAAGCATAGACGGAGGAGAGTAGGAGAGACTGGAAAGACGAGGCAGGACAGGTGCAATAGGGAGGACATAAACAGGAGGAGCTGGGGACGGGGCCTGGAATTGCAAACAGGAAGTTGAACTAGGAAATGGAAAAGCTGCGGGGAATAGACTCGGAATGATAGTCGATATTGAGGATTTAGGAAATAGTGATTTTTTAAGGAATTTAGGGCATGTAGGAGAGCCAAGAGGTTTTACAGATTTGGCTATAACACAATTCACACGAGACAAGAAGACAGCAGTTAGTTAGACAAAACGCACATGGATAAATAGCATGAAAAGACAGACATTTAATGCACAAGATGTTCAAATGAATGTTATTTGAAGCTGCAGAAGCCAGATATTTGCTTATATTAATTGATAAGCAAAACAGCGCTTAGTCCGGAGCAGCGACGACTTGAAAAGATAGAAATTCCCACAAAATAGTTGAAGAATTGTTGTAAAAAAAAGAAGAAGAAGAAGAAGGAAAAAAACAAAATAGATAGCTAATCATGCTTGGTTTCTTGCGTGATTTCCAGGATCAAACTGCAGGGGGCGTTGTTAAGATTATGTCATGTTGTTCTAACTTATGATCACTCCGTTAGTTTAGCATCAAGGTAAATAGGCAGGTTAGTGATTGAAATACTTCTAGTTGATTATTATTAAGGGAAATTTGTGTTAGGAGTTAGAAGAGAGGAGGGAGAGAATCAGGAAGAGGCTGGAACCAAAGCAGGAGAGCGTACAGTGGAGGCTTGGAGCACCTGGAGATGAGAGCTACTAGCTACATGGGAGCTAACAGCAGTATCACACACATAGGAAGTTAGCATTAGCATGATCTATTTTCAACTCATCTATATTAAACTGGCTGAAAACTAGATGTGTTGAAAAGACCACCACATATTAACAACAGTTAGAGCAGGCAGCCTCTGACAACAAAGCAAAAGCCATGCAAATTTGTGATCCTCAAAATAGCTCCCAGAATATTTATTACAGGTTAGTTGTAGTTAAAATATCATTAGTAAACATTAGCATGACTTGTTTCATAGTTGAATCTTAAGCCAGTATAACCACAATGACTAAAAATAGATATGGTTATTACATTGTCATATTCAAACAAGAGAATGCAGGCGATACTCAGTAAATAATGACAAATTAAAACATGTAAAATGTGTCAGTTGCTACCATCTTTGAAACCAAAGAAGAATGATAGGTAGAAGGAGAGGGATAGACTTGCCACACTTAAAGCAACATAACTTGGTTTTTATCATTATGTTTCCATGTATTTAAAAAAGCGTAAAGTGTGTGAGTTTGTGTAGTTACATACACATAAACATAACTAAACCAAATTATGATCCAGTGCCATAGCCATCTGAAACATCAGATGCTACAATGACACATTTGCACAGGTTTTCTTAATAAACTTCATGCTTTTGAACACTTATCAACAGCAGTCACACACACTGAATTGTCTCATAGTCCAAAATTTTACCGAAAAGAATCCTTCCTTTACGACGCTATGATAAAGCATATATTTTATAATACATAGTACATAGGCAGAGGTGGACAGTAGTAAGAATATGTCCTGTAAATAAATGAATGGTTGTAGAAATAGTTTAAGTCGTTAACCATTTCATTCTATCATTGTTGGTAGTAGCAGGTACAGACCTATAGTGCTTATTGTAATGTAGCTGTAGTAATAGTACTAATTATTAACGGTAGTACTAAAAGTAGAAATAGTAGTAATAATCAAAGTCCTCACTGAGTTGTAGTAGCATTATTAGTAAAAAATTAGGCCTGTCACGATACTGAAATAAAGTTTTGCCACTGACACAATAACCAAAGAGCAGATTTAAACCACAAAAACGATCATAAATGTACAATATTGTTACAAAACATCAGCTGCAATAAATAAACACGTGAATGGAACTCTTTAGTACTTATCTTGCATCTATAATGAGTCAAAGACTCTATTAATTCAACTTCTACGGCTCAAATCTTAACTTAGTGCAAAGAAAATGTACACACGATAAATATTTACTTTAAAAATGGTTAATTATTGATCATCTAATATATATTGAACGATACGTCAATATAGTGATTATCGTGACAGGCCTACACAAAAGTATATTTTACTATAGCAGATAAGGAGGCTACTTTTACTTTACTTGTCAAAATTTGAGTACCACCTCTGTCTATTGACTCTCTAAACTTACTCCAGATTTAAATTCCTTGTTTATTGCCTAGTGCCTACAGCTCAGAGTGGGCGAGGTGAGGAGAGATGGAGGGAGAGACTGAAGAGATAGACTGGAGAGGCAGTAGGCTAAGGGTGGGCTACTGTTTACCATCGGACTGATCCGGGAATACTGCGTTATCATCGGCAAAGCAGCGAGTGCCTGAAATGTTACCGTAGTCAAATATGGGCCCTTCCAGCAAAGTCACAATATCCAACCGGTTGATCTTAGTGAGCGCCGTAGTTAAGGCATCCGCTACAACAGAGAAAGATACAAAGTATATTAAACTGAATATTATAGAGTAGAGGTAGGCAAAAGGGGTAAGATATGCACAAGTTTTATTTCTACCAACTTCTTTTAATTTTTTGTTATCTGAACTTTTATTTTATACTTACAAAAAGTAGTTGTTGTAAAAGTATATGCAAAAGTATTAAGCTAATTGTATAAGTATAGTATAGTATAAGAAATATATACTATACTATATAATAGTATAAGAAAACTGTCAGCTAGCTGCAAAAAAGTTGATAAAAATAACAGAAACTTAGTTGAATGTTCCATACATTATATGGTATACGGTGATACAGCAGAATTTTGATGCTTGATGTTTGTTTTCAGTTTGTGCTACTCAACCAAAACACATTTCTGGTAAAAAAACAAAACAAAACAAAAAACCTAATTATCACTAATGGGAGAAATATTTGTTTTCATCAGTATTGCACACCTTTATTCAGAGATTTCAGAGTGATAAGGTAGCAATTCAAAACAAAATATTATGTCTTTTAAATGGTCAAAATGGTCCTCAAAACGTCACCTGTAAACAGGAAGCTGAAACCCACAAATATCATGTAAATTAATGTATTGATGCTCACTTGTGGCATTTTTACCGTCCCTGTGCACCCATTTCTTTAGCAGCATGAAGCTCTGAGCAGTCAGAGAGTTGGGGTTTTCCACACGAATGAAGTTGATCTCGTCCACAGAGAAATTCAACTCCCTGGCCAGCTCTGAAACAAAAAAAAAAAAAGGTTAATTAAGACAAACAGTGGGTTATCTATAGCAGCAAAGACTTTTACTGTCTGAGTTTACTACTGTGTTGTTAAATATGTATGTGAAATATGTTATGCCATTATCCTAACTTTTCAAATTAAATTTCGATAGACAAGACTTGATACTAATTTTGATACCACAGTGATAATAAAAACAGCATAATGCAAATACCAGTACAAAATAACAGCCATTTATATGAGAATGTGGTAAAGCTTTTTAAAATGTAAATTCACTGCCTATTTATGATATTTCATCAGTATCAATACTTGTTGAAATATTAGTTTTTATATTATTTGGGGCTATTGATTTTGTGACACCCCTAATGTTTCATACTTCATAATTTATTTCTCAAATAAAAATAAAAATACTTGCTGTTTTTAATATCCCTTTTAATATTACGTCTTTAGTTGTATGCCTTACTATTTATGGTCTGAACAGATTTGTGAAACTGCATTGTCATGTCATTTGATAAGAGAAGCTTTATTTGTCCCTCAATGGGGGAAACTCCAGCATCTTACACAACTAACCCACAACGTTTGTAGGTGGATTATATTTCATGTCTTGATTTATTCCGTGTCGATGGTAATATGGACAAGGCTCTCAGCTGCCAAACACGGTCAGAATATGTTGAAAGCAGCACTTGATGTAAGATGTCGTGTGCTGTGTGCAGAGAGGCCCAATCTGTGCCCATAAATTCTCCCTCGGAGAACATAATGTGCGTTACATCTGCAGCTTTGCCACGGTAACAAGCATTAAATATGAATCAGGGCTTTTTCCTTGAAGGCCACTCACTCAGTCACCGCAGAGACTAACAACAACGCGGCTCCTGACATACTTCTAATGCAACTCGCTCACTTTCATAAATACAAGCAGAGCCACACCCAATGGGAGACACGTACAAGACGCCAGGGCAATGCTGCAGTGCAGGTGGGCCGGGACAGACTGCAGTGACCACACCCTATACTTGAAAATAATGTTGTGTTCAAAAATAATGATAATCTATGTGTACAGTTTGAAGTCACTGTTTTTGCATTGACAGTAAATATACAGACAAATAATCAAATCTTCTAATCTAATAAATGTTGTGTGCAATGCTACAAGTTATATACATACATGATCAGTTATATTTATGTTTTAATTAATGTTGATTATTGCTTTGTTTTAAAATGAGTTTAAATTGATTACCTAACAAATACATTTATTATGATGTCTGAAAAGATTAACCTAGATATTTTTTGATACAAACAATTATCAAGAATTCAGAACTGCATTTTTGCATTTGTTACTTTTTATTCAATTAAACAAATCAATTGCTATACACGTGAATACTTATTGTGTTCTAATCTGTTTAAGCTTAGACATGGTGAATAAATTCCTCTGCAGTGCTGCACAAACGTGTGGCATTATTTGTCCACCAGGGGGCAGTAGACACCACAAAACATATTGCTTTGAAGCTAGTTCAAATTATTCACATGTGGGTGGGTCGGATACCGAGAACTCCTCATTGCAGTGCAGTCTGTTTGGCAGAGCACTAACCCATGCTTAAAGAGATATGAATCTAGCAGATTTTACATCTATTGACAAACTGAAATGATTAGGAGGTTTCAATAATAGGTAGTACTGATTGTAGTTTTTGATCAAATAAGGATAGTAGAGCAACAAAACTGACATAGATTAGTAAATAAAGCCTATATTAAATCATTATCTTATGTTATATTAAACATAAGGTAAAAGTGCATTGGCTCACCAGTCCAGCTGAGTCCAAGGTGGTCTGCTACAATGGCCATGCGGAGGTCAGTCCTCTCACATGGGCTTTGTGGACCTAGATATTCACAGCATCCAGGAGGCAGGGAGGAGCAAGACAAATATTGATTATTTAAAAGCAAATAAACAACAATAATATAATAAAATGACTCTTTATCTATTCTATATGTAGGCCTAGAGTAAAGTGTAATTTTGGCTTTGGTACCATCAGGATCTAGTGTACCTCTTAGTAGTGTGCACTGACTTGTGTTTTGATTGAGTTTTGTGCAACTTACTAACGGTTACTGATCTTGTTTGGTTGGACATAGTCATGTTAAAAGGTAAACTTTTTAAACTGGCTCATATTCTGAATCATACTGTGTAATGTAGGCTACTGGTACCAAACATATCCAGTATTATCTGTTTTAATAAACTTCAGCTAGACTAGAACTGTTTAACAGACCCCAATAGACCTCACTTACACAGTTCCAAAAGTTATTCAGTTAGTATTAGTGTTAGTTAAAGTTCACAGCACTTCAAAGCTACTTTCTACCATCAAGCAACATTCCCTCCCACTGAAGAAAGCAATTCATTGTCTTAACTTAAAATCACCAGCTGTATTGGTCTTCAGCATCTTACATCTTGTTAGCTAGTACGGACTGTAGCCGGTGGTATGCAGATACAGTGATTTTCAAGTTTAGCTGATGAATTGTTTTCCCTGTGAGCAAAAGGACGGCGATCACCACAAAGAAACTACCTCTATACGTCAAGCAAACAGACCAATCAAGCACAACACTGCACTGTACCTACGCCTATGGAAATTTGGTTGAGCGTGTGTCCCTCTAAAACATCTTTGCTTGAGTAAATAGAAATGAACAGTTGAAACTACAATTACAACAAAAGACATCCCAAATCACTAAACTCTTGACATGTAAAGCAATTCATTGACAAACTGTAAAGCTGGATTTGTTTTTTGTGACTTGTGTTCACTATCAATCTCTGTCTGTATTTCCTAGTGGTCTCATCTGCCCCATTTATTTGCCAGTCTATTCCATGTCTGTCATAACTGCCACTGTAATGCATAAATATTACACCTGATTGAGCGTCAAGTATTACATGGTTGCAACAAATGATCAGAATAATAGTGACTAATTGGCTAATAAAATCATTGTAATCGTATTTGATAAACGTTAATCATTACATGAACTACACAGACTCTAAAACACATTCCAAAAGAATCTTTATAAACACAGTGGCATTATTAAACTGATTTTGATCAAAAATACACTTAAATATATCTAGACTAGCTGCCAGTCATTATATTTTCACTTCCAAAAATCTCAATGTCTCAAATCTCAAAAATGAACAAATCATTGGACTAGTCAGCTGATCAAAATAAATAAGGAATCACTGACTAGTCGATCACTTAATTTATTATTTTTACCTCCGCCAAGGAGGTTATGTTTTTGCCAGCGTTTGTCTGTTTGTTTGTTTGTCTGTTAGCAACATAACTCAAAAAGTTATGGACCGATTTTGATGAAAGTTTCAGGATTTGTTGGAAATGTGAAAAGGAAGAACTGATTTCATTTTGGGGGTGATCCGGAAGAAATCCTGGATTCTGGATCACTTTGAAATTTTAGTTAACATTGTGGTAAATGGGGCCAAAAATTTTGTTTCTCAATATCTCGGTTAATTATTGACCAAACCCCATGAAATTTGACTGAGGGATGGACAATGGGATCCTCTTTCATATTCCAAATTGAAAGATACGAGACAAATATTTATGGAAAACACAATTAATATGAGGGGGACTGTAGTCCTTGGCGGAGGTCTGCGCTTTCTGAGTGCTTTTCTAGTTTGTAAATCTTGTGCTAAGGGAAAAAACAAAACACTAAAAATAACGCAACTGTCCAAACTATTCTAAAAGTTAAACATATAATAGTTATGTAATCACTGTCTGGTACAGTATCTGTTCGCCCTGCCATACTGAGACAGCACAGGACAAGAAGAGGGACTAGAGACAAATACATCACATCACAGATCACCCACAATCCACCACAACAACACCTGCATGCATCTCCTCACATAGAGAGAAAGTAGAGTTCATAATAAGAAGGGTTTAAAAGAGTTTACAAACTCTCTGTGACAGGGGCAGCCATGAGTGGAGCATCAGCCTGACTCTCTGGCCTCTTCTGTCCTTCTCGTGTCCACCTACACATCCTGGCTGCTGGCTCAACCTCAGCTGACACAAGGCTAGGTGGGGCAGGCGGAGGTGTAGTGGTGGTGATGGTGCGTTGGGTGCAGGTGGGTGGAGGGCTGGATCTCTTCTCTGACAGGGAAGTGTTCCTGCTTCGAAGCTTCGTGTCCTCAGTGGCCAGTGACTTTTCCGCTAATAAGTGTGAGGATCTTGGCTTGCCCCTAGTTTGGTCCTCCTGGCAATTTGACTTTTTCTGACATACTTCACTATTGGATTTACTTGTGGAGTTTTTACTATGGCTATCTATAAATATTTGGTTAACCTTGACTGTTTTAACACCCTGCTTTTTGAGAACAGATTTTGTTTCAATCTCTTTCCTATTTAGTGAGCTTTCCTCTAATGTGTGTGAAGATCCTGGCTTGCCCCTGGCTTGGTTCTCCTTAAAATTTGACTTCTTCTGACAAGCTTCAGTACTGATTTTCTGTTTTTCTGTAATTTGTGTTGTGGATTTTCTACTATGGCTATCTTTAAGTATTTGGTTAACCTCGACTGTTACAATACCCTGCTTTTTAACCACAGATTTAGTTTCAATCACGTTCCTTTTCAGTGATTTTTTCTCTAAGGAGTGGGAGGATACTGGTTTTCCCCTAGCTTTGTCATCCTTGCTATTACAAGTTTTAAAATTGGCTTTTTTCCTACATATTTCACTATTACTTTTTTCTAATTTGGATTTTCTGCTATGGCTATCTTTAATGATTTGGTTAAGGTTAATACCTTGCTTTTTAACCACAGATTTAGCCTCTTTCCTTTTTAGTGAATTCCAAATAGGAATTTTGCTTTTCTGAAATGAATTTTTAGACCTGTCACATCTTTTACTAACTATGTGCATTGCATTATCCTTCCCTGTTGCTTGCTTGTGAGTAAGTTGTGCTTCTGAAGACATCTGAATGCATAGCTTGTGATTAGGAACCCTGACTGGTAACCTAGACTTGCATATCTTAGTGTTTACCTCTTTGGCTGCAGTGTGTGTAATTGCTACATGAATGGCATCCCTGTCTCCCGTGATATTGTGTACTTCCACTATATTGTCCTCTTGTAGTGCAGGACCTATAGTCAAGTCAGATACAACTTTGTCCACCTGAGTAGACTCACATGAACTGTTATGAGAATCTGCATTGCTACTATGGATGTTGTGTGTTGAGTCCATGTTTTCCTCTACCCCACCCAAAGTGTAATAATTTATAATACCTAATGATATATTGCTCCAGTAATCTGCCATACTTGATGTGCTATAGTTAGAATGGGCTGAATAATTTGAGGTTTCAGAGGCTGTAGTTATGTAATGAGATGAATCAAAAGTGCTTGTTTTAGATTTGGAAGTGCTATTTGAAACATCAAAGTTATTGTCACTTGAAAACTTTGATCCTGTTCTAAAAGTGGAAAACGTGGGCTCAGTGTGAGAAGTAAAGTCGTGACATGTGCTGCTGCAGCCTGCACCATTTGAGATCTCTAGCTGCACTGTGGTTGTGGGTATAGGTATTTGTGGGAAGCTCTCTGTGGACTCCTGACTGTCCTCCTCCTCATCATCATCATCATGTAAGTCTAACTCTAAATCCCTGACTCGGTACCTGCCCGCTAAAGGGTAATGCTCACCAATCTGAAAAAACTGCAGCCTCTCCTCCACCATGTCCCTCTTGCTCATGTCAATTGCACCACTGCGCGTCATCTCAAACATCTTCCCTTCATGGAAGGGGAATGGGTTAGGCTCGCTTGTGGGCGTGCTATCGTCCGTCGGGGTTCGGGCCGGAGTGGTGTCCGGCGTTGTGGCCTGGGACTGCTCATCCACAGCCAGGCCAAACGGTTTAGGCTCACCGTTGCCCCCCTTGGTCCCGCCCATGTCAACTTCATCTCCACTTTTACTTGGCCACGGGTCAAAGTCCAGCCCTTTAGTGGCAACAGTCTTAAAAGTGGAATTAAATTCTTCCTCTAATTTGTAACTAAAATAAGTGTCTGAAAACCCTTCATTATCCAAGGGCTTTGGATCAGTTTTACCATTGTCTTTTTTCACACCATTTGTTTTTCCATTTGTGTCTTTTTTGCAAATATCCTTCTGGTATTCCTCTGGCGTTTTCTCCTCCTCGATCACCTCCAGTTTAGTTGGAGGAAAAGACCGGTCAGTTGTCCTAAAAGACTCAGATGCCCACACATCCCTCCTGCTGTCTGGATACCCATACAGTTTTAGATCAGCCTGCTCACTTAGTCCATCATCCTCATCCTGAAGTTCATATCCATCTAATGAGTCTATCTCTGTTGCATCAGTGTCATGGGAAAACTCTGCTGTTGTTGCTATGGAACAGTCAGTAATAGACTGATCATTACCATTCTGTTCATAGTCATAGTCCTCTCCTTTACCATTGGACCCTTTTGAACCATTGGATCCATTGGTACCATTTGCTTCTTTGTTATTCCCATTTTTATCATGCTTTTTAGATTTCTTCTCTTTCTTCTTGTCCTCCTCCTCCTCTTTAGGTTTAGACGTTAACTTTTTACAAGGGATTGGCTGGAAGATAGACTCATCATCTTGCTCCTCCTCAGTCTGGCCATCTTCACCCCCGGATGGTATAGGAGTTGGGGGTTGGATGCATATTATTGGCTCTTTAAGAAGATGTTTATCATGTTCCTCTTGTAAATTCACCTCCATCATTTCAGTTTCTGTTTCTGAAGATGCACAAGACCCTTTCCTCTCTGTATCGGACTTATCTGAGGATGAATCTAATGGAGGTGGGGGTGGAAACTCTATGTATGCAATACCTTTATCTTTTGGGATATCTTTTCTTTCTTGCACTATTTCAACCTGTCTATCATCGCCTGTTGATTGCAATCTATTCAGCGCATTCAACTCCTTTTCATTATCATTAGTTTCTTGTTTATTTGCATTGACCACATCTGTGTCTGGACTATCTTTGCTTTCTGGAGTCACTTCTTTGAATGTGAATACTGCTTTCTCCTCTCCCTCCGATTCTTCAGATACCTCCATTATCGGACTTGGTTTTCCGGGCATAAATCCCATAAAACCATCTAGAGTTCGTGTGGTGAGATCGTAGCTAATCTCTTCCGAACTAGGAGTCTCTGGGGTTATTGGACTTTTCCCTGAACTATCTATAAAAGAAACCTGCTCCAGTGTATCTTCATCAGGGCTAATAATAGGGCTAAGACCATTTGACTTTTGCTTAACATTAAATGATCCCTTGGCATCCCTCTCTGCCTGCCTACCAACCTGCACACCTACATATACTGGTAGTGTCTTAATACCTTTAAAATTTTCTTTGGCGGTTGCCGTGGTAGGGGATGTGATAACTTTCTCAAGCACCTCTCTGGGACTAGGAAGGTTGTTTGAGTTTGAATCTTTTGGAGCATTGTCCAAAATTTCAAAAGTCAAATCTGTCTTTCTTTGGGCTACGTCAGCGCTTGGCCCTTTCTTAATTAACGTTGGTATTTGTGAAGGCCTTGGGGTTGTTGGTGATTTGGGAACTGGAATTTGAGATTCTGACTTTTTCCGAAGATTTTTGTTCAACTGTTGTTCTGTTTCTACCTTTGATACTTCATTTGTTGTTTCTTTCATCTTTGCAACCTTTCTTACTTCATTTACATTATCTACAACTTTCTTACTGCTATCTTTGGCTTGTGTATCTATAACACTCTTAGTTTGTTCACTACATTTCTGAATTGAAACAATATTTTGGTTTGTCTGACTGTCATCTGCCAACTTGGGAGATTTTGGTGGTGATGTTGTTTTACTGCTTTCCTTTTCAACATCTTTATCAGCAGAGCCTTTTTCTGCCCCTTTTGTAAATACTGGAAGTTTACTCTCTTGCATCTTTTTAACTGACGGCTTTGGTTGGACTGGTGGGGGTACTTTGGAGGGACTAGCTTGACTGGCCTGCTTTTGGGCTGCAGCTTCAAACTTCATTCTCACTGCACTGACTCTAGACGTGGATCTCACTGGAGAAGATGGTTCAGACTCACTAGATATAGCTGGCTCAGTTACATGGGATGTGGCACTTTTCTGAGGACTGCTTGGTAAACTTGAACTTTTCTTTTCAGTTGTTGTGCTAGTAAATGTTTTACCAGTAGAAGACTCCTTAAATTGGCTTTTGTCTTGCGTGTCTATACCTGCCTTAGACTTTTGCTGTATTTTTTCAGGACTACTGCAAACTGAAGTTGGCCACGATCTTGGTTCTTTTATTTGCCGTTTCATTGGCTTTCGCTCTGGTGACTGCAACTCATCATTCAACTTTTCAGTTTTGTCACGGAAGAACTGAGAAACTTCACTCAGTTTTTCCTCAGCCTCCTTAACTGTCTGGTCCACCCTGTCTTCGTAAAGTAAATTCTCCCTGCTTTTGCTATCATGTTTCTCTTCTGTAAATCTCATCCACACTGCATGTTTAGGGCTACCTGGTTCAGTGGTGTAATGGAGAACTGTAACTTTATCAAACTGCGCTGATTCATCCCTGTGTGAAAATTTGCCTGATTTGGGGGAATCCTCTTTAGATGACCCCCTTTTGGGACTACTATCTTTTTGTGGGCTAGCATCAGTGCTCCTACCAGATTCAGGACTTTGGTGTCGCTTTTTCTCAATCACTGTCTCTTCTGTGTCTGACTGAGAAGCTGAAGACACATCAAGCTTCTCGGAAAGTAACATTTTTTCAGCAAAATTATATGACTCACCTCTTACCTCTGAGAGCTCATCATCACAGTATTCAATTGAATGTTGGCTCAATAGTTTAAGTGCTTTGTATGAGTCATCGGCTATGAGCTGTGCAGAGCTAGGTCGACTGTCCTCCTCTTGAGATACAGGAGTGTTGACCCGGGAAGTTTCTAAGAAGGACGGGAGTGTTTCCTCTGCAATAAGCTCCTCCTCTTCCTGTTGAACATCCTCATAATCCAAAAACTCCCTAAAACCACGATCCCCTTTATAAACATACAATTCTGGGTGTTTCTTGGTCTCTCTAATGATAACTTCTGTTGGTTCTGCAGTGCTATGCCCTTTCTCAATGTGCACCTCAATTATTCTTTCAACTTTAGGTTTAGACTTATCTAGAAACCTTGGCGTTAGCTCGTCACCTTTAACTGAATCCTGGCTAGCTTTGTGTTCAAAAAGTCCCGCTAGTTCCTTAGATGGATCCCTTCCTGACTGAAAAGCTTTCATTAGATCTCGCACCGACATTCCCTCCTCTATCATCTCTGCGCTGTCTGAAAACTGGGGTTTATGATACACCATTCTAGTTGTTGTGGTGATTTGAGTTTCCTCTTTAAGACACACACTTTTACTCATCATTGAATCATCTTGTAGCATGTCTAATGCTTGTGCCGAGCTACTTGGTTCAAAGTCTATGGCAGGAATAGCAGATGCTGCCTCCTCCATGGATACAAAATCAGCTCTAGCTTCACTAACACAGGGGGGAATGGGTGAGTCTGTAAACAAAGGCTTAGGCCCTGTACTTTCTGCACTTTGGGGGGCTGATGGGGTCTTTTCACTTCTCGTCTCAAAGCCACTGTCTGACAAAGGGCTCTTATCCTGTTCGTGGGACAAATCTTCAGGTGATTCTAAAATACTTTCTGCCCCTTCTGCGAGTTTGCTCAAATCTTTCTCAGATGGCGAAGTGTGCATTGCCGAAGCTGGGGGAGGCATTTTAAGCTTGTTCTCTTGTAGTGTCATTGATGGCTTAAGGATACGCTTTTGTTTTTCCTCACCCTCCCTCCTCACCTCCTCTTCATAACGACTTTTTAACTCTGCCATTTTGGAAAGCGAGCTCGCACCAATTTCATTTGTCAAGTAATCTACGACCTTGGCCAATTCAATGTCTTTACTTGACAATGCTTGGTGTTTGAACAAAAGCTTGCTTTCTTCAAAAGGAGAAAACTCAGATAGTCTTTGTGCCTCTTCAATCTCATCTTTAGAAAACTCCTCCCACTCCTCTTCTTTGCCATCACTAAAGATATCTTTCTGCAAGATCTGACTAACCTTAACTAAGTCCTCCTTTACCCTTTCCACTAAAGTATATGGCTCCTCATCTTCTAGTTTCTCTTTGGGTGTCCCTGTATTTGATGTCTGCACTGTCTTAACTGCAGTTGGCGTGTCTGTTTGTAAAATTGCTGTCATCCTCATCAAATCCTCTTTCATGTCCGCTACATCTCTTAGTATCTCCTGATTGGAAGCAGCTGCCGGGTGGAATAATGGGAGGTGTAATGAATGGAGGAGATTTCAACTGGGATTTTAATTTGGTAGCAGTAACACAAGTCGACAGTAAAGGAGATGGAGAGGAGGTGACAGAATCAGGAATTGCCATTTTGAGAGAACCTGGTCCAGGTTTGGGTGGGGAATCTGGGATGACATTTATTAATGAATAAACGGGTAATGTTATTTTATTTGTGCAAACTGTTGAAGTGGACGGAGGCACTGCAGATCTGAGGGACCCATAGCCTGAGCTAACTGGTGCGGCTCTATGCGATGAGGAAATTGATTTGAGAGTCCCATATCCGGACACTGAACAGGAGTCTATGGCTTCATTAATCGCTGCGCTGAGAGTGGAAGTTGCAGCTTGTGTAGTGGCTTGGATCCTTTCCTGAAGACTAGTGCTTCTTTCGGATACAAGTCGTGACGAAGGCGAGGAGGGCGTGGAGGAAGAGGAGGGGTACTTGACCGGGGACAGTGAACCATTCATTAATTCGGATGATGCAACTGTGGTCTGTCCCATTGTGGAGAGTGACGAAAGTGGAGACCACCCGATCCGTGATGACAATGTTGAATCTACTGAGGTTTTTATTGGTGAGATGTTTTTGACCGACTTGATTGGGGATCCTGTTTCTGATTTATAAGGCAGATTGTACATGTTTAAGGATGTTTTTGGTGATGGTGGTGCAGAAATTGAAGACCCATTGGTGAGTGAATGAAGTGGGGAAGTTCTTGAGGTGTAAGCTGATGCAAGATTTTTGATTGAGGCTGGATCTGTCGCATATCTGGAGGGGCTTCCTGGAGAGGCATAACTAGTTGAGCTCTGAAGTGGATATTGGCCTTGCTGTACAACAGTTTTGATTGGGGAAGCAACTCCTCTACACCGGACAGGGGAAGACGCCACAATTTCAACGGCAGCTGCTTTTACTGGAGATGGTAAGGTAGTCGGTTGGGTTGTTCTGAGAGTGGGGGAAGTTGGGGACAGAGACCAGGGGGATTTTAGTGGAGAACCAGCTGGTGGTGAGTGGGGCGGTGAAGTGGAAGAGGCGATTGGACCCCCCAGTCCTGCTGTCCTTGCTTGGACAGGGACGGTAATAGGAGCAGCCGTCCATGGTGGGTAAGGTCGGGTTGGAAAGACAGGTTTGTGAGGGTAACCAGCAGGCAGTGTTCTTGCTGGTGTGCTTCGCTCGACTGCTGTTTCTTCAAATGAATTGTTTTGGGAAATAATGGTGTGGGACAAATGACAAAGGGGAGTACAAAAATGTGTGGAGGAACGTAAAATTATGTGGGGCAAGAAAAAAGAACAACAAAACATGAAAGAGGAAAAGACCAGAGGAGGAAGAGTTGATCAGTGACACTGGTATCAGGTATCAGTATAATTAGTTTTACAACACTGACAGAAGAGGAATATTTACAGATGTTTGTGTGAGGATATAAACAAACCAGAAGCAACACAAATAAAGTGAAAGGCACATAGAGCACGGAAAGGAAAGTTCAAATGAAAATGATGAAACACTTGACAGCGAAAGAATGGCAAGACAAATGCACCAGGAAAACACAAAAAAACCCTCTCTTTAAATGTTGTTAACATGGGCTCCTTTATGTACATAAAATCCGCTTTTGAGTGCCTTTTATCTGTTTGATTGAAAGAAATTTACTGTAGTTCTTTAATCCTAAAACAAAGCCATGGGCTGCAGAAAATAGGCCGCTACTATAAATAATATAACAGAATTTTTGACAAAACGCACATTAAAGTGCAGGGTAGTTTCAGGTCCATTTTGTCATGCGGTTTTGTGTCAAGCAGTTTGCCAAAAACTGAAAAATGAAGCCAAACTTAAGACCTTAAAACATGCTTTTTTGTCCCAATGAAGATCCCAAAAGGCTCTTCAAATTCAAACTGGGACAAATGCCATTTCAAAATATCCAAATTTTGCTTTAACTTCCTGATAAACCTTTAAAACATTGTGTCAGAAAGTCAAAGGAAAATTTCTGGTGTTGCTCAAATCAAACATTTGAAAACTCTGCAATGAAAATCAACCCAGAAGAAGTTCCACTCACAATATGGGGCAAGCACAGCACAAAACTGAAAACCACTGATTGACCCATGCAAAAATACCATGTACCATGTTGTAAACAAGCGTGTGGACAGAGCATGTATATGTGGGTGAGGAATATGCATCCAGTACATTCATATTATCACAACTAACTCCATATGGATCATCAAATAAAGTTAATATTTAACTGAGTTGGTTAATAATCTACAGTATTATTCTACCAAGGGGTTGTTAGTAAAATATCACACTCACTCTGTGCAGGCTCGGCCAGATAGCTGTAGCGCTTACGTAAGGCTAGGGAAGCAAAGGTATGACGTCTCTCTGTCTTTTCAGTCTGCAACAATAGCAAACAACACAACACCTTTCAGTTCTGGGTCACCCTAGATTAGTATAAAGTGGTGCCAAATCAACAATATTTGGCTTAAATACTATAATGATATTAGTAAAGAGTGACTTTATATGATTCAACACAGCAGCATATTCTTATTTATGAAACTGTGCTGCTATGTTTCAAAGTGGGTTAGTTCACAGAAATGTAGAAAACAGTCAACTTATTTTTTATGTGCATTATATACGTCAAGAACTAACTTATATTTATGTACATATATGGTTCAAAAACTTAAAATCTGATGCATTATCTCTTACCAAATGCTACACTATGAAACTGATAAGATGTAGTATATCATATGACGTGCAAACACCTGCTATATAGAAAAATCAGCAAGGATAAGGCTATAATATGCAAAGCAAGGGCCGCGTAGCGCAGGAAAATGGACAGCACGCAGTGGGAATGGTGTAGTTTACCTCTTCCTCTGGATCTGACTCCACATCCTGGTTCCCAAGATGCATTGCAGGAACAAGGGTAGTAGTAACATAATGGAGAAGCAGGGGGAAAAATATCAGGCCGTGAAATAGGATAAGCCTCTTAAGCAAAAACTGAGCAAAGCAATAACAAAATAATAAATGCACCAAAAATAAATAAATAAAAATAAAGCGCGAGAAGCAGTAAAACAGCAAATAAGGTCAAGCCACAGTAGCAGCCGCAAAGGGCCCACAAGCCATAAACATGTCACCCAAATAAAAAAGTAGATAAATTAAACAGCCAATGACAAGAACCCACTGCATATATAATTATATTTACACAGAAAAGCTTTAAACAGATAAAAGACACAGTGGCGGCAGATTGGCCATAGTCTTTCTCTGTCTTGAATTATTATCAATGAGGTGGTATTTTCCCTATCCGTGAGAATGGTGATGAGGTGAGGACAGAAATGGTGCTGAATAGATCGTACCTTCTTCACAGCAGGAAGTGTGATGTTGAGATTGCAAACAGCGGTCTGAGGAAGTCCTTTTATGGTCTTACATTCTTTGAGGAAAGTGAGACGACCACATGGCTCCTGGCTGGGATCGCGCACCTGAACACAGAGATAACAATTTAAAATGGGCAGCAGACTTCTTTTGTGAATGTGTGATGAGTTTGTGTTCAGTTTTAAATAGATTCTTCCAACACAGTGACAACTGAGTGAATTACAAGCACACAGTTTGATTTATAGGCTAACACATGGTTGAAAAGTCCCCAAATAAGAGAGTAGGCTGGTCGTTTCTATAAGCAAACTGATTGAAAAAACTGCACTATTATCATTATATTTTTCTAATTAATAGGGATGTAACAATAACCGAAATATCATAATATCATATCATCAAAAATCTCACAATTATATCGTGGACCATCACAATATATCGAATTAGAAGAAGTCTTTTATGGTGCAGCAATAGAGTCAATAAAACTACATAGACCATGATGCTTTGCACTATTTCAGTCCAGTCCGCTGAAATAATGGTTATTAATCACTTTTAAATCTTAATTATATGAATTATGACGAGAGAAAAGTAGCACATTCCCAATTTTGTCAGCCTACAATATTGCAATAAATATCGTGCTGTGAGATGCATGTCGTGAAAATATCGTCTTGAGAGAATTGGATTTCGTTACCTCCCTTCTAATTAACTATCTATCTATTATCTATAAATTATGTTAACGTAAAGTTTAGCTGCTGTTCATGCATCACATGAAAGGTATTTAGCTGGTACTACTGTTTGGATGCAGAATATGTCCTGTTATGCATGATTAGTCTATACAAAAAGTAAAATAGGGCCAATCGATAGGATTTGGCATTGGAAGTAGGTTACAGCCTGCTGGTGTGGTGCTGTGTTTTAAGCTTGGTCAAACAGAGTTTAGTTTAGTACTGTATAAGGGAAGAGTGAAAATATGTAGTAGTTGTAGTTTGAGCCAGTATTTTGTACCTTGACACAGAAGGGCAATCGATTCTCCTTAAAGGCATAGAAGTTAAGCACTAGCTGCTGACCAGCTTTAGTCAAAGGCGTCAAGTTTCCATAGCAGTCCACATAAATCGGACGACCCTCAAGAACCTAAAAAGAATACACAATTACTATAAACAAAAGTGGATTCACCATTAAAAATTAGACAAAACTAGGCAACAAGTATTTTTGTACTCAACTCGTCAGTGATTAATTTTTTGATTATTGTACATTAAGACTTTTCAATATATTGTCATCCAAATTAACGTTGAAATATGGTGACTTACAAATAAAGAGTATTAATAATGAAAATGAGAAATTGTTTATTATTTTTTGACATTTTGCTTTAATAAAGCTTTGTCAGTTTGTCATAAAAAGTTCTATGATTATTTTTAAAGTTGACTAGTCATGATTAGTTGAGTAATCTTTGCAGCTCTATTATAAATATACTGTATAGGCACATAATTTAAAACATACCTCTATGTCTTTGCTTCGTGCCACTTCTTCAAAGTTTTCCTGCTGTTCTAGCGTTTTGTCCACCTTGTCGTCAGTCATGCAAAAGCACCTGAGCCTGGACTCCACCGGGTCGTTCATTTTGGCAAACACCACAAACTTCGCCATATACGGCACACATATAAGCTCCCGGTACAGCTGAGTGGCCAAGCCAACTGTCTCTGGGATCTGGTGACAGTCTGCTAACCAGAACCTGCACCAAAATATTATACATATTGGAGAACATAAACTTGTCATAAATTATAGAAAACAAGAGGATTTTGTTGAGTAGTTTTCATTACCTGGCTGAAACATTGGTAGTAAAGGACACGCAGTCGTTGACAAAAGTGAGAGGAGTCGTGCCAGTAATGTCCTCCCATTGTGCTGGAGATGTACCACCTGAAAGAAAACAGAATTATGAAGTTAATTTACAAAGTATATTGATATATGTGATTGATATGATATAGGTTTTGTGCAAAGTTTTTGGTGTGTGATCCTGAGTTAGAGTATTCAATTTATAAATACAAATACAATTTTAAGTATACAGTATTTTTGATAATCCAGAAACCTCCATGACAGGTATGTGATGGAAGTGACTAGAAGTACAAATTGCTTATATTTTATGTTTTTAACCATATTTGTTTTGCCAGTAGTGGATCTCAGTGTTAAGTACCTGTGATGCTGCAGAGGAGGCGGAGGCAGGGCGTGGAGTCTCCCTTGTACCCATTGGTGAGTCCTTCTCCGGACAGAGGTGGCACCGGGATCGTCATGGTGATGGGCTTGTGGAACTTCCTCCTTCTTGGCTCCACAGTAACGATGGGGCTGAAGGTCGCCCGGTTACCAAGGATCTTCTGCACCAGCTCCTCAGGGACAGGCTGGGCCTAGGACAAAGAGAAAATACAGAATGAAGGAACATGAATTTGAAGTGTTTTAACAAGGCAGACAGTATATTTAAGTTGCTAGAGAACATTTGAGTAGAATAATTGTATAATTATTTCATTATTATTTATTACTACAGTGTCACTGTGCTAAAATTATATCTTTATTTCGATACAAAAGAATGGACAATGATACACAATAATATTTTTTTTTTAAAAAACATCAATAAACCAAAAAAAAAAAAAAAAAAAAGTACTATCTTTTTTACCACTAGTTCTTATTAAGCTCCAAATCATTCTAAAACTATTCAGAAAAGGTCAAGATGACTTTATTTGTATTGAGTCTTGCTCAAATGGGTATCTAGTTTTGGTATTGATTTAAAATGTAATTTTCATTTGACAGTCCCAGTACTTGTCAACAAAGTGATGGGTCCAAATAATTTCCATCATGAATTAATCAAGTTTGAATTGGCCACAGCAGAGTAAAATTATCTGAATTGTTTTTATCATGGACTGGGCCTAAAGACCAGTGCACAATTCTTATTTTTTGTTAAGAAAGATTTTTGGATGTCACACAGTGTAGGCTGTGGCGCATGAAATTGTAATCCACCACACTATGCAATGTTATATAAGACTAATTTGCAATCATAGTCTGTATCCATGTCTTTGTTAGATCAATTGAAATACTGAATAGCCCTTGTAGGTTTTAAAAGTTACATTCAAATCTACAAAAAAAGAAGGCCATGTACCTGCAGTCCCACTTTAATTTTCTTGGTCAGTGCGCCCTCTGGGAAAGAAGCTTGGACCAATGGGAGGCTGCGGCTGTACAAAGTCCCGCCCTCTGGTCCCATGTGATTTGTCTCCTGCCTGATCCGTGACACAACAGCGAAGTATTGTGGGAAGTCCTTGGTTACAATACGGCATATTCGTTTCTTCTCCAGTTCATCTGCACTGTCCAATTCTAAAAACAAGAAAAGGCAAGTCATATATTTTCCCCAAATTCAATAGGTTGTTGCTATGGGAATATGTGTAGAGCAAGACAACTGCTGTATGCTGATAATTTATTTGAACTACAGACACAGCATTGTAAGCTAACCAGCCCACAATTCATTCTATATGGAAGAATTAAACCACATTTGTTCAACCTAGAAAGTATCAAGCAAGTTTCAAGACTGGCAAGGGTAAAAGAACAATTGATTTAAAATTCAATTTGTCAACTGGACAAAGTGTATTTGGTCAAATATGTTTCACAGCTCATCCATGCGGCTTCCTCAGTTCTGGTCAGAATTCTGGTGGGTAATTGATTAAATCTGTCTGCAGGGAGGAGCTAACTACAATGAAACTACTCTGAAACTAACACGCCTACTTGTGTAGAGTTTCTGTTAGTTGGGCCTATTGAAATGCACTGAGTGTAGGGTCATATTAGCATAACTATTCAGGGTCATAATGATAGCTTTCACACCTCTGGACCTGACCTGGCTACAGCTATTGTTCTCTTGTTTGTTTTGATTTAGGTTTGAGAATGGAGTTGTAAATAGGAGACAGATGGTGTCTGAGTCCCCCATTTCTGTTTACAGAAGGATTCTCTTTAAATAAAAACAGCTTCTTTCAAACTCCCCTTTCAAACCAATTCTTTTCTCTGGCTAAGATCTGTACCTTACTATCCTCAAAGGAGTGGCCTGTGGCTTTTAGGTGGAGAAGAACAGCAGACCGAGGACCACTACTGCTCTCTCGTCTCTGTTGGTACATCCTCTTGTGAAGTGTACCAACACAGACGAGAGAGCAGCAGTGGTCCTCAGTTTGCTGTACATCTCCACCTAAAAGCCATGGGCCACTCCATTGAGTTAACAAACTGAATTTCTCCTTTGCCATGGATTCTGAGGGATTTTTCACACAACTTTGGCTTAAGAATCTGCCAATACGCGATATCATTAGATACCAGTGCAGAGGCAGAAAATATAATTCATTGCCTTTAAACACAAACGACATATGGTAAAACATGATCCAAATGTGGTTTCTAACTGTTAGTATATTATGAGGTGTTTTGGATCAACATCGATCAGTAAAAGTTTCAATATCAGTGCTTAATATCCAACAGCAGTTCAGTGCCTAAGACTGACTTTACTTATTGTAGTAATTAGTCCTATATTAAAACAAGTACCTTCATCCATCCCATTGAGAATCTGGTTGAGGTCATCTGTTTTACAATCGTACAAATGTTCCTTCCAGATTTCTCCGTTCTCGCTCCTCAGCAGAATCAGCTCCCTCTCCTGGCCCCGCAATGAGCCAAAATGGGGGATCTCCACTATCACAGGCCTGCCAATTCACACACACCTCATAAATTAGCAAAAACCTCTACTAGTGCACTGTATAATGCATATTAAAGGAACTGTACCCGATTTAAAAACTTGAAAAAAAGAACTAGTTCATTTTGAACTATTTGCAATCGTCTAAAGTTATTCATCACTTACCTTATGCAATCTGAGCATCCCAGTTATTGTATGTGTTGAGTTTATATGTGTTTTCACACTAATTGCTAATATGACTGAAAGGTTTTTATTCCTCATTCTTCACTTTTATTGCAAATTTTATAACAATTTTTAAACAATTATTTATGTTTTGATTTTTGTTTGTCCTGAGATTTTAATGTCTTCTTCTTCTTCTTTCATTCTGTAAAGCACTTTGAATTATTTTGTGCTATACAAATCAACTTGCCTTGCCTAATTGCGCTCTTCCTGATACCGGAAGAGTAAAATGTTTTATAATTAGACAGTACATACAAGAGCTGCTTATACAATATATCTATATATCTAAACAAGGACAAGACAAACTCTGCTCAAATAGATGGAAAATCAATCAAACAAAATCAGGTACAAGGCCTTTAAGTAAGAACAGATCATATACAAACTGTGAGGGGAGTCATGGCAAATGCTTCCTCCATGCACAATATATGCCATGTAAATTTGGTCAAGCAAAACGAGACAGATGAGATGGTTTGAGGGGAAGGAGGAGAAAGCTGCACAGCCCTTTTTAGCTACAGGTAAGCACTACAATTCATTAGAGTTGAACCATCATTAGATAAGGCCATAATGTTTAAGCTATTAACAGTTTTTTGAGACACCTTAAAAATATTAACAGTATTGCTAATACTGTTGTAATACTGTATTTAATGTGATTTGTGCTTATTCTCCACCTCAATTCCTCATCGCTGCCCCAACATAAGAAAACAGTGCTATTTATAGTTCTGTGGAAAAAATCAGGAACATAAAATTTCATACATTGCACATTGTTGAAGGAAATAAAATTTAAATTTAAAAGGTGAAGTAACTTAATCATGAGAAGCAGGATGGTGTGTACTCGAGGAAAATAACTCATGCCCAAAGAAGCGCAAGTCAATTCCACACAGCCAATAAAACAATAGCTTCAGTGACCTTCAAACGTCACCGCAAAAAATCTAAAAGAAAGTTTGTAGTTTTAGGAAGAGGCTAAGTTACTATTGTGAATGCTGATATGTGAATACTGCTTGTAGAGATAATATATATGAATTACAAAGTTATTTATACGTGTTTTAAAAGACAACACAAATTAGAAATTGAAATATTGGAAATGCATAAATAAAATTACATTACACTGTTTTCTGATCTATGTTATAATGTTGTTTCATTGTCACAAACATACCTGGAGTTATGGTTGTTTTATTCACATGTTAAACAGAGAAAACCTGCATATTTAGGCTCTCATATTGAAAACACTCTGTTCCAAGTTGTAATGTCATGTAGTAACACAGAAAGTGCTCTACTGTGTTTTCTACATACACATTCACTAGAATCATTTGGATTATTTCAGCCCTGGAATTGCCAATCTCTACTGAACAAAAGGTAAAATTTAGCTGTAAACTTGAAAACTACCACTTCATGGCATCACAAAGTGGAATAGAGCATTTTAAGCTTTGGAAATGTAGACAGATTCATTATAAAGGATTACTCAAACATGTGTGAATAAAACAAAACATAATTCTAGGTATGTTTTTGATGAGGTAGCATCATTATAACATGGTTTAAAGCTCTCAAGAATCCATTTTGTGCAATATAGGACCTTTATAAATATTATGGTCTTTGGTCTCATCGGTTTGAAATTTGCTTTATGTGGTCACCAGCCAGAATAGTCAGAGTTAAATGCCAGTAAGGGCATCTGGCTTAATATCTAAATCAAATCAATATGGAACTGAGAGCTGAAAGCAAAGAGAAAATATACTACTGAAGGGATTTCTTTGTCATGCATTGCTTTTTAAATATGATTTCTTCCCAAGACTACACAGGCTAGCATAGCTAACAAAAGTCAACAAAGATGATTAAAATAATATCAAAATTAAAATCTTCAGCATGGATCGGCCTTAGTCGTGTGACCCTGAGGAGGTGGATGGGTACACAGGACGGGGGCTGGGAGTGGGTGCTTGGTTTTGGTTCGTACCCCACAAATTTAGTTCCTCTGGGTCCGAGCTGAAGCACTGGACTAACCAGACTCTCGCCTTCGTTTAGGGCTGGCAGCTTTCGGGGCAGATGGAGTTTACTGTGTCCACACCACACACACAGGGCACAAAGCACACACTCACAAGTTAGTAGAGGTATACACTCAAACTTATGATGTAGTTTGTTATAGGTAAGGAGACTTGGTTAATACATTTTTCATTTTCATTGCTGTTGATTTGAAGTTGTATTTTTGTGGTTGAAGTCAACATTTTCATTGTAAAGGGAATAGGAAATACGTAGTGTTATATAGCAAAGGTTCAATAATTCAAAAAGTAAAAAAATCCCCAGAAAAGAAAGTAATATACTGTCTCCACGGGGTCTTAAAAATGCTAACCCTGCAGTTTAGATCTCTGCCAGTTATTATATTCTGAAAAGCAGTCTTTAGTTTAGCAGTTCATGTTTGGGTCTTCTCTCAGATGTTTTAGCACCTGGGAATCGGTAAAACTCTTTGAACTGAATCTTAATTTTAGACTATATTTCAAGCTTCAGTTACATAATTTTCGAAAATTTTCAGCTCTAGATAAAATAAAAGCAATTTATTTACTAAATAAACACCACGTTTGCAGGTGTATGTTTATGGATTGCAAAAAAATCTGAAAAAAGTATTTTTTTGTAAATATTTTTCAAGACTATACTGTGGGCTCTATAGGGAATTTGCATCAAAAACTACAATTTGGGATTACAATGATATAATATATACCTGATACAAAAGTAGCCAAGGCAAATATTTATTTATACATTTATATCAAACTCATTCACTCACACACTCAGATACAATTTAAAGCCAGATGGTTGGAAAAGGTGATGACCAAAAGCTGCGTGTTGATGTCAAGTCAACATAATCAAAGTGCTTCAAAGCAAATAGCAAAATATAAGTGACTTTAAACGGTTCTTACCCCAAAAACTGTGCTCCCGCTGGCCCCACCTCCACCAGCCGACTGGCCAGCCCCTCCCCCTCCACCATGGGGGGAGGAGACGCCAGCTTGTGCCTCTTGACCAATCGGCACGTGATCCTGGTGGGTGCGGTGCACTTCCTGGGTGGGATGATGATGCGCATTCCGTTATGGCGACTTCCTCTCATAGACCCGCCCCTTGCATCGACCATGAAACTGACCAGGAACCTGTATTTGATCAAAATGGATAGAAATATACACAAAAATGAAAACAGGTGAGGAATACATTTTTTTTTATTATTTAAGGGAACTGATGAAGTTTTAGTTGAGGTGGGGTCCCTTCTCATGCTGTGGTCTTCAAAACACAAGTGGTAGATAAAATATAAAAATAAAAAAATTCAACAAAATTTTGAGAATTCTCAGTTGGTATTGCCCATTGTAATTAAAAATAAGGTCATCATATTTATTATGAATTATCAGTGCTTAAAAGAGCAACATACCAGCTCAGGATTCTTAAACCTGTATTGTGTTAGATTAAAAAAATATTTAAAATTCTTGGAAAACAAAATAAACTCACAAAAATCTTCACACACACAACCACACCATGCAAAAACAGACTTGTTAGTTCGCTGAAAGAGAGTATACAGAATGAGGAGTTGCAAAACAGATTACTGCCATAACAATCATCTTAAATTCTGTATTATATTTTTATGCATATTCATTTCAATATTTATTATATTGTGCATGGAATAAATGTTACACAATACAATGCTTTACTTTAAGTTTAGAATAAAATAGTAGCAATTATCTGCTTTGCAACTTAACAATTAGAAATGCCTACATGAAAGTGTCTGCAGTAAAACTTCAAATGTAACAAACTGCACTGAGCAATATTACAGTAACATCCAGGGTTTTAACTCCTGTGGCCTGTGGTGCAAGTAGCTTCTAACATTGTTTGGCTGTGTTAAATAAATGTTATAATGACTAATTTTATTGTTGGTCAAAACCAATATTAGGGCTTTCTAACTGGATCATTGCCAGTTAGAAGCTTGGGTCTTTTTAATTGAGAGGTTTACAACCAATCAGTAAACACATGTGGTTTGGAGCAGAGTTCAGACGAATTTGACAATTTATTGTTTATATTCAGGGAATTAATATTGAAAGCCAATGTGATTTGTTTTTTTTTATTGACAAAACAAAACAGACAAAAAATAGCAAAATTTTCAGACTCATATTGCCCAGCCCAAACCTAAATAACTACACATTAAAGCCAAAATCCTGGAATAATAATCATTTTAAATCAATAACTAACAATACTTTTCACTGCAACGTATGTCACTAAATAAGTAAATAAACAAAAAAACAATTTAAAAAAGTCAACTGCTCAAACTTTCAAATTGCTGTCTCTAGGCCTGTCACGATAACACTTTCTAAAGTGCAATAAATAGTCCTAAAGCAGGATTATCCTTAAAAAACAATTCTAACTGTACAATATTGTCAGCTAAATTACATGCTAAATGCTAAATTAAATGCTAAATTACATTAAGAACATTTAAGCAATTAATTAGACTAGAGTCATAGAAATTATTTATTTCAACCCCCTATAGCTCAAATCTTATTGTAATACAAAGAAATAACAAAAAACTCCACATTTGTAAAAAGAAAAAGGACTCAGAATAAATAAAATTATTATCATATTCATTAACGATATGAAGCGATATGATATCGTTTGTATCGTGACAGGCCTAGCGGTCACAATTGAGTTGAAGTGCAGCAAAGTCAAACACAAATGTCATGAAAATGAGTTGTGTATAAAAAATCTAAACTGGTGTGGTTGTGTAATCAAACTGAAAACCAAAAGTGAAAAGTGTTGAAGGGAGAAACCACAGGGAAACCATCACAGTCACCTGCTGTCGTACTGCGGGAGCGGAGAGGAAAAACTGCAAAATGGAGGACAAAGCAACGCAGGAGGGACAGGTCAACAAACAGGAGCCACTCAGCACATGGTAAACAAGAACTATATGAAAAAATTACATGTCCTCCATTTTCACACTGTCATGGAGGAAAATGGGGAAGTGTAATTTTTCAAACTTTTGGAGCTGAGGATAAAAGCAACAGCGAAGACAATGAGACAATATGCAAACTTCATCATCCTTTGAATCTTGGTAAGAGGACATCCCAAAAACTATGGAGAGATGTATCCTGGGAAAATATGGCAAGTTGCACAGACACAGAAGGGATATATACAGTCATACAACCATTCACTCTACAAGAATGAATTGATTAAATTCAGTTTCATCAATTTCTTTCTCAGTTCAGTGTTTCAGATTGCTGTTATTCATCCTGAAACTCACGGATAGTTGCCTCTGGAAGGACAAAAGTGATGACGTACGGCCAGTTTCTATGGTAATAGCAATTTCTGTTGCTATGAACAGGCCTTGTGTTTTTTGTTTTTCTTTTATAATGAAGTTTGAGATGAGGCTACTTGGTCATACATTTTGTCTTAATGTTACTGCTAATAAGTAAACTCATTTTAAAACCATGTTTTTGAAAACCTTGATCTTGAACTTTTTCTAAACATCATCACTTTGAATGACCAATCAAAGTAGACCATTCCTGTGAAGCCTACTATTTAGCTCCAGACATCTAAAAACAACTGAATAAAGCCGGAGATAGCCTTCATTAAAAGTGGGACTTAATCCACAACCTCTATACTGAAAGTAGAAAAGATAACAACTCTCCAAAAATGAACCCAAAAAACAATATCAAACATTTGTATCCTCACTTTACAATGGAGGTGATCACTCTCCTTGTGTTACTTACCCGGAGTGGATCGGTGAAGAAACCAGATTAACATTATCCAGGGCGTCCGCAGTCCAGCTATATCTCCTCAGTGAGTCGTTGTCACAGTCCTTAGCCACAGACAAATGCTGCGAGCAAGAGAAACATATAAATAGATGTAAAATGGTAATATGATGTCTAGTTTTTCAATCACAATCAAGAATATGTATGTCCAAATGATGGATTATTAATGGAAATAACCACATAAATAAAAATGGACAGTATAACCAATGCACTGTAGTCATGGGTTTCAGCTTCCTGTACAGACATTTTGAGGACTTCACAATTCAAATGATATAATATTTTGCTTTAAATTGCCAAGTCCTATAGCAAAGGTCCCTTTTTTCACGAATCTGAAACCCATGTACAACAAAAAACATTGTAACTAAAAAAACAAACATGTTATATGTGTCACCTCATTTTACAGTACGCTTGAGAATTATTTACTTCATTTAGTACATGTAATACACTGTGTAATAACTTGTAAAAACTTGTAATTACATAGTACTTGCAAGGGTAACACATTATAATATCTACACTCTTAAAGAACAGAACAAAGACTTAATTCATAATGAAAAAATACTTTTTTAATAATGATTCAGGCTTAGTAACTACTTAAATAATACTGTAACTTTTAATAATAGTATAATGAGTTCATTCTTAACATGAACAAAGATCTATGATACAACACCTACAATAGTTTACGTATTAGTTCATTATAAATTAGGCCTTTGTTCATGCTTTATTAAGGGTAATTTAAGTGTAGTAGGCTGTTAGAAAGTGTAGCAAAAATAAAGTGTTATCTGAAAATATGCTGAACAAAAACAATAAGAACACTAGAGTAGAAGTACGAATAAAGATTTCCATGCACGTATGACAGATGCGCATGACAGTGGGTCTCTATGGAATACCTTGTTGCGCTGTTCGACAATGAAGGACTTTTCCTTACACATGGCCTGCAGCAGTGTGAGAGGAGACAAGACATGATCTGTCACAAATCATGCTCCTGGTGAAGTGCACGGGGCGTCCCATGGGCCTGTTATAGTCTATGGGAGCCCTGCCAATTGTGTCAACTCATTTAAAGTGCATATGGCAGGTTAGACTACTCACTTCACTAAGCACAAAAAGCATAATTATATTTAGGAAAGAGATAGACCGATAAGGGTTTTTTCATGGCTGATACCAGTTGTTTAGAATCCAGAGATACCGATGGCTGAAAAGGCTGCAGAGTTAGATGATTTTCCTAAAATTCTGTCATTTAAATTGACTACAGACTCACCCCCAGCCCTTTTTTAACCACAAACCTTTAAGAGAACTGTGTATAATCACTTTTTGTACAGCTATCTCCTTGTATTAAAGTGCTAAAATAAGATGTGCGTGTATTTTTAGGCTGTAGATTAAAAGAAAATATAAAACACAGTATGAGCAGTCAGAAAAATGCCTTCTTTGTGTTTAAATTGTTCCAGTATTTTGGATGGAGTTTTGCATATCGATCAGAGCTACTGCTTGTATTTTTGTACAATTTGTAATCCTTTTTTCCCCACAAACTGTCACTTAACTAATGTAAAGTTATGATAAATAATTACTACAGGCAATATGCCACCAAAGTAATAATTACAAAAACATGAAACCTGTCATAGGCGCTTTAAATAGAGTTTCACCTAAATTTAACTTGCTGTGTCATTTAAAACAACTAGTCCAGAGCAGTAATCCTTTCTATATAGTAGCACTAATGGCTAATCTTGTTACTCCCTTCAGTCATGGTAAACATCCTCTCAGGTGTAAGAGGATTGATGGCGTTTGGCGTGACGGGTCTGGTCTGGTCCGGTCCAGCGCACTTGGACACATGCCGACATCTGGTACAAAGCCAGTTCTAGTTGGGTCATTTGGCATCATAACAATAGCTTCACTGGTACAAAAGATGCATGCATGAAGGGGTGGACAATATAATTTTGGATTAAAGAATTTGATATGACCTAGTGAAAAATGGGCAATTTTGAAAGCTTGTTATATTGAAATTAATAGCCAGTCCCTATGCTCAAACATGCAGTCTATTTTCCCCACCCACTCCTATAAATCTCTATCAAGAAATCAGTGCGTTATAACTGTTTGAATCTAATCACTTTAAGTCTACATTAAGACTCAAACTGAACAAGTAAAGATAATTAAATTCAAAATGTGATTAAAAACAAAATCATGATCTCTAAAAAAAGATCATAATTATTTTTGCCATATTACCCACCCCTTTTACAGTACAATCAATAAAGTATATCAAAGCTGTTGGCTACAAATGTATTACTAGACTTTCCGCATAAACATAGTGTTTTATCATTGTTGGATGAGTTTCATTTGTGTAAAGGGAGGAGTGTTTACTATAATCTCTGGAGATGATTGGTCCCAGCTGCCTTTTTATGATGTGGGCTAGGTAGTTACAACAACTCAAGAGACACAAAAATGCTATTTGACAGTACACTTGTAATGAGTCATTTTAGGCTTGCAGCACACGTTTCTTTCTCTGATAGTTCACACCAACAATTTTATGTTCATTTACATTTTATAGAATAAGTCAAATATGTTGTAGTGCACGTACCTCCTTGTTGGCCAGCATCTCTTCAATCATCATGCTGTCACGGGTGTAGGAGCTGCGGTTCAGAGTATGGGACCTATCAGAACTGAAGGAACGCAGGCTTGGTGCGGTTACCAAGACAACAATCACAAAGACGGAGACGAGAGGTGAGGGGTGAGGGAGGAGGAGAGGTGGGGGGCACAGGGGGTGAACAGAAAAAACAAAACACAAACACATTAAATTGCATGCAGCTTCCAGGAACCTGGTACGTCACCTTTAAGAAGAGTGACCACAGGGAGAAACCGTAGTATACTGAGATACACTGCAAAAGTTTCCAAAACACTTCAGGTAAGTACCCTCAAAAACTGAAAATCAAATGAGTACATGCCAGGCAGCAGGCCATTTGCAGAAGTGACAACTGGAGACAGGGACGAGTGAAAAGGAAAGAAGAGGGAAAACACTAACCAAGACTATACGTATTATTTTTGTAACTAAAAAACAACAGAAACTGTTTGATCTGGGAGTTGCTGAAATTTCTATATTTATTTTTTACTTGACAAAGACAATATATAAATCAAAACTGAAATCGAAAAGACAATTATATATTTTTCTGTTTTCTGAAATAATAAATAAATCAGAGGGAGTAAAACTATTTATTCTATTTATGAGCTCAAATGTGAACATATTCATAGCTCACAGTCTTTACTTTATTCTTTAGGTTCAGTTACTATGTTGAAAATGTATAGTCGTATCTATGTAACACAACAGACACTGCAGATAAAAGTCTCCAGAGGCTCTAATACAGCTGTGTGTGATGGAGCCTAGAGCATGAGTTTTATGTGTTTTTAACTTTAAACAATGGGGACGTTGAATATATATTTTGCTGTACAGTCGAGTACAGACTGTAAGCACAGAGTAGATGCAGTAATAATGGGTGTGCGACTGAGGGCTTTTATGGGTAAATAAAGAGCATTCCTGAGCAGTGACATGTGATCGCTGTTTGCCTGCGAAATCTCAAACCGCAATTACACACAAGCTATTTGCACTTCACACGTTTGCCCATGTGAAACAATTAGCTTTAGCCAGGCTTGTCGATAAAACTTTTGGGGGCCTGGGGCAAAGAACCTCACATGGCCCCCCTCTATTATGAATTAACAGGAAAAGTGTCAATTCCTGGGCCCCTTAGACAGTGGCGCCCGGGACAACAGACCCATTTGTCCCCCCCACCGGCGACTCCCCTGGCTTTAGTGGCACGCAACAGGAATGCTATGATGCTACGCTAAAAACATACAGTGCAATACAAGGTGACAGACTGTATATTTGTCGATTTAAAATAAATCAAAAGAGCTGGATGCAAAACTGATGCAGATGTATCAGTTCAGGCCCCTGGAAGCTCAGTGAAGGAAGGCAACGTAATGCAGAGCGCCACCTGGTGACCACCAATGCACATAGACTCAAGCATAAATTAAAATCATAGTCCACACCATTAGGATTTCTAGAACAGGCAAATGATAACTGTGTGCAAATTGAAATACCGAACAATTCAGAAAAAAACATTGGACACTGTAAATAAAATGTTTGGTAACACTTCATACTGACTACATCTTAATTAGCCTTAATAAAGCATAAGGAAAGACTTAATTCATAATGAACAGTTAATTAAGTCTGATTCAGGCTCAGTAATTTTTTTATTTAATACTCAAAGCCTAATTCCTAACCATAACTTTTTAATTAATGGGCCTGTACCCAATTTTTCCATGTATTTGAGCAACATTTGTCTTGCCCCAGTATAAATATATTGTATAAGCAGCCCTCAAGGTCAAAATAAGTCTGCTGTCTGCTGTTTGCATCTAATTATAAAGTGTCCTATTGTCAGATAATCAGGAAAAGTGTGTTAGCATGCTAGTAGTTGTTAGTTTCACAATCACGGTAAAACTCTGCACTGGTCTTGTGAAAAGTTGTACAACCCACTTACTGTATGAACTCATTGCGGTGAATATTTAGGATGCTCAGAATGTGTAAGGTAAATGAGGAATAAATTTGTACCACTGCAAATAGTTTTAAATGGACTAGCTTTGTTGGTCACATTTTTAAGATGTGACCTACCCTCACATCTTAAAAATGTGAAGGTAAAAACCAGGTACAGTAGTTACTAAACCTGAATCATTCTTAATAAACTACTGTTCATTACGAATTATGTCTGTCTTTGTGTTTTATTAAAGCTGTAAATAGTGTAAATATTATAAAGTGTTGCCAAATGTTATCTTAAATTTCAAGTGCCTTAGCTTTTTCAGAATTGGGGTTTTAAATTAATAATAAAAACACAGTATACATAGCACCACAACTACTAAGCTGTTAGTGAATCATGTTAGTGAAACAATATGGGATACACTGGGGGTACACTGGACCACAGATACTCGTACTTAGGGCTTTAAGCGGGTTAAAGGGGAGGGGCAGGGCAACAAGGGGGAGTGAGGGGGTCCCTGTATCATGCCTCTTGCCTTACCTGGCTTTTGGACTAACAATTACATGGGACATAAGGAGAGAATAAGACATTATGAAAGGAAATAAGAGGGGATAGAGAGAGGCAGAGGAGTTGCAGTTTGCTGGATTAAAGATTGACTTAAATATATTCACCTAATAACTATAAGCCAAAATAAGCAGCCCTGATAATATAGTCAGTTCTAAAAACACTTACTTCAATCTGACCCTTTTTGTCTCATAGCCCGAGTACTTCCAAACTCATTAAACTTATTATACTGTATTGTTTTCATGATATTGATATCCAAAATCTTCCAAAAATTCATTATGATTTAGCATGTATTAGAAAGAAAAAAAAATCAATACCATCTGCTTTTTAATCTGAAAATAACTCCAAGGAACTCCTAGTTGGGAAACAGTGAACTGCATCAGATTACGTGACCAGACATTCCCTTATCTGCCTTATGATTTCATTCAAAACTCTCTAAATTTGACCACTAGTTTGCTTTTTAGTATTTAGAATAATGTTATAAAACCAGGACCATCCCCCAAGAGCTGCTAATATCACCTTTTTGCAGATCCATCACAGTTTGGCTATTAAAAACCTAAACTTTGAGACTCAGTTGTTGCTTTGTCTCATTTATTGTGACCATAACCTTAAGCTTGATCACCCCATAGCACTATATTTGATTTCATAGTAGCCTCGTGTTAGCTTTGTGGAGCTTTTTGATTGGTTGAGCCTAGCAACAGAAAGGAAGAAGGGTGGAGTCACCAAAAGTCAATTGTGATTATGTTGAAGATAGTGAAAAGTTAGACAGGTGGGATTTCTATATTATTTACACATGAGAGGTTTCTAGCATGGAAACCAGGGGCCCAAAGTGGGTCATGGGAAAAATTACACATTTCCAATGCACAGCTCATTGGAAAATTAACCATAAGTATTTTCTTTTATGGAAATGAACTGTTTGTTTTTGTGATGCAGTTTTAATTCATGTGTAGTTGAAATTTTACAGTTTGTTACATATTAATACATATAAATTGGCTCGATTTAGTAGACCTGTAACCATTGTAAAACACCTAATACTTTTAAATGAGTGTAATTTGAGATGTGTAATATGGATATCTTCTGGTCAAGTTAAATTAAAGTCCACAAAATTAGTCCACAAAATTATTCACTATGCATTAACTACTAAATAATGTCGAAGTTCTCAGGTCTAACCTCTGTTCCCAAATATGGGCCTACTGGTGAAACCTCTTTGGTGCATTTGTTTAGTGCTCAAGGCCATTGCTATTGACCGTGTCTCTAATTTCCTGCGATTCCTGGTCCATGTATGTCACTGCTCAGATATCCAATAGCTCCGCCCCTCTGCTACAGCCCATGTGTCAATATTATCACAGTTCGTTTCACAGGGCAAAAAGTTCAGCTACAGAGAGATGCATTGATCCCGTTTAAAGCTGGTTAACTGTGTTGTCGTGCTAATTATGAACAACTACTTGTTCAGATTGCCCAGTGTAACTACAGTACATAAATTCGACAAAAAATCTGGCAACAAACTCAAAGTTAGCTATTTTATATTTCTACATAAGGTGTTGTTTTGTAATTACAATGACTACTTTTAAAGGTGCACTTTGTAACTTTTCTGGTACTGGGTCTGCCACCTAGCCTGATTCACCAACCGGTTTCACTTTGTGGAAACTGTCTGACCTTGCAGCATTAGGATTTGTTTGTTTGATGGTAGACAAGTACTTTTTTCATTTAACCAATTGCTGCTATTTTGTCATGACGTATGTAATGTTCCGCTAACGAGGCTAACTGATATATTAAGCTTTTCCCAAATTCCGTAGGAAGAAGGACAATAACGTCTTTCCCCTTGATAAAATTCACCAAACATTCTGTTTGTTCCAGCTTTAAATCCTTGATCTCACGAATTGTTGCCCACACAGAATGTATGGCTCTTCGCTGATTGGCTGGTGCCCGGACTCGCACTTCCGGGGTTTTTGCAAACCGTCTAGTGTATTCCGATTCCTGACCTAGTGGCTGGAGAGAAATTAAACTGAGCAGAGGCACTAGGTGACCCCAGTCTGGCTATCAACTACCTGCTTGTCTCCATGGAAATGCTATTATTTTGACAAATATGTTCCAGTATGCCATTAAACATATTTATCTGCACAGAGACAAGCAAGAGACACCATCAGGTCATTGTAAAAAGAAATAAAAACACTTGTAATTAAATAATGGTCGAACAGATGAAACATTTTTAACTAAAACACAAACATCTCTAGAAAGTCAAGCAGTTTTCACATCTCCCTGGCCGAAAAGTTACGTAGTGCATCTTTAAATAATATGTTTAGTCTGTTCTTAAGATGGGAAGTAGGATATGCAGATGATGTAATAACTCCAAGCAAAACTACACCAACACTGAATGATCAGTCATGGGTCATCTTGGTCAATACTGTGTAATCAATTCTAACTGCAATGAAAGCCTTATATTTTTTACGCAAACTAATAATGTGATCCCTTTATTGAAACTATGGGAACTATGGGAATTTCTCAGATTGCTAGGCTCACTGTTTTCACGATAATCAGGAATGTGTATTCTTCGAAACTGTTCTAGTCACCCATATACCATATGACTCTATAGCTACGAGCACATTAATCTTTACTATGCTATTAGGTAACATGTCGTATGAATGTTGAATGAACTTTATTTGACACTAAAAAACTATGTATATTATTAAAACATCCCTTTCATTTCCTCTGCTTATCTGTTGTTATAAAGTAACACCTTTTTGAATAATATTTCTTGTTCAGTTATAGTGTTGGCTTTGACTCACTGTCTTACCTTTGTGACCGAGCTCCAACGCTAAAGCCCATGTATCCCTCCTGAGGCAGAGAATCGTCCCCCAGCTCCCTCAGGTCCTGGGGCGCCAGATACTTATCCGTGTCCCCCGTCATCGCATCATCACCTACAGATCAACAAACATGGCAACCAGGTTAGAAAAGTCAGATAAGTTTAATCGATTTAAGAACGGACAGGGATAAAATATGAGGTGGTGATGGGAAAATAAAGTAAGGTAGGATTTCACAAACTTTTTATAAGCTCTGCAGTATTTTAATGAGCTAAAATAAGGCTAAATGCAGACATATATAAACATAACCCATGTTTAAACTGTACTGGAAATTAAACAGGAAAAACTAACAACAACAAACCAAGTCAAACCAGGACTAAACTATGACTAAAGCAAATAAATAAGGACTAACTCTGGAACAGGAAATTATGTTTGAACTGGAAATGAACAAGGATCAAATGATATATTTAGAACAAACCAAACCAAAATCAAAGTATCAAGGACTAAAGCTGCAATAACACTTAGTCTAAAGTCTAAAATAGATAAAATGATATAATTAGCTGTTATTTGCCAACTGTCTGAAGCCTAACCTTACAACCTGTTCCACAGTTGAACAGTTCATAACAGTTCAACTAGCACAGAGAATTGTAGTCAGTGAACTAGAATTTAGTCTATTTTGTCGATGCAGGCCTCCCTAGTTTTAGTTAGACTCAATGCTGCCTCTGGCCAGGGGCTCTTTGCAGTTGCGCTTTTGTCCATCACCACCAACGCACAGAAAAACAAAAGTCTTTCTGTCACTAAATGCTTTGTGTCCCAGGGCAAATGGTGGAAAACAGGTCACCAACTAACACAAATTTTTTTTTAAATAGACAATTTAATCTAAAATAACCTAAAAGAGATAAAAGTAACAGCATAGGAGTACATGAGGCTGCAAGCATGGCTATAGTTTGTTAAAAGCACAGTATACACAGCAATGGCAACCAAGAAAAACAGTTAAAAATAATTTGACATACGTTACAACAAGTCCAAAACGCAGAAAGTTAGCAGCGTGTTCCTGCTAACTGAAGTCAAAGAGGTTAGGACAGGGGCGCCGTGGTAACAAGTGCATGCAGTGAAAGAAAGACAGGCATTCCAGTGGTTACAAAGCTCCGGAGACCCCCGCAATCCTCCCCAATCCCTGTCCCCCCTACTCCCCTACCGCTACTATTACTAATACTATGGCAACCCCTCCCCCACAACTTGACAAACTTTGAATTAAACTCACCTCCTCCTTTGAGACACTTCATTTAGCCAAGCGGGACTATCCTGAAAATCGCCCCGGTGGTTCTAGCTGCCCCTCGGCTGGTCTTTCCCCTCTCTCTCTCTCGTCATGCATGCACTGTCCCAGGAGGTCCCACCCACCAGCCCCCTCCCACACTCTGCCTATCACTGTGTCTCTCTCTCTCTCTCTTTTTTCTCGCACACAAACAGATCAGCTTTCGACCGCCCATCCCACCCCTGCACTGGGATTATCCTGCGTGTGTCACTTTTGGATACCTAGTGGGACAGAAATAGTAAAGTGGGTGTGTGACTGGCAACGCGTACCTATACATGATGTGCTACTGCCCAAAGAGCAACTGCTTTATTAATTTTCTGCTGTTGTCATATTAGACACTGTTTTTTTCATACGACTGTGTATGCATCTGCACTTTTTTTTTGATCACTAAAAATAAACAGTTTTCTGGTGGGATAATGTTGTTTTATGATTCAGCATATTTTTTTTTGCTTGACTAATCTAGTCTTCTTTACTTATGTCTGCAGCTCACATGTATCCTTTGGTGGCTTGAGTCAAATATGGACAAAATATTTTCTAGACCTCAACCCCAATTTAAAGTTCCACTATGTAACTTTTGTGGTGAAGGATATGCAACTCTAATTCTTATGTTTAACAGTATGGCAATAAAGGTATCTTTATCTATAGACAAACAGGTGACACCACCAGGTCAAGTTACAGATAAGATCTGTGGAGAGGAAACACACTCACAGTAAGAATGCATGCTTTTTAAAGTATTTTTAAGCAATAAAAACACCTGTATTGAAATAAGTGGTAAACAAGATGTCATTGTGTGGAATATTCCAGGGAAAGCAATAAGATCTCCATGGAGACAAGCAGCTGGCCGACTAACCTGATTCGTCAGCCGGTTTCACTTCGTGGAAACCGTCTGACCTCACAGCATCAGAATTCGTTCATTCGATGGTAGACGGTTACTTTTTTAAATTTAACCAATCACTGCTATTTGGTCGTGACGTATGTAATGCACCGCTAACAGGGCTAACTGGTATATTAAACTTTTCCCAAATCCTGTAGGAAGAAGGGCATTAACGTCTTTCCCCTTGATAAAATTCACCAAACAGTCTCTATGTTCCGGCTTTAAATCCTGGATTTCGGGAATTGTTGCCAAAACAGAATGTATGGGTCTTCTCTGATTGGCTACTGCCCGAACTCACACTTTTGGGGTTTTTGCAAACTTTCTAGTGTATTCTGATTCCTGACCTAGTCGCTGGAGAGAAATGAAATTGAGCAGAGGCACTAGGTGGCACCAGCCTGGTTAGTGGCCTTCCCCCTCCTCCAGAAAAATTACATTATGCACCTTTAATTAAACTTAAATAAAGTAGCTTATATCTATTTGTGTAATCATGTATAATATCCACATATTACATAACAGGTTATGTAATGTCAACATATAAGACGTGGCTAACAAGATTCAAATTAAAAGTGTAGTAAATCCTATGGACCAGACCCCAGACATTCAAACTTGATAATAAACTACACAATAAATAGTATTATAAGAAATTTAGTCAGTTCCAAAATTTTAGGCAGACCAGATGCTAACCAGCCTGGAAACTATATTTGAAAACTTCACTTGGAAACTGGGTCTACACCTCTGCACATTTTGCTGCTCGTTGCATTTTCCATACACAGAAAATGACCCAATAATTCATAGTTTTGGAGCCTGTTTTGAGCACCGCCCTGATTTAGCTGTGAGCTATTGGAGACGTTAATCATTACTGTCACGCAGCTGCTCAGTGCGTGCATTGGTATAACTCATGTTTCACTTATAAATTTAGATCACGATTTAGATGGGGCTGCTTAAGCTGTACAAACAAAACACCAACACTGCAATAACAATTACACGAGTATGCAAATTTGAGTTAGTAAACCAAAAATCACACCAAATCACATCAAACTTGTTAATGGGTTAGTTGGGGACTTACTAGAATAGGTGATGTATATATTTCCCACATCAATATCTGTTTAAATGAAAAACATGAAGCTTTAATTATTGTTTTTATTATGTTTTCACTACTTTTCGCTACTACAAAAAAGTGTTGCAGCCAAATAACATCTTGAGCATGTACTGGCATAGCCTCTTTGGTGTAGGTTACCGGAGCAGCTGAGGTGAAGGTCAAACCCATAAAGCGTAATAGTAGTCCTTGTTTTAGGCATTTTAAGTTTATTTATAGCCAAAAACAGTGACCCTAACTTCACCTGATTTTAAGTTTATGTACTGTTGCTAATTATGTCAGAGGAGTCCCTGAGCATCAAAGAAACAACTGGTGTTTTATTGTCAATATAAACCTGTACAATTATGCCACTGAGTCATTTAAGTTGTATTTGGGCTTTTTTACACCCAAGAACAAACCTAAAAAAAAATTTAATACCTGAAGGCTGTCATGGGTTTCAATCTCCTGTCATATACCATCAATTCCGGACTACTGATCACACCTGAATATAAGCTGCATCAACTAAATTTTTGTACATATATAGGCCACATCTGAATATAAGCTGCTGGTGTCCACTTCTTTAAGAACGTTTTCAAGTTTGAGCCGTCTGCTTTTATCGCCTCTGAAAGCTTTTGTCATCTTTTTGCATTGAGTGAGTTCATCATTCTGCTATCACCAAAATCTCACCATCGACTCATTGATGTCGAGCTCACGTGCAGCAGCTCTGTTTCCTTCTTCCACAGCCACATCAATCGCCTTTAACTTAAAAGCTGCATCTACATTTCTTTGTGTGTTTTCCATGAGGAGGGTGTGTGTATGAAGCACAAAATAACTGTTCAAAACACAATCAAACGAGCATCTTCCTCTGTGAATCACCCCGTCTCTCCCTGCGCTCTACTGTGCATGTCTCCTGCAGAAAGAGTCTCTATCCTGCCTGTATCATGTCAGTGTCTTGTTGGATTTCAGCAGATTTCAGACTCTCTAGTCTCTATCTAGCAGGGCTAGATTAGTTCTATCAATCAGGTATGAGTGGATGTCCAGCTACTGAAGTTTGAGACATTTCTTCTTGTAATTTAGACATACAGGTTAGACTTATCCCCCTAACCAATGTTCAATTAGCATTATAACTTATTTTATCACACAGCGATTAACTATTTGAGTGCGCTTGCAATATCGCTAGTGTTGCAACTTCATGTTAACCCTAGATCCATGTCATAATCGCACAGACAGCAGCGTTTTCTGCACTCAGACTGTGTGTATTACCAAACCATAGACTGTATATATGAATGAACAATGTGCCAAACAAATAATCCGTCAATATATTCGCCGCTTCATTTTATTAGCGTGAGAAAAAAGTAGCGGTTTATAGTCCGGAATTTTCAGTATTCAACATTTCGAGGGCGTAAAAATATGGTATATGTTGTTTTAAATTTTTAATTGCTTAGACAGTTGTCCTAATTTTTCATCATTCTGAAACCTATGTAAAGACAACTAAACAAACTGTTTGTCACTTGATTTTTTGCAACAATTTCCATTAAAGTCCATTTCTATAACTACTTACTTAACTACTTAAAATATCAAGCACCTACAAATGTCATGTAATTCAGACAAAAAAACTGAAAATGTACCATATAATATTAGACTAAAATGATCTAAAGTACTAGCATTACCTCACCTCACATCACGCACCAGAAATACCACTATTTGCATGCCTTCATATGACAGTTCAAAGTTCATTGTCATGTGCTTTTTGACCTTTCTGGCCCTCCGTACAGACATGTGCACAGACAGAGCTGACACGGCTCTGTTTGCTTTGCTCCAGTGTGTGAACTCACAAAGGGCGCGTCGCTAACAAGCTGCCGAAGACAAAGGCGCAAGTGTTTGTGTGCGCGCGGTCCTCTCCAGCCAATGAAACGAAATCTGTCACACATACCCACAATGCTGTGTGCAGACAGTCGCCATGGCAACCAGGAGGGAGGCAAAAAAAACTGCATTGAATGAGCTTTAAAATACTGTAGGCTCAAAGTGGGGGCGCACTGATCAAATATTGTCTGAGAAGAAACTAGAAGAGGCGGAACCGTATAATGCTATTAAGTAATACAAAAATTTCCTGGACTAAAACAATAATATGGATTAACAACAAAAATAAACTACTTATGCTATTGGCCTCAGTCAGCTAGAGGTAGTAAATAAAAATAGTAAGTCGGGTTAAGGGTCTTGCCTAAGGACTCAAAAAAACACCTGGAGTTGTGTTTCGTTTCATTCAAGTGTTTGAGTAACCCTTTATTATAAGTCTGTCTACATCTCCAAAGCTCAAAATGCTCCGTGAATGAATCAAAACACAACTCCAGGTATGTTTGTCATGAGGAAACAACTATCATAGATCAGAGAGGAGCCTATTGTACATTATTTTAGTGGTAATATTAACTAGAGCAATAAATTAAACCTACACAGACATGGGGAAAACATGCAAATTCTACACAGAAAGGCCCCACGCTGCACAAGAGTTGAACCTAGGACTCCTTTGCTTTAACCCGGAAGCACAGAAGCTCAGTAGGTGAATGACTGCTACACTGGACCAAAAGTATATTTTTTCTATACTGAAATGGACTTCGTCTGCAAACATATGCCAAAGTTTAACCACATAACGACCCAAAGTTGTTATAGAAAACAAACTGCCAAAGAAGCAAAAAGCAAAGCAACAGAAGGAGTGACAAAGAAGCAAAGGAAAACAAACAATGGATGGAAAAATACCTTCGTCCACATCAGATAAATAGTCGTCTGTGATCATTTCAGGAACATTGGCCCTACGCACTGTGTGATTGGGATGGAGGAAAGGGTTAGAACAAAACAATAATGATGGAAAAATCAAAATAGAAAATAATCACACTTTAAACACTGAACATTTGAGACAGTAAAATAAAAAGAATAAAAAAAAAAAAAAAGAATGTGAATGGTCAAAACAAGACGATACAATGGAAAACTACTGTGTAAACTGCAAAGAGAATCTAAAGGGCATATGTGAAGTTTGAAGAAATGTATATATATATATATATATATATATATATATATATATATATATATATATATATATATATATATATATATATTAAAAAAAACAAAAACAAATGTAGTTATTAGATTCAGCTTACTAGTCAAACATCAAAATGGTCAGAAGCATATAAAGAAATGTAAAATATATGAAAATGTACAAAGAATTTAAGTCAAGATATATTTTTTTAGCTATAAACCTTATTGTCACTTATGCCATTTAGATTCTACGCCCTCAATACAACTACAGGCTTTAAAGCAGCAAAACATTGAGAGCCCTGAACCATGACACAAAAACAACATTGCGAGTTTGTTGTCATAGTAACCTCACCTTCATCGTCGGACATGTCCAAAACTTCATTCATGGTCTCTGGGACATTTATCTTGTGCTTCTCTGTCACAGTCTGAAACAAAACAAAAAAATAATTACCTCTAAAACTGTTATTATTATTTATCCCTGCACATTTAATGCATTATGTTAGTTTGGGAGCTTTTTTAGGTTTAGGCGGTGAATCTGTTCCATACAGGATAAAAATACTATTCTAAATTGCTTTTATATTACAATATTTTTATCAAACAAACTGTTCAGACAAATTGCATGGGCTTAAATTAAACTATAGTACAATAACAGAACCCAGTCTGACCTGAGTAGTTACAGTCTCCTCCGTGACGACTTTGAGAGTGTCCACCACAGAGATGTATCCGAGTCGTCTGGCAATGGACAGAGCACTGTTTCCATTCTGTAAAAAAAACAACAAACAAAAACAAAATATAATACAGTAATTTAATAATAGTTGTTCCTCTAAAACTAAAGTGAGTACACATTTATACACCAGATTATGCAGATACTGGGGGCAAAGTGGGTTAAATGTCTTGCCCAAGGAGACAACGACAGCATTCATCTGTGGGAGCTGGATTCGAACCACCAACCTTGGGATCCATGGACAAACACTCAACGAGCTAGCTACTGTTGCCCCCATTACATCTGCCTTATGGTGTTATATTTGTCCTTTAGAGCCTATTTTATATTTATACTCTAACTAAGGTTAGAGCAATATCAAGTATAGAAAATATGAATAAGTATAGAAAAAAATGACAAAAAGTGGCACCCATCCCCAGTGAAAACCCTTTGCAATAACATTTTCTAAGAGTGTGTTGACGTCTGTTTGTACTAACCGCAGTGAGTTCGTTTGGAGATGCCCCGTGGCGCAGGAGCAGGTTGATGATGTGAGTGTGCCCCTGCTGAGCGGCCTGGTGCAGAGGAGTGTACCCGTTCTGTGGAGAGAAAAAAAAACACACGAAGAGATAATGAAACAAACGTAAAACACACATTCACCAACCACAGCTCAAGACCATAGAAACAGTGAGCAATGTACCTTGGTCTTTGCGTTGACCTTCGCCTGGTTTTTCAACAGGAAATTGACCATCTTTATGTTGCCGTAGTGACAGGCCACATGGAGAGGAGTGTAGCCCAACTGTGGTGAAACAAAAGTATATAAATGCTTACTTTTTATGTCAGTGTTATTTCAATGCTAGTTTTTATGTCTTTATTGCAGTGTAAGATGACATCCACCATATTATTTTCCCTGTAACATTATACAATTGTAGTTTAAACCCATTTTTAGTTGCATCTAATCAAATTGAATTTAGATGCAAAGTCAAAGCTACATATTTTTATTAGGTTCTTATTATTTTTTCCCCAAAACCTTCCAAGGAACATCATAAAATTAGTATATATTCAAATTTCACAAAAGTGTAGATGCTTGTACAAAAGGTTTATCAAATATATAAATACAATCAAATATAGAATAAAATGTCTATAAGGGGGTTAATCCAATAAAAATAAACAATATAAACTAATCTTACCTTGGTCTCTGGGTCAATAGTCGCTCCTTGATTTACTAAAACTTCAGCCACATTGACTTTATCCTCCTGGGCAGCCAAGTGGAGCGGAGTCAGGCCAGACTGTGGACCACAAATAGATGGAAATAAATAGACCAATCTAAAAGTTACAGTGCAAAAGTAAAGTTTCTTGTTTATTCTTTACCTTATTGCCCATGTTGATAGGAGCGTCCCGGGCCAATAGTAGCGTAACCATATCTACGTTGCCTTCTTGTGCTGCCAGGTGAAGAGGAGTGATGCCCTGACGCGTTACAGTGTTGGTGGAGGCCCCATACTCCAGTAATGTCGTGGCAATCTCCATCTGATTCTTCTTAGCTGCAATGTGAAGAGGAGTGTATCCATTCTAGGAGTAAAATAGGACAAATATGTTATAGGACACTGATAATTGAGAGCAACAAGTACAGCTTGGCAATTAATTAAGTTTAATTTAAAAGGTGCGCTGCATAATATTTCTAGTGGAGGGTAGGCCACCTGCTTATCTCCATGGAAATGTTACTGCTTTGTCTAGAATGTTCCACAGTACACATTAAACCTATCTATCATGAGGAACACAAGCAGGTTACAAGTTAGATCTGAGGAGAGTCGTCCATATTAAAAGAAGGAATGTTTGTATTTCTGAGCAATTGAAATACCCGTAATGAATAAACCCTAGATAGATTTGTCTAATGTGATACCATGGAACATTCCTGGTTATAACATCTCCATGGAGACAAGTAGGTAGTGGATCTCCACCAGAAAAGTTGTGCAGTGCACCTTTAGTAATAAATAATTTTTTATTGTCTTTGAGCATCAACAAAGGCCCTGATAAAGCAAAAATAATTATTATGTCTAAATCTCAAGGGGGGTTAAAATTCTACAATTAAATACAATTTTTACACATGTTGAACCTCATTCATTTTACTTTTTGGTTCTAATAATTACACCTATATAATTGAGCACTATATTCCTGCAATAGAAAATATAACTGCACATTAGATCATTTGTGCTAAGATGAACAAAACTGGACTTTTGTTTTTGTTTCATGTTGATTCGTTCAGTAGCAACCGTACAAAAATAAACCAGGCTTTGCATTTGGAACAGATGATTCTAATATAAAATTCTGACCCACCCTCCATAACTATTTTATACTACGCACTCCATGAAATCACTCAAAAACACTTTTTCATGGGTTTCTGCTTTCTGTTATATTCGACATTTTGAGGACTTTCCCCCATTCAAAAGACAGAATATTCTGTTTAAAAGCTGAATCACTATGGCAACAGCCCCATTTTTTCATCAGTCTGAACCCATGGACTGGAGGAACGAGAGAGACAGATTCTTAGATCTTAACAGCATCCGGTCATCAAAACACTCCCATCCTCCGTAGAGTGAATTCTAATTGACTAAAACTAGGTCATGGAGCTTTCACACAGAGATAGAGAGAGGCTGCACTTTAACAGCCTCTCAGCCTCACGTACCTTGGCTGCAGCATGCGGCGACGCTCCCTGGTTCAGCAGGAGCAACGCCACCTTCTGGTTATCATAGTGCGCTGCCACATGCAGTGGGGTTAGTCCACTCTGAACACATATGTATACAGGCGGGTTAGGCAATGACGTTCCCTTCAGTGGACCAGTGTGAAGGATTAGCAGTGGTGGTAAGATTTTATAATAACTACACTATTTATAACATTAATAAAGCATGAAGAAAGACTTAATACATAATGAACAAATAGTTTATTAAGAATAAATCAGGCTTAGTAACTAGTTAAGGGGTTAGGGCAGTGGCTCTAAAAACTTCTCACACCCAGTGCCACCGAAGAAAAGATTTGACTTTCCAAGTATCATGAGATCTAAATCCAGTAATAACAGAACTATTCCAGATCTAATCTAGGGCTAAACCAGGTCTTAAGTGGACTACATCATTTCCACTGTAGTTCTAACCAAGAAATCATCCCAAAAAGGACAAGAAAAGTGGACAAAATTAACTTTAGATTAGGCAAACCCACAAACTGGAGAGTTGCCCAAGTACATTAAAGATCCTATCTATATCAATTAAGTAGGTATTATCCTGCATAATTCTTAATAAAATGTGTTCATTATGAATTAAGTCTTTTTCATTCTTTATAAAGGCTAATTAAGGTGTAGTTATTATAAAGTGTTACTGCAGTAATTAAACATTTTGCACAGTACAAACCTTTTGCAGTTCTGAACACCATTTTTAATTAGAACTGAAAATAAGACAAAAGGATCCTACTGTACCAAAATGCCTATTTTTTGAGTTGTTTTTCATTCATTTTGGTACATTCTTCAATCGGTAGACACTGAAATTAATTATTTTAGATATTCATTAGAAAAATTAACTGGTAATTTAATTCACAGCTTTATTTAAGTAATTTTCGTTGAATCAAAACAGAAAATGTTTGGGCAAATTTTACTGCAGTATCTTATCTTTGTAGTACTTTTACTCCAGTCTGAGTTAGCTGGAAATAATCTACCTCTACCCATCTCTATCTGCTGAATTCTCTTCTTTCACGGTATGAAACTTGTATCTTTATTTAATCTTTTCCTCTAGCCCTCCTACCTGGCAATAGCAAATTCAGTATCCTTCTTCTATTACCACAACTAATGCATCTGTGCTATGTTAAGCTCTCCCTGTTTGGTTTTGCAACAACTTCTGAAAGCTAAAGTCGTACATTTTAGAGTAAACTACCATATATGGGGATGTCTACCCAAAGAAGAAGTTAGCACGAGCAATAACTGTAATATTAAAATGCTGTATAGTTAGGTCTATTTATTATTATTAGTTAGTTGGTCTTACCTTCCCTGCAGCATCAGCTTGGGCACCCTTTTGTAGGAGCAGGTTTGCTACTTCAATCTTCCCATATTTTGCTGCTACATGCAATGGAGTAAACCCCTTCTGAAAGCAGAACAGAGAATTAAATTACACACCTTTTTAACTTTTATGGGTAACTAATTGAACAATATATGCATTCCATATTTGGTCTGCTGGAAATCTGCAAGAAATGTTATGTCATAGCATCTGGAGTCAATTATTTTGTCACTAAAGGCTGATGTCACACTAAAGTCTGTGTATGAGGTGTTGAAAATTGAGGTGTAGATAACATACCACAGTAATGAGCAACAACTGTCTTTACTTTAAAACACATGTGACAAAAATGAATTCAATAAAGTTATAGTGTGTTTGAAATATTACCTTTTGTACTAATTTTGTCTTCAAGTCTGGCCTTGGTTAAAAGTGAGGTAGTATGTGAACAATTAAATACATATGTCTTTCAAATACTGTATAGTCTGCTATTAATGCTGTGTAGTCTGCTGCTTAATGTCATGCTGGAATAAAAGTGTTATTTTTGGGGGGATATGGGATTGAATATTTGAATCTAGGGACTGGAGTTTTAATACAATAGTATACTGTATATACCGACACCAAATACTAATACTGTACATATCAATACCAATTAACATATGACCATGACTGCAGTGTAGAGTCCTGCACGGGTCCATTTTTGGAGACCGGCACCGGCCCGCACCCGCACAGTACAGCACTGCACCCACCCATTAACCCATGATTATATCAAAGTTAAATCCTCACCTGCCAGGACCCGTTAACGTTCCACCTGTTACCCGCCCATGCCCGTGATAAATAACACACAAATTAAAAGCATTCGAACTGAAGCATCCATCAGAATACGAATTGAAAAGTTACGACTTCAAGAACTACAATCACAAAATGAAATGCTTTTTTCAGTACGAATATGAATTCACAGACGCGAGTCGACTGTCATCACTTCACAGGCATTATTTACTGAGCAGAAGAAACATTGAACAAGATGCCAGACTTTTGTGCCGCACACGCCACGGACTGAACCAGGACTAAATTAGGACTAATCCAGGACTAACCCTAGGACTGATTCCAGGACTGAACCAGGAGGACTAAACCAGAACTGAATTAGGACTCACTGTCGGGATGGGCTCGGAGGTGTGCCCACGTAGACCATCTGGTGACCGCAGGCGAAAGGACCAGCGTAGAGCTCCACACCGCACGGAGGTAAACACAGCTTTCGCCCGATCGTGCTTTGTGGGCACACTGCTCCAAGGGCTCATGGTTCTCTCTCTCTCTCTTTAGTCCAAGATTAGTCCCGGTGTAGTTCTGGTTTAGTCCTGATTTAGTCCTGACTCGCCTGTGTGTAATTACTACCTGCCCGTAAAATTCCACAACCCACCCATGGTTACCCGACCTGATGCAGAACTCTGCTGCAGTGTACTGGACTGATCCATTGTGACAGGTGTACTCTTACCTGCTTGAAACCTTTTTTTTTAAGAATAACATTGTTTAGGGTAATATTATTTTGATTAACAGATTAATACTGAAAAATAACCAGTTTTAGTTACTGAAATACCTTCACCCATAATTGGACCAGTATTGAGATAGGTACTGATTTTGTTTGTCACTAGTCTAATCTGTCACAACTGTAATGCTCATTGTTTTGCCTTGTTTTGAAAGCCTTTTTAACATTCTTTATATCTATTTCCAATCAACATCATCACTTTTTGGTACAGCAATAGAAAGCAGTAGAAATAGCAATAAATAGTAAATGTCCAGGTCTATAGTGTTACCTTGGTAGTGACCCCCTGGCCTGCCCCCTGGTCCAAGAGAGCAGCAGCGATGTCCCTGTGCCCCTCTCGCGCTGCCAGGTGGAGGGGTGTGTACCCCGAGCTGGTGGTGGAGTCTGGGCACGCTCCGTTGGACAGGAGCTGCTGAACAATGTCTGGTTTGCCCAGTCGACTGGCAATGTGCAGGGCCGTCTGGTCGTCCTGGAAAATACAGTGTGGCATTTTATTACATGCTTTACATATGAGGTACTTAGTGCGGATAGTAGTGTTAAACTTAAAATGAAAGATCTGGCAAATATGTGATAGTTTGCAAAAGTACTGGAATGTCTACAGGTGCTGACATAAACCTGTAAATTAGAATTGTAGTAATGTACCAGCATACCAGTAATGAATTCAGTAAAAAATATATTGCTTATAAAAGTGCTCCAGACTTGGGGGAGTCTACTTGATACCCAAGAGGCCAAGACAACAAGGAATTCCCATTATTTACCCAATTAAGCAGTCACTGACTTGTAAAATGTAACTGCATAAAAGTCATGTAAACAGTTATACAAGTATAGGTTGGTCTGCTCTGTACATATATTTACACTACGTTACTATACATCTGGTATGTGTACTGCAAATACAAGTTTTATATTCAGTAAGAAAATTAACTACAAATCACACTATTCCATAATTATCTACCTTCAGCTTTAAAATGTCATTATTAATTCTATGCAATACATGCCTGAAGTTTAATTTACCATTAATTAATATAACTTGAACACATGTACTGCACAGCTCTCCTGTATTGGGAGAGGATACCTTATTTTGTGGTTTCTCTTTTGGGTTATTTTCAGAGTTTCCACTCCCTGACAGATTTGGCCACAGGAGATATGGCTCTGTTTTTGTAAAGTCCTTTGAGGCAGCTGCAGGGAAAGTGGTTTGTATAAATAAATCTAACATTATCTGAATGAGCCACCAGGCATATGACACACTGTTTTCTGTGGAAGCTTTCAATCTTTTTTTTTTTTTTTTGTATTTTAGCCCATCTGTCACGATATATTGCAACAGAGATAGACTGCGATTAAAAGACCTATATTATGCAAAACTGACTCATGTGAGCTTTAAGCCATGTTATAATGTTGTTGTTTCATTCACACATTGGAGTAACTCTTTATTATTAGTCTGTCTATATCTCCAAAGCCCAAAATGCTCTCTTTCACCTTGTGATGTCATGAAGTAGTAATTTTCACGTTAACAGCTCCTTTTTCCTTTAGTTCAGTAGAGACTGGCAATTCCCAGGTTGAAAGTATGGAGTTTAAAACACATTGGAGCACTTCCTGTATTGCCTATTTTTGTTTTTGAGAGAAAAACTCAACCTAAATATGCAGGGTTTGTGTGTTAAACATGTGTGAATGAAACAAAACACAACTCCAGGTATGTCTGTGATGAGGAAACAACATTATAACATAGATCAGAAAATAGCCTAATGTGAGCCCTTTAACAATAATAGTGAAACAAATTTATGCCACTGATACAATAACAATAAAGTAAGATAAGAAAATGTACACAAAATAAATATTGCGCCTCAAAATATATAGTTTCTTATATTGAATGATAAGTCAACATAGTTCTACCATGACAGGTCTCATTTTAGCATGACCATTTTTCCTGATAATGTCCATTCATTCTTTGTAATACATTCACAGTTTATCTTCTTTAACATATACATTACATATAGGAGGGCTGACAGTTAGAGATACACAATGACAGACAACCATTAAAGGGGCAGTTTAGAGCCATCCTTTGTCCTAAACAAGCCTGACCTGGGCAGTGGGAGGAGACTGGAGGACCTCAAGTGACCCATGCCATGATAACACAGAGAAGATAGAACCCACAACCTCTTTAAGTCCTAACTCCTACTTAAAGGTATTACATATATTGACTACCATAAGCTTTTAGCCATGTTATAACATTCATAATTGTCAAAAACATACCTGGAGTTGTGTTTTGTTTCATTCACACATGTTTGAGTAACTCTTTATTATTAGTCTGTCTACATCTCCAAAGCTCAAAAGACACCTTGTGATGCCATGTACCTTTTACCCTTTGTTAGAAATGGGCAATTCTGGGGCTGAAATTAACTTTCTGTAGTACCCCAGGACATCATGTTGTATTTGAGAGAAGAATTCAGCCTAAATACGCAGGGTTTGTGTGTTAAACATGCGTGACTGAAACCAAACAAAACTCTAGGTAAGTTTTTGATGAGGAAAAAACATTATAACATAGATCAGAAAATAGCGTAATATGGGCCTTTCAATCTAGTTGTATAAGCTAGTACCAGCTAATTTATGGAACAGATGAAAGGTTGCTAGCTATAAACACAAAGAACATTAGTGTCAACATAATGGCGCTACCACTCAACCAGGGGCATTTTCAAACCCAAAGTTTTGCATAAACAAAAACCTTATGACTCCCACTCGCTAGAGAATGGTTACCCAAATGCATGCACTTTAAATAATAAAAATATGGCTGTGGAATACATTTTAATACCAATTATTATTAAAAGAAGATGCACAAAACTGAGAAACATAACTACGGTAATTTCTAAATAAACTGTAACTATGATACAATTGAGTATTTCAACAAAACATTCAAAAATAAGTTGTAATTTTGTGTTTGGAGTTTCATGGTTATTTTAATTGAGTCTTTTTAAAGGTGCAGTACGTAACTTTTCTGCTTGTCTCCATGGAGATGTTGTTGCTTTCCTGGAATGTTTCACAGTATGTTTTACTGGTGTTTTATGGCAATCATTTTTACCACAATCGAGCAGCTCCAATGCACACTATATTTTACCTTAGCTTTCGCATCCACTCTGGCTCCATTCTGCAGCAGATACCTCACCACATTGGACTGTCCCGCTCGCGCTGCCATGTGGAGGGCTGTCTCTCCTCTCTGCAAAAATCACAAATGCCACAAAAAGACTTCAGTTATTCCCAAAAAACTTCCTGGTTCTACATTCCCAATAAATCCAAAGGTCTCAAAAAGATCCAGCAATGAATGGAAACTTATTGAAAGACAAAAGTGTATTGTTCTTCCCACTCAGTACACTCTGACGTACAGTGTCCCAGGATAGGAAAAGCAGGATACCCCCTCTAGCCCTGCCCCCTGTTTAAACCATAATGACGTCCCATAGGCTGAGTTACCACGGAAACCTGGCCACAGAAGCAGTGTGGGCGAGCAAATAGTTGGGGTAGGAGAGATAGGGCTCTGTCTTTCCCCTTTCCACACTACACTGTGTTTTGTTTATAGACTGCTGGCTACTGCTGGCCAAGTGCTGTTATTATCGGAATATCTCTTTGCTCAGGCACTGTATTACATTTGTCATACATTTGTAATTCAGTTATTTAAAGTGGGACTGACCACCTAAACCCCGCCCACAACCACATTTCAATTAGAGCTGCTAAACTGGGCAGTACTTGGAGGACTAAAGAAAAGAGTGAATGGAGAGGAGGGGCGGGGTCTGGGGGTGTAAGGAACAGTGTGATTGGTCTGTCAGGTATCCACACTTCAAAAGGTGTTTGTAATCAGAAACACCTGGATGTAATCAGGGAAGTGCTGTGTGATGTCACCAAGTACTTAAAACTGCAGCGCCCACAGGAACAAGGACACACTCATTTTTATATGTTTTTGAACAGAAAGCTGCAAATCTGTTTTCACTAAAATCACCAAAAATCCACTAGGAACAATAGACAACGTTATTAAAACACCATTTACACAGTTCAATAGCAAAAAATTATTTAATCCCACAATAAATCATTATCAAATTCTCATGGCACATTATAGACGTGGCTAGGAACATTTACCCATTAGAGAAAACTAACTTATTCTAAACTGCGTACTAACACATCACATACATTTCAGTACATTTTCATGAACGTCTAAATATTAAATTAAACATATGCAGATGATCCCATAGATAATTTGTTTTTTACAAAGAATATTTTGCCTGAAATTATTGTGACCCTTCAAATTTCAATTTTGAATCAGTTGCAATCTGATGAATCCTTGTGTAAAAAATGCTTTAATTATTATTGGGTTATCATGAAACTGTGACAAATGAATGTATGATTTATTCAAAACATTACGTATCTACCGGGCCTTTGGACTCCCACAGGATCTTGTGCAACACGACTGACTGTTATTGAAAAGGGAGAAGCACTCACCACGTTGCTTGTGTTTGGTGACGCCCCGTGGTTTATCAACTGATGAACAATGTTGTCATGTCCCATAAAGGCAGCCACGTGGATGGGAGTGAGACCAGACTGTGGAAAGAACAAAAAAATCTAAAGGCTACAGTATCTCAAAAACAGGGCAAAATCTAATAGCTTAGCATAATGTAATTTGAATTGGGTATCTTTAACTTAATCAATATTTTTGTGATATTGTAGTAAGCTGCACTATCAAACACGTGGACCAGGAAAATGTGTGTGTGTGTTTGTGTGTATGTTATGAGAATAAACCAATGTTAGGCTTCCAAAACGCATGTGAATGTTCTGTACCTCAGTGACTGCCTGTATAGATGCGCCATGTTTCAGGAGCAGCTCCATCACTTTGACTCTGTTCTTCTTACAAGCAATGTGCAGAGGCGTGAACCCATTCTGAACAATAACACAGAGAAAAAAATCGGTTAAAAAGTGTCATGGATGTCAACAAAAGGCGTAAGAAAACTCCACCTACTTGTGCACCGAGGAAGGAAATTTGAGCAGTGCAATGATCAAAACAAGTTAAGGTTTCAGTGTAAAAACATGAAGAGCACTTTCTGGACTACCACCTCATGACATAATGCAGTGGGAACATGTATTTCAGATGGTGAGAACTAGACAGTATAAAAACATGTGTGAATGAAACAAATCACAACTCCAGATGTGTATAATGAAGACACAACACTGAACAGTTAAGCACAATACAGCGACTTAATTAAAACAAAACAATCCCATGTTTCCATAAACTGCAGTAGTGGCACTGGTTCCAGAAAGTGCTTGGAAAATACCCTCTAAAATCCAAGTTTTTTTCTTAGAAACCAGACGAGCACGTGTGGGAACAATTGAGTCAACCATGAACTGAAAAAAGCATTGCACCACTCAAATACACAGTCAACCCACGCACAACACAAGCTGCTCCAGCCTCTCTCTCTCTCCTCCTCCTACTCTTTCTTTCTATCTCCATCCCTTCCTCTCCTCTCTCTGTCTCCTTTTCGATCTTTTTCTCTCCCTCTCTCTCTTTCTCTTTGAGGTTTCTAGCTTAATCCTATGACTTCATTTCCTTGTAGTTTTTTTTTCTTCTTTTTGCTTTCTAGTTTTCAAGTCCCAGAGCTGTGACCACACCCATATGTCTTATATTACAGTAGACTGATTTTTAACTGAGCATAAAACACAGTCTGGGTCTACGATAAAAAGTATAGGTTCACAATGGTTTAAGAATAACCTTGGATATAAAATAAGTAGAGTAAAAACTTAAAGCTACTGTACCAGATTTTTACTGCTTTTAAAACATGGAAAAGGCAACTGCAGTGTCATTCCTCACTCACTGAACATTGTAATTATTCACCACAATGAGTTTAAAAGTACGACTTTCCAAGGCCAGATTGGAGTTTACAGTACCATTTTCAGTAATGCTAACCACAACTAGCATGCTAATGGCGCACTTTTTCCATCAATCCATCCATTTTCTTCCGCTTATCCGGGGCTGGGTCATGGGAGGCGCATTTCTTCTTAGAAGATAATACACTTCATAATTAAACGCAGACACCAGACACCAGACAGCACACAGCGATCTCACTGCTACCTTAAGAGCTGCTTATATAATATATCTGTACTGGGGTAAAACAATATTTGCTCAGATACACAGACCAAAATTAGGTACAGCCACTTTAATTAAATAAAGTAAAACTGGACAATAGGGATGGGACAAGATCCAGTGTGTTTACATCAGGGGTCTCCAACCTGTAGCCAGTAACTCTCCACTCCCTTCCAAGTAACTCACCCAGGAATTTCTGAATTATATGTATTGTGCTGAATAACTCAAGTTTGATTGATTAAATGTCTATTTCTTTTGTAACTGTATCATTTTTATTCCTAATTTTGTGCACTGATAACTGAATAATGGATTATGTTTTATAGACATTTAATTGTACCTCATCTTTGTCTTATCATGGCTCTTATATTTACAAAAGTTCTGGCGACCGCTAAAATTAGTAGCTCTTTGGCATTTTCATTTTACAAAAGTAGCTCACAGAAGGAAAAGGTTGGAAACCCCTGATTTACATTTTGATTTGACAAAAAAGGGTTACGTGTTGGTGAGTTATATCTCTCATATCTTCCAAAAAACAGTACTAGAATGGACCTAATCTCATATCTTATCCTAAATTATGTCTTGTCCCATCCCAAATGAAAATGTTTGACAAAAATATGATTAGCATATATACAGTAGGTGTTATCTTGTGTCCTCACCAGTGCTTTGGCGTTGGGGTTGGCCTTCTTGTCCACGATCACCTTGGCGACCTTGTAGTGTCCACAGTGAGCGGCGACGTGCAGAGCTGTGAGATAATCATTTGTCACGTCGTCCACTGGGACCTCGTGATGCAGCAGCAGCTGGACACAGTTCAGGTGGTCGCCCTGTGTGGCCATGTGCAGAGGGGACAGTCCGTTCTGAAAGGAAAGATGAGGAAAGGAAGATTAATGGGGTATTTAGGGCAGTAATGGGAGTGTACTTCTATATAGGTGGGACCGGGAGATATACTGACAATTGTTATGGAGATATACTGTATCGTCTATAGCAGGGGTGTCAAACTCATTTTGGTCCGGGGGCGGGCCGTATCCAACCTACTTTGATCCCAAAGGGGCCGGATTAGAAAACTCATGGCATATAAACCCCAAAAATAACAATAAATTCAAATATTTGTTCAGAGAAACGCAAATCTATTACAGAAATCTTTTTTAATTGATGAACTCTTTCTTATTATAATATTATAATATTATGAACAACCTGAAACTTTAAGAAAAATTCAATTTCAACATTTAAAATATTTTAGTAGAAAATCACCCAAGGGCCACATTAAAGGTCTTGGAGGGCTGGATCTGGCCCCCGGGCCTTATGTTTGACACCTGTGGTCTATAGCAAGGCACGACAAGGCAAGTTTTGCATAGCACAATTAATGCACAAAGTAATTCAAAGGGCTTTCAAAGACATTCAAATCACAATACAAACTAATGAAAATGTAAATAATCATCATAAAATTAACTGAAAAAGAGAAAGGTGTGGAATAAAAACCTTTCAGTCATATGCACAGCTAAACAGAACTGTTTTGAGGCTGGACTTAAACATAGTCAGACTAGAGGCCTGTCTCACATGTTCCAGGTTTTAGCATGTAAGATAATATTTATTACCAGAGCTACATACACTACATTTTGAGAAAGATAGTTACAGTTATAGTTACACCTTAGTTGTATCATCGAACATCATGTTTTAAAAATATATTTTTTATTATTCTGAACCTTTAACTTGTTTATAAAATGTGTAGGAAAAAATTAGACTATATAGGCCATTGTTATTTCTGAGTGGTGTGGTTTAAAATTTTTTATATAATAAAAGAAAGAGGACAGTGTATTTCTAGTAGAATTTCTTAAAATACATAGTCATACTTTTACAATATTAATTATGTGATTTGTATTAATTTATATATTCTATGTGTATGTGACAAATACCTTCGTTTTGGAGAGGATTGGAGCTCCTCTGTCCAGCAGCATCTCCACCACCTGCTCATGTCCGCTCCTGGCCCCACAGTGCAGCGGAGTCAGACCATCCTACAAAATATGATACAACAGACAAATCAACACACATTGGCCATCATAATTTCCAACAGATATAAAGTTGGATGAATTTGATTAATTAAATTATTTCTGGTTAATAAGTACCTTGGTCCGTGCATCTATTTTGGCCCCTCGCTCCAGCAGCAGACGCACCATGTTTGCGTTCCCACGTTTGGAAGCTACGTGCAGCGGAGTTATGTCATTCTGGAGAAAATCAGAATGATCATCTCACAATTAAAACCAACAACACTGCATCTGTTTTCACTATTTCCCTTGGACCAAAAGATACAAACACAATTGAGAATTTAATTGCGATGCATGAATGTACTGAGGAAAAGACAGAGGAAACAGTGGCTTTAAAATATCACATAGAACCAATTATCAAATTTACAGTTGAAAGCTAATGAGACAAATGGCTCAATACCCCCCTCTAGAGGAATCTGCAGTATCCAGCGGTATATTTGAATAAATGGCTGAAATATGTATATATATTTTTAAATGCAGTGGAGAGTTTTTTTTTTAACTTACAATTACTTATTGCCACAGAATACTAAGAGATTTTAGTATTTAGTCCATTCACACTTGCACAATCACTACATCAAAACTGGGACTTGACCCAGAAGTAAACCAAGACTAAACCAGGACCAGACCAGGACAGGACCAAACCAAATCTATATTATGGCTTAAACTGGGCCCAACCAGAACCAAGCCTGGACAACTGTGAATGAACCCTAAAATATAAGTGCCATTTTTCTCATATATAGTTCAATACTATTAGTCCAAATAAAAAGTATTTGAGAACTCAGAAGAAACCAATAACTTTACAAATGCAATTGGGTGATATATGAGAGTAAAAGTATTTAGTTACACTTTCTTCCTGGTGTCGTATGTGTGGCAGAGTGGCACAGACAGCTGCGGGACAACCCATCATGGGACACAACATTCCTGCACTCAGCCCCGCCCCCTGAAGTATATGAGTATTTGAGCACGTGTTTTGAAGTACTTTGGTGTACATACCCTCGCCTTGAAGTCCACAGCTGCTCCTCTGTTCAGTAATAATGTGGCCACGTTGATGTTGCCATAGTGTGCGGCAATGTGCAGGGGGGTAAAACCACTCTGACAAACACAAAATAAAAGAGAGAGAGGAAAAAGGAAGATATTTTAGAGGAGAGGAGAACGGGTTTAAACTGGTTCATAATGAGCCACTGCACAAAGCATCATGGGACATTATGGAGCAGTTTGGATGAACACAGCGGTAGATAAAAGCAGGACAGTGGAGCGCAGCAGACCAGGGCTAAGCAGTGGTCAAGCATGCTTTAGGACTAAGTCATAAAAATGTACTGTGTGGTTCTGTGGCAGCTGCAAGCAAAGTGTCATACAGATAGTGTCCAACAAGGGTCTAGTAGTCAATTATATTAAAGGTGCACTATGTCACTTTTCTTTTTGAGGGTTCATTATTTGCTTGTCTCCATGGAGCTCCTATTGCTTTGTCTGGAATGCTCCACTCTATGGTATTAAACTTGTCTACCTTGTATTTCATCATTTACAAGTGAGCAGGGCCTCTTCACAGCTCTGACGTCTAACTTCTCCATGGAGATAAGTTTAATGCCATATTGTGGAACATTCCAGACAAAGAAATAGGAGCCTTCTGTCATTGAGAACTTTAGAGTCAAAAGTGTTCCTGTCAAGTGAAAAGTAGCATCAAGAAGAACATATCTGAACAGGTCCAGATCAGTGGGGGATTGACTTTCAGCTGACAGGAAACAGGGCACCCATCAACATAATAATAAAAAACACATGCAGGTGTGCACAGTGCATGCATTTGTCAGGTTAAAAAAAAAAGTAAAAAAACGTAAAAAGAAATTAAAAACGGGACTTTTAACTTGTTTGAGCCACATGTCGAATCTATACAAGTAAAGAAATACTTACAATATAATATCAACAATAAATAAAAGACAGTGATATTTGAGATTCATTGATTACTTTCTATAAATAATTGTATTTATGTACGAATGGACCAGGTTCATGTTGAAAATATAATCTACTAGATCTATCAGATCACTAGTAGATCATTGTACAGAATGGAAATGTGTGTAAATGTCCAAAATATTAGATTTTAATGTTGAGTCAAAATGATCAATCAAAGGACAGTTATTTTTGATTGATATAAATGAATGACAGATTGTTTTTAGCTCATTTTCAATATATATTTCAAGAACATGACATATCTAAGTTAGTTCTACAGTCAAAATATAAATAAGCCATTTTGAAATTCTATGTTATGTCTATGTTTCAAGTCAAGTTACATTTATGCGTGTGCCCAAGAAGCAAGACACTGGAAGCAGCCAAGTCACAAAGCTGCAGATTCAAAACAGGCACAGAGTGAGTCGCCAATAGCAGTCAAATTATTCATGCCAGAGAGCATAAAGCGCACGGCAGCAACAGGCAGAAGACTTCAGCCTGAAATGTGACAATGAACGAGAGGAGAGAGAGAGAGAGCAGTGGAAATGTACCTCTGTAGTCCTATTCACCATCATCTATAGGGATTTAAAATAGGGAAAGATTGGGCAGGTCATAGAGAGGAGAGGAGGAGGGACAGGAGGGAGAATGGGGTGGTTAGTGCACCACAAAACACACCAAAGACACCATGTTTGCACCAAGCTGTAGATGGATATGAATGACTTTATGTGGAACAATTCAATGATCGCATCGTTTCCCATTAATTGAGGAGACTATGGTGGCCCCACATAGTTTAATTTTTGCCACTATAGTCTTAAATAGTAATATGGTGATAGAAATGATCCTTAATATGGCTGAATGATTGGGAAACATTTAATTGTGATTTCTCATACAAGTACTGTAATTAGATTTGCAATTTGTTTTAATAATATGATTCTGTTCATTGTTCACATTTTAAATGTCCAAAAATAATTCACTAAGACTGAAATATGAACTGACAAACTAATACAAGAATCAAATTTCAGAACATGTACACATCTAAACTACAGGGTCAGTAGTATTTATGCAGACTGAGAAAGGATATTTGTGAAGGAAATTATGTGATTTTTGATTTGATGGCAATTAATCTTGCAGCCCTAATACTTAAAGCTTGTGGTATTATCATAAATATTGAGAAGTAGCTATATTCATATTTTGATCAGTAGAGGCAAGTGACTTTTTTTAATGTATTAAAATGTGTTAAATAAAAGGATTCAGAAATCACTTGTTTGTGCCACCATAGTCTCAGTATAAACCTGTGGGAAACACTATATTTTATCAGGTAAGATTTTCCCAGTTGCATTGTGGGAACTGTAGACCTGTACCTTGGACTCAACATCTGCATTGTGGTCGTTTTGAAGCAGGAGCGCAGCAGCTTTCGTGTCGTCTTTGCGTGCAGCGATGTGCAAAGCAGGGAGCCGGACTTTTCCTTTTGTGTCGTTTTCCAACAACAGAGACACCACCTGGTCATGGCCCTGCTGCAGAGCCACAGCCAGGGGAGTGAAGCCATCCTGAGAGAGAAAGAAGAGAGAGGATTTTAAATGTACAAGGAAGAACACTATTTTAGCATTTGTGAGGTTAATAATATGACAATAATGTATGAAAAATGTATGAATGCTTAAACTATATTTAGTACACTACAGCAGTACAACAACATTAGTACAAAGTTAATGGTATGGTAATATGGTGTATTATAAGTAGCAGACAGACACAGTAACACAGAAATAAGTTTCAGCTTGTACTTTGTGGTTTAGTCATAAGAATTAGCTAGGAATAAACAAGTTAAAAAGCTATCCTGTATAATCAAGTGATTTATGGTCACGTGTGCTTAAATAAATAATCTCTGTCAATTAGAAGTACAAAATATAATTAGGATTACTTCTTATAATACATTTGTAATTATAAGAGAGAACATAAGAGTTAAGATACTAGCCTACATGTGGCGTCTGAAGCTAATTAGCATTTAGCCTTAGCATTTAGCATACCAGTCTCTTACTTCTTAAAAAAAAAGTCTTCATATAATAATGGTATATAATAAGAGATGTTATTGTAATTACCTTATATAAAAATCCAGGTATTTTAGTAAAGCTCACATGCACCTTTAGACTGAATTACTGAAACTCTTGGCTAATTAAGTGTTTGCTAACTAACGAGGAAGGAGGGGCAGAATTTGACTAAACTATGAATGTGATGAGCTACTTTTGCAGCAAAGTCTTTGGGATGTAAATAGAAATTAAAAAATAATTAAGAAATATACCTTTGAGCTGGATGTGAAAATAGAAATATAAGTGGATCAACAATAATAATAAAAAAAAAAAAGGCTATTTTATTGCTATGTCAATGTCAATATTAAATCAAGGTCTGCAGAGTCTGCAGATTTAAGCTTTCAAACAAGGCTGTCAACACCTGTCCAGTTTTAGTATTAATTTGATTTAGGCTGATACTTTTATAGGGTGAGTTTGTCTTTAGTTTGTCCTTGAGCATCCAAAAATCTCTCCACCACATCAGACCTGCATCACTATTCCCTCTCTCCTCGTCCCTCTCTCACCTCCTCCTTCCAGATGCTTCCTTCTTGTGCCCTTTCTTCCTTGCCCGCTGTTTGCTTTCTTGTCTCGCTCACTTCCCCTGAGTCCTAGCTCTCTCTCCCTCCTCCCTCTGCACTTGAGCCCATCATTGGATCAATAATGCAAGCAGAGAAATGTATATCCATTCATATGTTTGCGTTAAATTATTCATGCCCCGCAATTTCAGTAAGCTATGATGGACTGAGCTTTTATGCATAGACTTGGAAACTAGTACTAGTATACTGGAAATTAAATCTGTTTTTTATATATGCTCATGATGTGTCAGGGATAATGAGGTACTGCATTTTGGAAAGAATATGTCTTGAATTATTTGAACAAAGTAGCGATAATATTGATCATAGTAGTAGTAGCAGTAATCAGAGTAGACCACTTAGTATTACTATTAGTTGTTTTTTAATCAAAAATAAGGAGAAATACTTTTACTATAGTTCAAAATAGGGGAACCTTTCATGGACAAGGTAATGTGACTTTCCTTAAAGGTACACTACGCAACTTTTCTGATGGAGGGTCCATCACCTGCTTGTTTCCATGGAGATGTGTATTTCTTTGCTTGGAATGTTCCATGGTATGATGTTAAACATATCCATCTAGTACTTAATGCATAACAGGTGTTTGTATCGCTCAAAAACACTGTTGGGCAAGTTACTTGAAAACTGTAATGTGTTATTTATGACTTGTTACTGTCATTTCAAAATAATTTGTTACATTACAGTATTACTGTATTTAAAATGTAAAATATTGCATGACTATTTCGGCACTTTAAGTTACTCTCACCAAAATAACAATCAGCAAGCGAAGATGCCAGACTTCAGCGCCGTATATAGACTGAACCAGGACTAAACTAGAACTGAACCAGGTCTAAACCAGGACTAAACCAGGTCTAAACCAGGACTAAACCAGGTCTAAACCAGGATTAAACCAGGTCTAAACCAGGACTAAACAAGGACTAAACCAGGTCTAAACCAGAACTGAACCAGAACTGAACCAGGACTAAACCAGGTCTAAACCAGGACTAAACCAGGTCTAAACCAGGACTAAACCAAGTCTAAACCAAGACTAAACCAGTTCTAAACCAGGACCAATCTTGGACTAGGACTTGGAATCTAGGACCGCCCCTGAGAGAACCCTGAGCCCGTGGAGCAGGGTGTCCGCAAAGCACGATCGGGCGCCAGCTGCGATTAACCCCGTCCTTTCACCCACGGTCACCCGACGGTCTACGTGGGTGCACCTCTGGGCCCGTCCAGACACTCAGAACTGTAACGATGGCATTTCACTGCTGCTGATATCGCGGTGATTTTAGTGAATTTGTATGAATAAAAACAAAAAATCCACCACTTCAATCCCGGTTCAAAAGTATTGTAACACATGTCACTGACATTTGTATTGAGTAAAATATTAGAATTTTTTCCTGTAATGCCTTACATTACTGTGTTACAGCAAAAAGCATCGCATTACAGTAAGTCATTACTTTTATAACACATTACTCTCAACAGTGCTCAAAAATACATTCATGTCTTTATGAATAGGGACGACTCTCCGCAGATCTGAATTGTAATGTAGCGTAGTGCTGTAACTTGCGTGACATTGTGATACTGTTGATCATTGTTGACAAAGCAATAATATTTCCATGGAGACAAACAGATGGCGGACTCTCCACTAGGAATGTTACAGCCTATTCTAGATTCTTAGGATGTTTTTTGTAGTCTTATTGTAAACTGTTAATCGCTCTGCCAACGGTCCTAATTTTTCATCATTCTGGATATGCCTGGTTTATTGCTTAATTGACTCCCAGTTGTGTTTCTTTTTGTGGCTCTGAGTGACTTCTAACACAGAAAATAAAGATCTTTCTGGAGAGAAGTTTGTCATTGTCACTTTTGTTGCAGCAGCGGTTGTTGGCAGTTGGCCGCTACTACCGCAGAACCATCAATCACCCTGACACAAGAGACTATACATCTACAGCCAAGGCTAAATACTCACAAATAACCATGGTCTGTATTTATTATGCTGTATTTCCTTCTGACAAAAGATCTACATTACGGTCTGGATTGGGGTAAGCTGCATTCAATTGGCCATCAGTAATATACAAAAGGATACGCATGGAGGAACTAACCAGAGATCCAGATATGGAAAACAAAAATGTAGGCTATACAAATTAAAATACTGACACCTCAATATGATATTACACATTTTTTCAGACAAATTCTTAACTGTCTACAACTAAACTATAACATTGGGAACCACATTTCATGAACTACTATTACTACTACTACTACTACTACACTTACTGCACATACAACTTCAACTACTCCTTGATTACTACTATCAGAACCATAACTGCCACTAATGCCTACCTATTACTACTACCGCTACTGCTGCTACTACTACTATTACAATGACTACTACTACTACTGCTGCTGCAGCTACTGCTGCTGCTGCTACTACTACTACTACTACGACTACTACTGCTGCTGCTGCTGCTGCTACTACTAGTGCTACTACTACTACTACTACTACTGCTGCTGCTACTACTACTACTAAACATACTGCTGCCCTTGATTCTACACTTTGACAAATATTCCTACCAGAGGTGGGGACTTGCAAGTCGTGACTTGGACTTGAGTCAGACTTGAGTCACTATTTTTAGGACTTGACACTTGACTTAATAAAATGGACTAAGACTTGGGACTCGGCTTGGACTTAAAGGTCAGTGACTTGGGACTTGATTCAGACTTGAGGCCTGTAACTTGAAAGACTTGAGAAGAACTTTTAAATCTGAATTTGTTTTATTCTGGCTGTAATGATTCACTCCAAGATTTTGTGAAAACATTTAAAAAGGAACGATTTACATTTCTTCGACTCTTATATACTCTATAAATACTCATATAAAAATATACTATGATTTTTTTTAAGTACAGTTCATTTAAAATTCATATAAATTGCAGAAATCTAAGCTACATTTGGCATTGTGGTTTAAAGACTTGAAATGACTTGAAGCTCAAAGCAGACAACTTGGACTTGACTTGGACTTATGGGCCAGTGACTCGATACTCGACTTGGACTTGTCTGTATTTGACTTGGAACTTGACTCGGACTTGAGGTCAAAGACTTGAGACTTACTTGAGACTTGCAAAACAATGACTTTGTCCCACCTATGACTCTTACTACTACAACGACAACTAGTACTATCCCAAACAGATATTACAACTACTATGAATGCTAGAACTACTACTGTACTACCACTGTCTTCTGAACATTTTTCTGTATTTCTTCCAGTCAGCTCCAATAGTGTACACTCCTTAGTAATTACAGGGAGGACAGTGGTCGCGGCTGATGGCAGGTTGAGGTGTAGCGTGCCATTAGCTTCTGTTATGAGCTGTGACTGTGGGTAAACAAACATTATGGAGTGCACCGCGATGTCTGGGGTTACCAGTATGTTTTGTACCTCAGTGGCAATGCTCTGACTGGAACCGTTGTCCAAAAGAAACTGCACCACATCCAGATGGTTCTCCTGCGCTGCCATGTACAAAGGAGTGAAGCCATTCTGGGGAAGAAAGTGGAAGAAATGCATTCATTAGTACTAGGGATGTAATAATATCCAAATCTCACGGTACGATATTTATTGCGATATTTTGAAGAGGCTGATATAATTGTAAATGGGACAGTTTTCTGCTTTTAAAATACCTTGAACAAGATTTTGGTGTGAAATATTTCCGTCATAAACATATTTCTTCATGTTGTTTGCACTGAAATTAATCATGGGATATGTAGTTCCCGATGTTCAGAAGCTGTTGCTACTATAAAACCATGCATTTAAGCAAAGAAACTTGTGATTCGATATACTGTGACAGTCCATGATATTATAGTGAGACTTTTGACGATACGATATTACAATATTTCGGTTATTGTTACATCCGTAATTAGTAAAATTATAGTCTAGAAGGTTGTTATTGTATGGCACCTATGCATGATTTAGCAAATAGAGGACAGGTCTAGCAAAACATAACTGGTGGATTTAGTGTACAATAATTCAACAAAACTAATGCATTGTTATTAACGGATCAAAATAGAGCCAGGAAGCTACCTAAAGAGCTTTACAGTGCATTATTTATTCACTCCATACTTGGTTTGGCTTCCAGTATTTCACTACTTTACTGGTAATTTTGCTTTCCTCAGCAGTCTTTAGAGATCAATCTGTAATTTCAAAAAGATTAATGAGCCAAAAATTGTGAGTTTCAGGCATTAGCACCAACTATGATTTTATTTAAAGTTTTTTAAATCAATATAATCAGTATACCATGTAAAAAATATGTTGAATAAGTGTTAATTTGGTCTTGTACATGTTTTAAAAGCAACTGTATAAGCTGCGACAAAGGATAACGACCTGTTTTATTGTATTTCATCATTTCTTTTTTACTTTAGTGTAATATTTTACAGATACATCTATCAGATCATATAATATAAATAAAGAGTTTTTTTTCCTATGAGTTGGCTCCAGTTGCCATGGTGATAGGGTGGTTGCTGACGGTGAAAGTGGGACAATGCTGACGCTGCACTTTCACTGTAGCAGAGACAGCAGGCGCTAATGCACTCACACACTTTCACACACACAACCACACATACACACATGCACACACACACACACAGCAGAGCGAGAGTAGTGTCTATAGTGTAGTAAAAGTACTGCAAAATAATATTCATACTTCTCCAACCAATTTGAGCTAACAGGTAGACATAACTATATTTTGTGGGACTATATTTTGTGGACAATATAAATATAAATATAAATATAATTTACCAGAAGTGACCTAATAATGATACCTAATTTGATTCTGGTTTTGGCTAATGCATCTCTATGGAAGGTTTGCCTACTTTCAATAAAAATGGCTGTTTACCCCCAAAATCTTAGTTTACAAACATATGACTTCTATATCTACAACCATGGCACTATAACAGACAAATAAAATTTTTGGATAATAATATTTCAAAATGTAAATACTGAAGATAACTTAATAACATTTAGCATATACTGTACCTGTGATTGTGCATTGACATTGGCCCCGTGAGTAACTAGCTCCTTCACAACGTCTGTCTGCCCTGCGAGCGATGCTATGTGTAGAGCTGTGTTCCCTTTCTGCAACAAAAAATACACAATAGTACAATCGCATGAGTATAAAATGGGTATTTTTGCAGTGTTTTCACATTCATTCACTTAAAACTTTAACACATTCAAAGATAAGCTTTAGTCCCTTTCTGTAAGATTGCAAAAATATTGTCTGACTATTGATATCAGGATACCCCCAAGAAATACTGAGCAATTTTTGTTATCTCCAACCCCAAATAACTGGTAGGCCTATTAAGCACTATTATCCCTTGAGTAAATATTTGATTCAAACCTTTGTGGCTGCATCCACATTGGCCCCGTGTTTGATGAGTTCAGACACAACTTCAACATGGCCCTCCTTCGACGCGAGGTGCAGAGCATTAAGGCCGTTCTACACAACAAATAAACATGTCAAAATCACAACACTAGAGCTGCAGCTAACTAACCTTACAAAGCAAGATGGATTCTCGTGATATTTGTGAGTTCACAAACGCACGAGAATCCATTTTGGGCTCCGTGGGTGCAACAGGGCCCGACAGGTGGCGGATGACCAATCACAGAGCAGCATTACAGTTTGTGTGGAAGCCAAATAATCAAAACGAACATGGCAACACCAACAGATGTACTTCAGCTTATTTTAGCTTCAACACAGACCATTTTATTTGTGAAAAACGTGCACAGGTAACAAAGGTAAGTGATTTGTGCATTTGTGGACTGGGAAGATGTCTGTGATTTTCTTTCAACTGGATTTAACTGAGGTTTGATTTTTTGGCTTGTTCCGCTGTTGTGGCACTTCAACTGATCAGATAGTCGCTAGGATATTCAGCGTTTTCCAAATGCTTGAAGCGAGAGCCATCCCAGGTGTAGAACAAATAAATGAAAATCACAAATTGCACACAAGAAAAGATTCATGTGTGTTGTAGAGTTCAGATAACAATTAAATGTTTTAAAGTACAATTACCTTTATTTTTTTTATAGCCGACTAGTCATCATTAGCGGATTAATACTATTTATACAAAACCATGATGTTTTGGTACAACATTCTCATAAAAGTGGTGGAGAGGAGGCCTACCTGATTGCAGATGTTGATGTCCACTCCATTTTTCAGATAATCCAGAGCCTTTTCTAGATTACCAGCCCGAGCTGCTCGAAGGTAACATGCATTTACATCCGTCTGAAAAACAGCAGAAAAAGAGACATCTTTAGTCATTTTAAGGTACCAGCAGGTTCCCATCTCTGACAGTTTGCTGGATGTCTCTCCTCACTCTTCAGTCCTTACACACTTGCATCTGCCAATAAAACCTATGGGCCAAATCTTAGAAATAAAGTTTCAACAATATCCACTGTTCAATCTGTGAAAATAATGCCGATATTGGGGACACAAAACACAACATATAGTTCAAGGGTAATAGATGCTTCTAAAAAGTCATCATAGCCAATTTACTTCACACAAAACCAAATAGAAAGCTTCTGGTACAATCATACTCTTATCTGGCACTCAATATTTCATTAAAACACTCTTTAGTGATGGAAAGAATACTATGAAAATGCATTTAGTTACAGAATACTGAATACCTGCATTAAAATGTATTTTGTAATGCATTCTGATACATGGGCCAATCAGAGTACTGTATTCTAAATACTTAGAATACTTTTACATCGAGTTGCATTTAAATTATTGTGTGAAGATGCAACGTAGTATTAGTAACAGTTTATATTTGTTTCACAGTTTTTAATGCATTTCCCAACGCAAATAGAAGATGGTAAAATCACACATGTACTCAGCGGTTGTTTTTCTCATTGATTATGTGCACTTTTAATCCTAAATTACATGATCAAATACCTAGTGTATCAAATACTCTAATGTATTCCTTAGATTTTAGAAAAGTAACCGTATGAATACCACCAAATAAAGAAGTAACTGTACTTGAATACAGTTCGTCAAAATAAGTATTCTGAAAAGGTATTCTCTGTGCATGTATCCAGTTACTTCCTAACACTGACACTCTTAAAACTCCACACCCATTTTGTCTTTATTTGCGATATCTGAACCAACAGAGACAAATAAACAATATAAGGTGCAAACTTCCTTGTACTGGTGCCAACTGCCTACAAGAGCTTTTTCAACATGTCTTGATTTAAAACCGCCTGGAGCTCGCCAAATCCAAACGCCTACAAAAAGATTAGCTATTTCTGTTAGAAGCCTGGGTGCTAGTGTTTTAAAATGCAGATATGCCATGACACCTCTGAGCCGACGCATCAAGACCCAGTGAAAGATGGAGAGATTTGATGAAAGAATTGGCTTGATCTTTGCCTGTTAAAACTGTTCAAATTGTTGGGTGTGGCTCAGCGCGGGGGACAGTTAAATGCAGGATGTTTAGAGTTTGTGCTTTAGGGACATAATGAGATGGAATCAGAGAAGTGTTGAAATGTTACAAAATACAGACTAAAGAGTGAGAGGAGGAGGCCTGGGAAAAAATAAACAGTCTCTAAGAAAATAGTGATGTCTAGACTAGGCCTGTCATTACTATATTGATTTATCGGTCAATATATAATAGCTGGAACAATAGATTTTGGAGAATATTTATCATGTGTACTTTTTTCTTTGTAATAGTGGGGGGATTTTTGCCATTTTATGTAATAACGTACCGATTTGAGCTGTAGAAAGTAGAATAAATAACTTGGCTTGAAGGCTTTTTAATGATACACTGTCAATTTAAAAATTGGTTTGAGGGCATTATCTTACTTTGTGTCACTGGCAGATAAGGTATGTTCAATATCAGCATTTATCGCAATATTTCTCTGTAGCGATATATCATGATTAAAAATGTGTTACTGTGACAGGCCTAGTCTAGACCAATGACTTATTAACTTTTGTCACGTCATACTAGAGGTGGGAGATGTACTGAAAAATTGATACTATTGCAATTTCTCATTTTGGAGGTATGCAGAATTTGGATATACAACTTACTGTCAAAAAAAACAAACAAACAAACAAACAAAAAACAAAACTAAAAACTAAAACATTTTAATCTAATCAAGAAATGGAATTCTTTATTCTGAGAAAAAATGCAATTATTGTTTTTTTTCTCATATCACCCAGCTCTCTCTTTTATAAATGTCATGATGTAAAAAAGTATATATGTCAAAGGTATTAAATTTTTGTCAATATCACACCCCTACAACACTAACCTGAGTCATCAGCCGGTTTCACTTTGTGAAAACCATCTGACCTCGCAGCATTAGGATTCATTTGCTCAACGGTAGGTGGGCACTTTTTTTTAATTTTACCAATCGCTGCTATTTGGTCATGGTGTATATAATGCGCCGCTAACATGGCTAACTGGTATATTAAGCTTTTCCCAAATCCCATAGTTAGAAGGTCTTTACCCCTGATAAAATTCACCAAACATTTTCTTTGTTCTGGTTTTAAATCCTCAATCTCGAGAATCGTTGCCAACACAGAATGTATGGCGCTTCACTGATTGGCTGGTGCCCGAACTCACACTTCCGGGGTTTTTGCAAACCGTCTACTGCAACACACAACCACAAAAAACTATCTCTATTTAAGATATAAAACTTCAGTGAGCCAAAATTTCAATCCAGATCAAAAAGTTCTTCCAATCTAGCAATGCCCATATACTGACAAACACAAGTTCAGTACAAAATACAAGACATACAAAGTACTATCATTATAATGAATTAGAATCAAATTATTAAGAAAATGTGTTAGTGATTTCTTTGTAATAACAGTACAATATGTCTTAAATAATGTACCAAAACTATGGCTTCGCTACAGGCAAAAACAACATGACGGGATGTAAGCATTCCACTCTGATCTCCACATGTTTTTCTGTCCATAAATGTTTAATAAAACTACAACATCTAAACACATCTTATCTTGTATGTAGCTCTATATTCCTGTATTAATTGCCTCATATTCTGTAAAGCATGTTTTGGGAGTAAAAACAACATTTGTCATTATGAAGTTTGTTGAGGTTATGACTTTAAAGCGCCCTGTCCCTGCCCCTGTATTCCCAGTGGCCCCCTGCACATCCGCTGATCCCAGTGTTAGAGGCTGCTGACAACATAGACATGTTCAGTTTGTGTTTGTGGAGATGGACCAGATAAGAGCCATTATAAAGTCTATTCACAGCCTGGGAATCAGCTCAGCCTTCAGTTTAAACTCTAATCTGTCTTCTATAACTGTGTCAACAACAAGTAACACAAAGAAACATGTTGAACTTTTGAAAAAAATATTAGTTGCCATTGTTTAGAATTTCATAATAAACAACACCTCACGGACGATTAAAACATACCTCCAACCAACGGCATTTCTCTCCAACGCCACCCCATTTTTCCTTTTTGTTCAAGGCCATATGCACAAGGGATCATTGATAGAAACACACTCTGCATTCAGTCCTTGTTTGGTTGTTTACAGGGTTCCCAGTAGCCTGGAAAGTCTTGAATTTGATCAAATATTTAATCCCAACTGCATCCATTATTTTATATTCTCTGGTTTGAAATGTAATATTTCTGGGTCATTAGAGTAGTGTATCACAATAGTGTCAGCTCTTGCTTCAAACACAAATTCATGCTTTACTAAATTAAAGTTTTACTATGTTATTTTTCCTGCTTGTCTCCATGAAACTGTTACAGTATGAGCTGTATCTGTCTTGTACTCAGATAGATATGTTTACTGTCAAACTGTGGAACATTTCCTGGCAAGAAATAACATCTCCATGGAGACAAGCAAGACGTGCACAAGAAAATATATTGTGCACCTTTGAAGTGTGAATTATTATCGTGATTTACTTGAGTCCAGTGGGTTTAGTTTAGTCTGACACTTGCACATAGACCACATTCAAACTGGGACTAAATTGGGACTAAATTCATATCTAATTCTGGACTAGATCAGGCCTAAACCAGGACTAGAACAGGACCAAACTAGGTCTATCTATCAGGTCTAAACTGGGTTTAAACTAGGACCCAATGAGAAGTGTAAACGCACCCTTAAACCATGAATAAAGCAATAAAATGTAATGTATTTTATAATGTAATTGATATTACCAAGATTTCTGTGTGATTCTGTGTTGATTCTATACGTGCCCAGCAGCATGTCGGCGACAGCAGCCTTCATCAGGCAGGAATGTTTTGTTATCACAGTTCTTCAATGGACCAGAGGAGACACAAGGACACTGTCCACTGTCACTATGTTACACTTACAGCAGGCTCTGCTCTGCTCTGACTCCAGCTAAAGCGCACATTAGATCACCACAGGGAAAAACAAACTGTGCTTTAAAAAAAAAAAAACTACTTTTCTACTAGATGAAAGTTTAGTTTTGCTAAATTTGTTTCTGAACATGATAAAACTGTTAAACTATTTTAATTTTGTTATGAAACTGGATCTTTTACAAAAATCAAATTAAACAGAGACAGTGACACATTTTGTAGTGTTTTATAGTAAAGGAAATACATAGAAAATATTGCAAATTCAGGTCTATTCAACAAAGCATAGGCCTACATAAAAGCAGAGCAGAGAAACACTTTATTAATTACGGGAGAAATTATAAAACATAAGACATCATGAAGTTTTTTTCTTGAAACAACAAATCTGAAACTCCTACATGAAGCAGTAGGGACTTACTTGTTACATTAAATGCCCATAAGGTCCCTTTTTTACTATACCAATTTCACAAAAGTAAATGCAGTTACTTAATTTGAAACATGTATATGACATAATTCAGATGGCAAATTCAACACAACCCTCGGCCTGTCATGATAACTACTATATCAACTTATCGTTCAGTGTTTTCAGTATATGAACGCTGGAACACTGTATTTTGGGGATCAATATCATGTTCTTGTATACAATTTCTTAGTGAAAGTTGGGACATTTGGAGTATATTTGTGGTAATACAATAGGATTTGAGTTGTAAAAGGTTGAATAAGTGACTTCTATGGCTACTTATTGGTTCATTCTGTTATTTATTTGTTGCAGCACAGACCTTTTAATGATACAGTCTATTTTAGAATGGTTAACTGGGATTATCTTGCATTATTGTTATTGTGTCAGTTGGATAAAGTAGTGTCAATATTATAATTTATCTCAGTCGCAATATACTGTATCATGCTTGCAAATTTGTTATCATGCCAGAACTACACAACCATTGAACAAATGACACACATATTTATGTTCTTGTAACTTTCTAATTTTTGACCAAAACAAAAATGTTAACAACTAAAGTGTGCAATAATAACTCCACCGTAACACGTGCTTAACTGTAGCAGGCTGGTGCCATTTTGGTGTCACTTTATTTATCCCGCTCAGAAATGTGAGGAATGCTACAGAGGCTCACTTTCCAGTGTAGGACAGGAGCACCCCTGCCACCAATCAGGAGCATGCCTGCCACCAATCACAGCTGAGGACGCTCTACATGCCATATGCAGGCAGCAGAGTGGTTTAAGCTTTTGTAATTAGAATACAATGGGATGCTAAACTAATTCAAATCTGCACAATTAACAGCTTATATACTGTAGTGTAATTGCTGTCATTATATCATCAATATATTTACATTCAAAGCTAGAGAAAAAGAGAAAAAAAAGAGAGAAAAAATGCAATTATTGTTTTTTTCTCTTATCACCCAGCTCTCTCTTTAATAAATGTCATGATGTAAAAAATATATATATGCCACAGTATACATTTTTATCAATAGCACACGCACCCCTACAACACTAGCCCGATTCATCAGCCAGTTTCACTTTGTGGAAACCATTTGACCTTGCAGCATTAAGATTCGTTCTGTTGACAGTAGGCGGGTACTTTTTTATTTAACCAATCGCTGCTATTTGGTGGTGATGTATGTAATGCACCGCTAACAGGGCTAAGTTGTATATTTAAGCTTTTCCCAAATCCCATAGGAAAAGGGCAATAATGTCTTTCACCCTTGATAAAATTCAGCAAACATTCTCTTTCTCTCTCTTTAAATCCTCGATCTCAAGAATCTTTGCGAACAAAGAATATATGACTCTTTGCTGATTGGCTGGTGCCCGAACTCGCACTTCCAGGGTTTTTGCGAACCGTCTAGTATATTCTAATTCCTGACCTAGTCACTGGAGAGAAATTAAACTGAGCGGAGGCACTAGGGGGCGCCAGCCTGGCTAATATTTCCCATGCACTATGTAAACCATATTTTTAAAAGTGCTACTACGATTATTCTTACAAAAAAGCCTTAATTACCTTGTGTCTTTCTTTTAGATAACTTTTTAAATGTATTTCAGTCAACATCAGATAAACAAGATGATACTGCAACATTAAAAGGTCACATAGTCCACATATTATAGACAGGTTCACCCGTATTTTATATTTTAACGAATCCACCAGGCTGTTTCTTCAACACTCCCATTCATTCAAAACAAATATGTAGTCAAATTTAAATATGCCGTAAAAATATAAGTACTAGGGTTTGTTAATACAGAAGAGTACCTCATGTTTCTCTTATCATATTCAGTGTTTTGATCTGTTGTTGTGTTGTGTAGGGACCAACTCGGTGCCAGTCATATGAACTGCTGCATACTGCATTGTGTAATGTATACCCCATCAGCACAAGCCTTAGCAATGACAGTCTGAATCAAAAATGCAAAAAACTGCTAAGATCAAGTCTTATTTCATTAGTAGTAGTGATAAATTACAACCTTTTCATTCACATTAACAGATATTTTGCTGCTTTAATTTGCATAGTTGGAGCCTGCACCACTTGCCAAGGTCAGGTCCCTGTATTGACCACAGTGCAACACAAAACTCTGAGAAACTACTGCAATACAACAAATACAAACCTATAAGCATTAAAACTTCTATAATAGCCATTTAAATGCGTGACAGATCTCCATAGATTCATGCACTTTCACACTGCAGCAAAGTGGTGCAGGACAGAGCTTGCCCCCTATGGCTACAACATCACTCAGAAAGTAGTAACATCCCATTGCTTGCTGTAATAAACATCACACGGTGTCTCTCTGCTAATGTAACGAACGAGACTTACTTCGGCCAAATAGTCGGCTGCCTCCTCGACTGCCATGTCTCCCTCAAAGCACTGCAGTTCCCAAGAAGTGTGAAATCTGAGCAGTCAATTACTACAGCTAGCCCAGGACGCTATAGGGGAGGGCATGGGACGGGGGACAGTGGATAGAGAGAGAGAGAGAGAGAGAGAGAGAGGTGCAGAGGGAGGTTGAGTTAGAGACACGAGGGGTGCTGGGTTTGGGCTGGTCCGAAGAGTGAAAGCAAAGGGTTAAATGCTAAAGTGTACATAGAAGTGGAAGAGAGGACAAGAGATAGGGGCATTATGTCACGGCTAAAAATACCTGGCGTTTGGCTGCGAGTGAGAAAGTCCAGAGAAGGGAGGGAGGGAGGAGGGAGGAGAGAGGAGGAGGAGGGAGGAGAGAGGGGGAAAGGGGAGAGTTTCCGGCAAGTTAATCTCGAACCGAGTCTCTGCGGGACGGCTATGGGATCACAGGGTACAATGCAAAACAGCAAAGCACATGCAGACACTCTTGAAATTAAATCCTGTTCTTTTATGAAGGAGAACTCATTAATTCTAAGAAAGTATTGTGTAGCATTTATGCAAAGAAAAAATAACATAAGGAAAATAATCTGTGATATGAAAATAAGTGTTAAACGAGATGAAACCTTGTAACTACTGGGTTATTACTTCTTCAAAACTACACAACCCGCAAAAGTCTATAGCAACAGTTAGTGCTGCAAGTGAATCTGAATAAAATATATTACGTTGTTGTTGTTGCTTCAGTATCAGTATTGGTTACATTAGTATATTAGTTTCAGTAGTGATTATCTGGGTATGATTTTTTTTTTTTTTCTAGTAGGGCATAAAATAAATTGACTAAGACTAGACCTTTACTTAAAAATCTTGAAACCTGAAAATCCTATATGATTAATGTAGGGTTTTTGGCATATACCCTGCACAGTGGACAATTGCAGTGCTGACACACATGCATGCACCACTGTAACATAAGAAGGGCAGACTGTTTCCACTTACTGTCAGTCATCTTGAGAATCCAACCTACAGCCTTCCTGCTATGTGGCCAAAACACTCCAAGCACTGAGATTAATGAATATAGAGCAACTACTAATGCAATAATGTAAACAGGTAAACAAGGCCACATAGGAAGCTTGTAAGAACTGGCAGAAGGTACAACTGACCTGGATTAATTAAAGGGATTGAGGTCATTACATTACTGGCATGTTTCTAACTTAACGTATACAACACAAATTGGACTCAGATGAGAGATACAGATTCATTACTGACCAAAAATATGAATAATGTGTTCCCCAGCAGAAAATGGAAAACCTCAATAATGATTCCACTTAAAATGCTTTGAAATACAGCAGTGTAAATGTTGATCACTCCTGCTTTATAAACCATGTTATTTTTTTATTCTGCTAAGAGCTGCTATGATTTGTCTATTGATACTTTGCATCTAATGTCATGAACATTATCTAGAGACATGATTCTAACTGTAGGCACTGCTCTGTCTGAGGTTTAGTTAGACTATAATCTGAGTTTTATTTAATTAGTTTTATTACACAATCTGACCATAAAGAATTTAGTTGGAACTAAGGATGGGCAGGATTAGTCAACTAATCGGTAACTAATCATTAAGAATTTTGTTAATTATGTTCATTTTTAATCGACAAACTGATTGTACGTTGCTGTGCATAGTGTAGTGTAAGGAGACGAGGACACTGGAGTTGCGGATTCACAGTCTCACATTTGGGCTCTGGCTCCTCTTTGGAGATCACTGTACCACTCACTGAGTGTGTTTACATGCACATCAGTGTCCCGGTTTTGTCAGGGTGCATGTATACACAGTATCCCGGTTAGTGCAACATAAAGAACTGCACTAAACCTGCACACGTCTGATCTCTGAAAACATGAACCATCTCCAGCATAACATACACACACAGAACAGACTCACCATCATCATCAACATCCCTCTGTCACAGAAAGAACACTCATACTCCACTGAGTCGTGTCCTTCAGTCTGACAGAAGCTGAACCACATCAGAGCACAAGAGAGGAGCTGTTTTTTTCAGCACTTATAGTTTATGCAAATGAGCCATGTGGTTTTAAGTTTAATTTCTGTAAAAACTAAACAAATGTGGTAAAGCTGCATTAAACACATTATAATGTCAAACAGCTGATGTGGCTCTAGAGTGGTTATGGTTTATATGTTTTAAAGTTGAGTTTATTTATGCAGATTAGTAACATTAATAATAATGATGATACTTTTAATATAAAAAGGTTAATGGTTAATCAAAAATTGATTGTTAATTCTCCCGACAATTGATTAAGAAAATTTAATCGAATGCCCGTCCCTAGATGGAACTACAAAAGATGAGATGATTCTTACTGTTAAACAAGTCATAACATTACTTTCACTAACTGGAATTAGCCAGCAGTTTTTTCAGTTAGTCACTCTCATGTAGGGGTGGGCGATATCTCGATATTTTTAATATATCGAGATTTTTTTAAAAACTCGATATGAATTCTGACATATCGTATATATCGATATAATGCTTATATTCAATTTTGATTTCGCCGCTTCGCTTGTTTGTTTTCTCTGTCGCCGCCCGCGCGCCCCCGCCTCCCTGATTTTGTTCGCTCGTGTCTCATTCACTCGTCACTATCGCCGTGAACGCCGAAAGTTGCTGCCAGTGAAAAGCTTCTAGCGCCACGAAACTTTTCCACCATTTACAGACAAAACCATCAGCAGCACATCCTCACATTCCACCAAGTCATGTCCTTTAGTCCAAAAGAAGTTGAACCGCAAGAGCGGCGCGTGGAGTGCGCTGGTTATGCAAATTAGCCATGAGCTTTTAAAGTTTCGTTTCTGTAAAACGTAAACAAGTCTGCGCAAAGTTGCAAAAAAATAAAATAAAATAATTAACACTATAATCTCAAACGGGCTGATGTGGCTCTTGAGTCGTTATGCTGTATATTTTGTAAAGTTTAGTAATGTAAATTCTATTTATGCAGAAGATTTTAACTAATAATCTGTTGCAGTGTCACTTGTACAAAAGTGTTTGGAAATGTTGGGTTTGATCTGCAGTGGATTGTGGGAAACCTCATAGCTCCTTACTGCTGGATAGGAACATGGATCTGTTAAAATAAGGAACATCCTGAGCTTCTTCTGTTAAAAGAGTTCATGGTTATGGTTATGGTCTGGATAACAGAGTTAATGCAAAGATGAGCTTGTGTTGAGTTGTTTTATTTATGAATGAAACAAAGGAAATATGTTTTATTTCTTTTATTTGACAGTTAAATTATTATTTATGTAATTAGGGTTTTTTGTAATCTAAAATGTTCCTATATGAACTGCCTACCTGTTACACTTTAATTTTTAAAAAAGGACCTTGTGGAATGTGGCATATTTGTTTTTGCAGTTTTCCGTTTTAGGGGGTTATTTTTTCCTGTACAGATATCAACATATATATCGTATATCAAGATATAGCAAAATATATCGAGATATATTTTTTGCTCCATATCGCCCAGCCCTACTCTCACGTTTCTGTAGAAAATCCTTTACATCCACCTTTACAGACCCAAGAACGTATTAATCACAGGCTCCTGAAAATGTGTTGCCTATCTTAAAACATTTTTGGTTGTGTTCACTAATGTGTGCACCGTGTCACTACAGTAACTTCTGAACATTCCACCATACACATACATGTAAAACACATTATAAGAAAAATTGGTAAAACAAGTAATGAAAAAGACTGACTCTTATAACATGTTATGTCTAAAAATACATTTCATATTTTTGAAAGAATTCTACATGTACTTGTGGTTACAGTTATTACAGATTACATTATAAAGAATATGTCAGTATCTACAGTCAGGACAAAGGTATGTAAATGATATCCAAAGCTGCACATAGATAGAAGCGAAACAATAGATAGTTGTATGATATGAAACAGTTGCCTTGTTCATTGTCTGTGGGTTATGTAAGTTCATGTTGAAAGTGGCTGCCTACATTTCAAAGCACCTTTTTACCAGGCAATAAAACAAGAAGAAAGCTGCTAATACGACCCTTGTAACACAGCTCAGAACGCGACTAAAACTAATGTAAACACAAGTCTGTCACCAACACATTTTAAAGTATGATACATTTTTAAAGAAAATTATTGCAATTAATTATTATAACAGTGAAACCATTTAACGCCACTGACACAACTGAACCATGAAGCAGGATAATCTCAGTAAACTTTATTTTAAATGTACAACTGTAGTTATTTTATAGTCGTGCCATTACATTATTGATATTTAATGTTATATTTCTTACACCCCTTTTTTAAAAAACATGATTGCAATACATAAATAGCTGATTGAAACACTTTTTGTCATTACCTATAACTATAAAGACAGAGATATGAGAATTATTTGACCCTCTACAGCTCAAATCTTATTACTAAGGGTGTGCAAAAATATCAAAATATCGATGTATTATATTATTTAATGTGATGATACAGTATCGATATCGTGGAATGCTGTATCGATATATCACCAAGAGTATTTTTGGTGTATTTTACTAAATTATTTTGTTACAGTGCTACAGTTTTGTTGCTTGCTTAGTGGAAGGAAATTTATGCAACACATTTGACATTTTCACTTTTTTCTAAATAGTAAAATGGGTGTTTTTCATATTAACTTCGCACAAGAAGTGGTTTAACAAAGACTTTTAGTATCACAGCCATGATTTAGACTTTATTTTTTATTGAACCGTATCGAATCGGTTTGAAATATATCGTATTGAATCGAAAGTGCAGTGTATCGAGATATGCATCGTATTGTGGTCTATGTATCGAGGTGTATATCGTATCGGCGACTTCTTAATGATACCCAGCCCTATTTATTACACAAACAAACAAAAAAGGAAGAAATGGTTCCCAACTAGTATAAAAAAAAAAATAAAAAAAGCTACACAAAAAAAAATATTGAGCCCCAAATACTCATTTACTGGTTGTAGATATAGTAATTATTGTGACATATTTATGTAAACAAGGACTAAACCAGGACT